TTTTAGAAAAGCTTTTCGTTCTTCTCTGGTAACCGAAACGAATAAAAACCGATTCGATACAAAAAAAATGTAAAAAACGCGATACGGCCGTATTTATGGGAAGACGAGGCCGAATAGTCAACACGTGCAAAATAAAAAAAGATGAAAAAAGTCGATTGAGGACTTAAAAAACACAATAATAATAAATCGTAAAGTAATAAAACAACGATGTTGTAATAACACCGGGAGAGTTTTCAACAGATTAATTGGGTAACAAGAAGAGCGCGTATATCATATCGGAGGACTTAACGATAAATACTTATGTTATTGTCTTGCGTAATAATTTAAATAAATAATAATTTTAAAAAAAATATCCGTACGGCGACGCCGCGTCCGATTAAAATATAATAAAAATATCTTACGTCCGTCACGCCCGTACAACGAAATGCGATTTATAACAATCAAATCTTATCGATTTTTTTTCGGAAATCCGTGCACACACATTATATAAGTTCCGAGAAGATTGTACGTATGCGTCCTTATCTCGTTAAAATTATAATAATAATAATACGTTATAAATGTATTTTTTATATATATATATTTATAAATATTGTAAGCAGATGTGACCTTTGTGGTTGAGGTTCGAATAAAATTTTAAAAAAAAATGCATTTCATAACGTACAATATTTATTTAGTTTTATTATTATTGCTTATAATCGTTCAAGTCGGATTTCGCATAAAATGCATATTGATATTGTTTACATGATCATAACATACGCGCAGTCAATGAGGGTCCGCGCATGAATCATTACTTGATTGATTAAATAAAAAAACTTTGCTTTGCACATTTTTGCATATTCCGACGTTAGTGCGTGTTCTGTATGTTTTTGCGCATTTTGCATGGTTTTCACTATAAACAAAGGCGAGTAAAAAAAAAATCGGACATGGGTATTTCACACGATTTGTGCAGAGCCGCTGTTGTAGGTGAGAAGTTGGGAAGGCAGAGGAAAAATGTAATGTTTATCTGTAAAAGATTAATTATTTCTAACGAAAATCGATTCTGAGCAGAGTTCGGTTATACATAATTTGAAATATATTTACGATTTGAAAACAATACAGTTCGTACATTTTCGCATTTTATCCCATTTACTATGAAAACCCTTGGGAAAATAAAAAAATTATTTCTTTAAGCTACCACTCTGGTCAAATTTCCTTTCAGAAAAGGTGCTACGCTTGAAAATCGGAGCAAAATGTCTGGTAGAATAGTTGTTCACGGAAAAAAAAAAAATCAATAGGTACATTTCTCAATCCGCTTAGGATCTAAAAGTAGAAAAATACTCCCTAAAAAGGTGAACACGAAACACAACTTTTCCAATAAACGTTTTTTTCCCCATATATTTATTCAAATTTGTATTCCTATTAAATTCACGCAGAAAAAAAATAACAATAATACTTTGATGCAAGTTATTCTTTTGACTTGTAAACCTAAATTAAGTTATAACGAATACGTGACATCGTTATCGCCTGGCTAGGCTCATGGACGCGCCAATGAACGTTGCGTGACACGTATAATTTGGTTATTTTTAATTCCTTCGAATTTCGTTAGTGTACCTAATCATGGGACGTCGATAATGTTTAAATTTAATTCAGGTAGACCTCAAGATAACGAATTATTATTTTACTTGGACTCCTGGCATCGCCGTATACAAGGAATTTAAAAAATATCAAAAACCGTATTGATCCCAAATCGGTAGGTATTTTTACCACTATTTTCTGTTCGTAATAATTTAAGGTTTATGTTATTATAAAATCATATCATAATACTATTTTTTTTTTTTTATAATTAATAAAAATATTTTTCTTAAAACTAATAAATTGAACATTTATTTGTGAACATGAAAAGAGTTTAAACTTTAAAGACAATTGAACATCGCATCATTGAAATAAAGGTTTGAAAATTGAGCTAGACATCATGACATGTTATAGATGACATGGCATCATGATAATAACAAACTATAACACTGTTATAGTTTCATCTTAAAATAACCCACCTAATTAATGCTAAATACGGTCATGTACAGCGGTATACAGTCTAAATAGCATAAACTTACATCAAATGAGATTTTTGATAAATTCAGCTATATACATAGCTATGTAGAATACCTGAATACCTATAGCTTATTATCTGACCTTATCATTAGAATATTTTGAATCATACACCAGATATCTGCAGTTAGTGTTTACGCTACGAACATGTAGGTATGCGTCCCGATTGTCGTTAATATTAAAATTTTAAGCATTCAAAAATTAACTAATAAAATGTTATTTACACTAATCCACACAAATAAAGACAAACGTTGTGCATAATGATTATAAGTACTGAGAAGTGGTGGATCTAGAGTTGAATTTTGGGGGGAAGACCAATTTTACATTCCATGCCTATCAGTTTATAATTTTATTAAAACACTTACGAAACGACAAGCATAGGTTTTATTTAAATGTTAAATCTACAATCAAATGGACGAAAACCGATGAATCATAGAACATAGAACTTAATTAATCTTCAACATTATTAGAACAGGTATACAGACCAACATTGACAGATTGGACAAGATACTTAAAAACTGTGTGCTTCAAATTTTAAGGTAGGTATAACTCGCTATAATATTACTGTAAACGCTCAATAGTACTTGTATAATATTAAATTTGATTGTAATCATTATCTTTCTTCTATCACTCCCTAGGATTCTTCACCGCCATCACCAAATCATTCCACTTGTCTCGTTCCTATACTATCTTTCTTCAACTCCGCACACCCGTGTCTTCCAAATCTTTTTCACATAAATCCACCTCTTCCGAGGATGACCCCGTGGCCTATTTTTTCCAGTATTAACCTGGTTGCTACATCTGTACTACGCCACATTACATGTCCTAGCCGTTTTATTCTCTGGATTTTTATTGACTCATTTATTGTTACCGTTTTTAATTTCTCTTGCAGTTCTTGGTGAAGAGAGTAAAGACAGGGTTTTTGGTATTTTTGGTACGAAAATTGAATTATTTGTATTCATTTATGGGTTACCTCGATCATAAAGGCAAAGGTACCGGTAAAAACGGGCGGGACAGCTGGTTTAAATATAAATTTTTATCATGATAATATATTATTAATTTAAATAATACGAGTATTAAATGTATGAATTGTAAAATAAATGAGTATTTAAATAAGTAAGTACATGCTCTATTCATACACTAGCCAATATTAAACAAATTGGTATCGAAATATAAATATACCTACTTCAAGAATTTTAAAAAATGTCCTGTCAACTATATTAATTACAAATTAAGATATTTAGTTTTTTTTAGGTATCTATACACAGGTTTAATACACTGGGTTATTAAATTCTTTCAAAATTGCATATTAAATCATAGTTTTTTGTTTAAAATAGGCTTCCCTAAATTGTTTTTCATTTTAGCCTAACAGTTATAAACAAAGGCTAATTTGCATCATTAACTCGACTACCTTTGGCAATAATAGGTACCTACCTACTTAATACTGTTCATAGTAACGCTACCGAAAACAATATTGCCTACGCAATAGATTACCGTCCATTGCCTTTACCTGGATTACCGCCGGTTTTAATCGGTAAATCGAACGAAGTACCCACGTGAAATAACACTGATAGTAATATTACCTTGACTCTCGAGTATTTGTGTATTATACGATGTTTGGATGTATAGAATAAAATGTTTATTGCGGTTTATCGCAAGCTTTAAGTAGTCACAGCGAACGAAAATCGTATAATAAGCCTAGGTATTAGGATGGTTGTCGTCTTATATAAATTGCAGTTTAATCTTTATTGGATTATGAGCAAACCGAGGAAATATTGTTTGTTTGATAATACATGTATTATAATGCGTATTTCACATATTATTAATATTGCCGGTTCACAGTAAACGCTTTTCTGTGCAATGGAGCATTAAAAATAGTGTTTCAATAAATGGCAATGACTTATTTTCCTATTTCACTCATGAATTAGAATATATTTTTTATAATTTATGGAAAATAACGTACATAACTCACAAGACTCACTTATACAGGCTGTCTCGCGAAGATATGCCCCTGGAATATCTCCGGAGATAATAAAGATAATCAAATTTTGCTTTTGTTTTCCGTATGACTTACTTTTCTCACGGATTAGTAGAATTTAAAACGGCTGTTACTTAGAAACTATCTATCAGATATAAATGTGTGATACATTATAACTTTCAAAAAAACAAACTCTACAGAATGGCCGTCTTAAAATTTCCCAAAAATAAAAAAATATTAATACTTGTAGTCTTCGTCCCTGTGAGTAATATAAAAACAAAACGGAATTTGATTATCTTTATTATCTTCGGAATAATTGTATAAATATTTGTTTATAATTTTATATGCGTATAATTAATAACAGTACAAAACGTCCGCGTTCTGCGTTCTACCTTTTTAACCGACCGTACAAAGTGACCCAGAACCAGCAGATGATTGCAGACTTTAGGAAAGCCTAGAACGGCATCTATAGAAATAGTCTTTGCAGCATAATGGAGGAATATGGATTTTCAAAGAAGCTTATAAATCTAACTAAATTTGGTACGAAAGGAGTAGGTAATAGGAACGGATAGGCATGATCTGACCGGCACGGGAAAATAGAATCCAGCAGCCCCCATGATCATATCCAAGATAAAAAATTACCTTAACGTTGAATGCATCAACACCCACCTTTATTTTTTTTTTTTTTTTTTTGTTACGAAAAAATTGAATTGTACACTATTCAAAGTTCAATCGAAGAGTTTAGGTTGCTAAAAAAAAAGTTTTCCCTATTTTTCCATATACCATTATCTATATTAAGTTCCAGAATTTGAACTTGGTATAATAAGGAACGAGTTTAAATGACAACAAATTTTCATTTACATTATTTTTATTTATTTTGTAAATAAATACTAAAGAATTGTTTCTGTTTTCTGGTACTTGTCCCCATAAGCTTGAGCAGGTCTTCTTAACAGGGGAGACAATGGTTATTAAAATCAAACCTTACGCAAAATTCATAAGCACAAATAGTGCAAATACTTTTGATGTTGGCTTAAGCCCCAATTATATTGATTGTGTATACTTAGTATTTACTTGATGAAGGCTTTATTTTAGGGGGTTTGGTTGAGTATTCGGGAGGTTCAAAATCCTCCAAAGGCTCTTCTCCTTTTTGCACCAATTCACAATATTAAGTGTAGTTTAGGGTTTAATATTTGAAAATAATGTATATCTAACATATTTTTTTAAAACATATTCGGTGAAAAATATCGCAGGGGAGGCTAACGCCTCTCCTGACTCCTCGTACGCATCCTCCATTCCTGATATATTTTCTAATAATTGTAAATATTTAAAAAATAATTGGAAATAATTTTCATTTGATTGATTACGAAAAATGTATACAAATATGTCTACCTTAATATCAACTACCTATACCTACACTCTATATGATTCAATGATTAGATTTGATTTTTAATAAATCGTGTATATTTATAAAACCATAGGTACTTAGTCAAAGATGGGTTCAAGAGATCGTAATAGTTACGATCAACCACCCCCCCCCCAGTTTATTCTCCAATATACTCTTAGCTGCATTATACTCCAGGCTTGATTTATCTTTGAGCTCGTCATAAATGCGTGCTTTACATGCACTTTCAAAATCATCTTCACCTCCGTTATATCGTCCTGGATCCACCCACGGGTACAGTCAGCCGTTTTCATTTTTCGGACTAATCGTTAATATCCTGTTAGTTATTGGATAATAGAACAAACTTGTTACTATCACCATTAATCACCCACTCTAATAACTCATAATAATAAAATTGCAAGACTTTTTAATAACCTAAAATTGTCTGAACCAAATCTACTATACTCACCCATCATTAAATTTAAAACCGTAAGAATTACCTAAGTAATTAATAATAATAAAACAAAATATATTGACCAATCTATTAAAATTTAATAATTATTAATATTATAAATAAATAAGTTTGATAACATAATAATTTTAAATAGGGTCAAAATTATTTGTTTCTACAATTCATAACTGTATATAATATACAGTGTATTCAAGTAATTAAATGGAAGTGATTCATTTAACACCGAGTTCATAGAGAAAAGTCGTTTAGCATATTTTAGTTTTAAAAAATAACCAATTATCTATTAACGACGATTTTTGTTCTACTACCTATCCAATACTCAAGGGTTACCTACTAACGATTGGGTCAAGAAAAATGTCATATTTTAAAATTAAGGGGGGGGGGGAAGGGAAATGTACGTAACTATAAATTATTTATGCATTTTGACTAGGTATCCAATAATAATAATAAATCAATAAATAATAATAAAAGCTGTAGTTATTTAAATAGGTGTAAACTGTAAATTTTAATATGAAAAAATATACTTGCCCAAACTCCGGAATTTCAATCCAAATAAATTGGTACTCAATACTATATATATATGCTAAGTGACAACGGAAAACCAAAAACAGAATGTATAGTGACAAGCTAAACGAAATTTCACTGTAACGTCTGTGTTTAATAACTGAGTACCTACGATAACGTGTAGGTATTATTTTAATAAATATATCAATTGATTACATCAGCTGTGAGTCAAACTCAAAAATAATATTAAAGTTCTAGAGATCGTGGTCAGTGAATAACATCACCGCGTGATGCTGATAATGGATAAAATGCACTACTAATAAATTATAGTGTTATTGTATGTTTTTATTAACTCTGAATAATCGTGTTAACACAAATTTAAACTTATAAACAATTGCCAATAGCATTATTTGTCATCGGCCCATTTTCGTTAACATAAGTAACGGCCCTGGTAGGTAACATACACGATGAGAGTAAACGCTATTGAATCCGTAATAGACGTATTTACGAAACTTCTATAGTCTCGGCGCCGTGTCCGAATATACTGTTCTCATTTCGCTTGTTTTTCGTTATCATAACCGTCATTCGCGCGAAATTTGAAATGAGCCATTGATAACAGCGTTTTCGAACACGGTGGCGCTGAGACTATAAAAGCATTATGAATACGCAGCGTATACAACGACCATTACATCCTAGAGCCGGGGTCAGTGACTTTTCCGTAAGAAAGAGCCATTTTTCTGAAAAATGTAAAAACCATTGGTGTCCAATAATGAGCCATAATGGTATGGTAACAACCTTTGTTTTTTTTTTTTTTTATTACGATTAGTCGTTTTCACCTCCTCTCCTCAAGTCCGCCTGGTCGATACAAACGATAAAATGCAATAAAAATACCAAATACCACAACGTAATAATACACTAGATGAAAGCGCATTCGTTAAAACTATGGGAGAACGGAACCAATTGGGATTATTACCGTATTTAACCAGAAATAAATGTCACTGTATGGACGTAAAAGTTTATAATAACACTCTATTGCACTACGAGAATCTAACTCAAGGTCGCGGACGAAGGGACGTCTCTAGTTCTGACTAATGAGATTTCCGATAGCCGTTGTTCTTCAATCGCACCGTGGTCGTGGCGAACACGTGCGTTTAATCGGCGCCCGGCACAGCTGTTTCCGAGGAAATTCGTCCGTTATAATATTTATAATTGCCGTCGATCCGGCCGATGCAGAATCCCTACTGGTAATCACCGCCCGAATCGGATTATCGTAAAGGCCGCGGCGCGGCGAGCCTGTTGTGCCGTGGAGTGGCGCGCGACGCCGGAGCATGTTTTTCTGAGGCGAATGCCTCATGACCAAAATGGATGGGTGGGCGGACGGCCGAATATATCGAATGTTGATTGAGATTAACTGGTCCAGAGATCAGATATGCCATTAGTTTTGTGTGTTGCATTAATTACTAACATAACTTATCTACTAACATATCTACTTGCGAATATGATGCCAACGAATAAATAAAGTTTTCGCCGTAATTATGTGTAATCCGTGTAAAAATCCATGTTTTAACTGGGTGGGTCCAAATCTGTTTCGCCTCAAGTATGAAAAATGTTCAGCACGCGGCTGGTAACGAGACTACACGGCATACGTATACCCTGTTCGACGCGACACGAGCCCGCAATGTCAGCTGTACCGTTCCCACGAATCCCGGACGAAAAGTCCGTTTTGAAAAAAGTCAAAAAGTCCCGACTCATTTTTTCACTGTCAGACAAAAAGTCCGAGCACATTCTTATATTCTACAACAACAACAATAATAATAATAATACCTCGTTTAAAATAAGTTACGTTTTGAAAAATAGGAGGGATGTTGTGGTTGGTTAAATATATGTGATGATAGTTTGAAAAAAAAAAAAAAGAAGAAGAGTTTAAAATAAAAAGTCAACACAGTGTAGAAAAGTCGTCTTTACAAATGGCAACCGGGACTCGCCATAAAATCACTCACTTATACAACAGCGTTTACAATAATTACCCATTAATAAGATGATAAAAAAAAAATTATTAAAATGGTTAATACTCGTAAATGAATAAAGTAAATAAATATATATATATATATATACATATATAAAAAAATATATGTATAAAAATAAAATAAATAAATGAATCAATGCGTCGCCTGGAGTATTGTGATAAGTGTATTATACGACCGGTTTCGAATTGAAAATTCATCATCAGGTTGGTATATCACAGTCAAAATGTAAAACGCGACTGAACATAAAAAATTAAATGAAGAAATACATAAAAAAAAAAAAAAAATGTACAAATTGATCGTTTTACATAGAATATAGAAATAATTTATTTTAATTGGAAAGATTAGTTATTATAGATATGTTGTGAAATGTAAATTATTTGGTTATTATTTATTATCTTAAATGAATTGATACGAGATATTATTTTTGAAATCGGTTTGAACATTTAAAACATTATTAAAATTAATTAAATTTTCAAAACATTTTAGCTATGTTAGAGTTATTTAAATACATTTTAATTTTGTTAGGTTTTTACATAATTTTTATTTGGTAAGATAAAATTGTCAGACCAAACAGAAACGTTTGAAAATTTAACGGAAGGTTTACTATAATTTGTACTTTGGGGTCAAAAAAAATTTTTGAAGAAAAATGTTGACAAAAATAGTAAACATTATGGCCTCCAAAACATGTACAACCAAATTCCGCTCAGAATCGTTTTTCGTTAGCAAAGATTAATCGTTGTGTACAGATACATTAAATTTCCCTCTATCTTATCTGTCCTAACTTCTCAACTTTTCACCTACTATAGGCTCACCTATCATGCAAAGTATGTGCGTATATTTTTTTTTGTTTAATAAGTAAGTGAAATTATGCACAATAAATGTATAAATTAAAGTCAGGTAAGTGGAGTAGGAAATTCAACCAATAACTGCAAGAGGAATTTAAAATGGTAACAATAAATGTGTTATAAACAAATAACTGAGTTATGAGTAAACTTGTTTACTGATTTGTGTTTATTATGTTTTTGATGTTTTCGGAATGTATTACATAAATAATAACAGTTCCAAATTAACTAGAATCTCTAAGTAGGTACTGAAGATTAATTTGTTTATGGCAGTGTTTATTACTTGGTCACTTAGTTACATTGTAATATTTCACTAAGCGGTACTTGTAAGTTTTCTTATGTAATCTGATGTTAAGTTTCTATTATTCATAATTAATTAGTATTACTCATTTGCTATATTATAATATATACATGTTAAATTGTTTATTTAAATTTAATTTAACATTTGTTTCAAACCGCATTGCTTTCAAAATCAATACATAATTAGTTTATAGAAATTAACTATTTAAATAACACCAAATTATTTAAAGAGTGGTTTTCATTAATAGTTAGACAAAAAATAAAGTGAAGATTTATAATGGCACGAATATTATATAATATTTTAAGCATAATTTTACATGTATCACATAACATTATAAAATTTGGACAAAAACAACATAATCATTATATTGTTACAAGAAAATATATAATATAAATCAACAAACAGAATTGAATAAATAATAATGTAATCACAGCCTGTAAAATAATAATAAACATAAATATATACATGGTAAGTGGCCCATTAAGGAGATTTAAGGTACACTAGTATCGAGAATTTCATTGATCTTCTAATTTTTAGCATTTATTATGGTGAACACACATTGTGTGAAAATAAATATATAAGATCTGAATTTGTTTAAATATTATAAAAATGTTAAAATAATTAAGTCCATTTTTAATAAACTCTAAATTTGATTTGTTTAGTAACATTAAACGTTAGTAAATTGTATACACTAAAATCAATAATTTTTTCACACAACATATTTAAAAAAATAATTAAAACAATAGAATATATGATTATGTAATACAAATATATAGAGACACAATATGTAAGGCACTTATTGTTAGCATATGAAGCAATATTAATTAATATCTCACACAAACAGTCTTCTCATGAATTTCTAACTGGTATCAGATACTACATTTCCTTTAAGCACATGAACCATTAATGGATTATTCAAATACCCAATCACATGGGAGTTTTGGCATTTTAGATGCTGGCCAGGGCAAATATCCAGCCGTTTTGAACACCCAATAATCGTAAGATACTTTTCCAATCAACAGCAAAAGCATTGACAGCTCGGCAGCAATGACATAATACATATATTGAGTCCAGTCAGCCTCCGTAATGCACACTAATTTTTGATCTAAATCTAATACCTGGGAATAGTATTATTTGGGCATATTATTGATATTCAATAAATTTTTACGTTAAATAATCTTAAAAATAACATAGTATGTAGTAACCTAATATTTATATTTTGTTTTTAAACTTTAAGAAATTTTAATGTTGAGATGTATTTAATTTATAAATATATTTACTTTTAATTTGTATGGAAAATTTTTACACAAGATTGCATCATAGTCTGGTAAATGACGTTGATTTGCTAATAACCATATCTGAAAAAGATTAAAAGATCAGGTTACTGATAATAGCTAAAACTATCCAGGGCACTACCTATTTTCAGTGGGTATAAACTATAGGGAAGTTCTCAAAATAACACATTTCTACAATTTCATTTATGATTTGTAATTTCACACTCTTTCCAAAATTGTAACACATTTTATAATAACAATTATTACTATTGCAACTATCTAGAGTTAAGTATTGTTAATTGTCTAATTATTATAAACAGAAATATATAGTGCACATAGTGTATATTATACAACATAATAAAGTTGTGTAACAGAATTGTACAGTTGTTTCAAACCTTCAATGATTGTGCAGTACTGCAGTCACAATCAAGTTCATTTCCACCCAAATATACTTTGTGTGCCTCAAATCTTGTGAATGAATTTTGAAGTATATATATAGGCAACTAAAAAATAAAACAAAATCAAAAAATGCTATTTTATGCATATTTAGGTTAAGTATATTGAAATACAATTATTTATAATCACTTACTGATTTCAATTGATTTAACTTTAAACTTAACACAGAGTAATTATCTATAAAAGGTGAACCTTCCAATGACAAAAGATTTGATATGTTATTTTTATCAGCATAAAAAAATCTCAATGTTTTATACGTTGGATCAGATACAAATGCATCAATACTAGTGATCTAAAAATATGTATATTTTATAAGGAACATTTGTCTAAAACTTTAAATTGCATTATATAAGGTTTTACATTATTATTAGTTATATTCAATAAAACCGTATTTTCAGGCAGATTTTCTGGTAAATTTGAAAGCTGCTTATTTGAACAATGTACTTGTATGGTTTGCAATGTTATTGTATCTTGCACCATATCTAAGCCATGCCAATTACAAGTACAATTTATTGGACAATCTTCACGTAGCTATATAATTAACAGAAATTAAGTAGGAATTACTACAATAACAGACTTCAGAAACTGTTAATATAAATATTGAAAAGACTAATAAAATAAGAAATTGTATCTAATAAATTATACTTAACAAAATATATTTCCTAAAATTTAATGAAACATAAATGTCTAGAGTATTTTATGTATGAATATATTGGTTTAACAATGATGTTTAATTTTTTTTTTTATCTGTAAATAACTTTTCTACTAGAAATCTTGCTCCAGTGTATCAAGTGTAGTACTTTTTCTGAAAAGAAATTTCATCTGGGTGGTACTTTAAGGAGATTATGTTTTGATTTTCCAAGCAGTTTTTCATAATAATTGAGAAAAAAATGTGAGAAAACATAAGAATTTAAGAAATGTATTACTTTCAAATTTTTTTTTGTTGTGATTCAGTTAAAAATATTCATAGAGACTTGAAATTTAGATTTATGATAAGTACGATACTTATCTTTGATTTTTATAGATGTGGTAAAATTTTTAAAACATTTGAATCGTTCTTCAGCTATTAGACATTTTATTTTTAAGAGTTTTTTATGTAATATTTATTTGATAGATACCCTGTGGATAAAATTGTTAGACCAAACAAAATTCAAACATTATCAATTTAACAGGATGTATATTATAAGTTGTACTTAGTGGTCAACGTAAAAAAGTTGAGTTTTAAGTAATATTTTTTTTTTTATAAGAATTTTAATATCAAATTTTGATGAAAATCGTAAATATTACGCTCTTTTAAACATATGTAACTGAACTTACCTTAGAATCGTTTTTTGTTAACAAAGATTAATTGCTGCATACAGATGTAAATTAAATTTCCCTCAATACCTCCCCAACTTCTCACCCACAACAGTGGCCCATCAATTGTGCGAAGTTTTGTAATTATAACAAAGCTTTTAGTATTTAACTAGACAAATGCAAGACAAATGCAAGACAAATAACTTGAAAGACAGCAAAGTAATAAGCTGTGATATAAATTATGATTTGAAATAATAGTCATTTTTAACTTTACTTGTTTGAAATTTTAATGGCTAATTATTAATTCTTAAAAAAAAGGTGCAGGGGAAATGTAATATACATCTGAACGCAAACATTAATTAATGCTTATGAAAAACGAGTTCGGTTATACATGTTTTGAAAGCCTGTAATATTTATGACTTAAAAATAATAATTTTCATAGATTTTCCTGTTTTTCAATCATTTTTTCCCATTTATTATTTCCCACTAATTATTTTTTTTAAAAAAAAGCTGCTTTACTTGAAAATCGGAGCAAAATTTCTGGTTGAAAAGCTATTCACAGAAAAAATAAAAAATTAGTAAATATCATTATAAAATCAATATATTCCTCATTTCACTCTGAATCTAAAATGTTAAACTGTATCTTCATTTACAATTTACATACTCAATAAAATAATACTATTACTAGGAACACTTCATTGACAGTTGTTAATCCTACATTTAAGTACCTTTATCATAACGAATAAGACATTTTTCGTATAAAAATTAAAAAGAAAACATTATCAAAAAAAGTAATATAGGTGTGTGTAGATTTTACCTTCTTAATACCTTCTACTTCCCTTAGCGCAACTTTTTCTGTAGTGTTAAACCAATGAAATGATAACGATGACATACAAAACGTCTCATTGTGCTTAACAAAATTTAATTTGTACTTAGAATTGCCTGATTTTTTCATTAGGTCTAGAAGACTCTCACATCTGATCTTTGTGTTATCTAAAATTATTAATCAATAAACTCATTAAATAATATTCTATTTCACGTAGTTTCATATTTAAATACTTGAGACATCCAGCCAAAAAATTGGCACTTCAATTTTTATATTGGGCAATATTGATATATTTACAAATGAAAAATCTAACATAGCCAACTGTTTAAGGTTTTCCAATGCTAATGGATCTTGCCATTCCGTGCCAAAAATATTGTTCGACAAATTCAGACAGGCAATTTGATGTGTATGTTCTAACCGCCCGAGAAGTCGGTTTATATAACTATTGGTAATTGAAAATGAGATCAGGCGATTTAATTCAGGTGATAATTTCCCAAAATTAAATTGGTCAGCAGTCATGTTGTAAATATGCAAGGCCTGGATATTTGATAATTTAGCACCTATAAGTATACAACTTTAGTAATCAATATATTATGACATAAACAAGATACCTGTTTAGCAATAATTTATTATTTTACATAAGTATTAGTGTTTAGTGTTTAACTATATATTCCTGTTCTAAAACTAAGAAAAATGTTTTACCGCACTGTATAATGCAAATATGGCCAAACTTTGATTAGTAGAGATCTACTAAGAATATAATTTTCCTTTGAGGATCGACTTCCTAATGTAAATGTATAATCATAAATTACCTAATAGGTATTAATTATAATATAATAATAAACATAAATGTAAAGCTAATAAATAATAATATCTGAAATACATTTGTTAGTGTAAAATCTGTTGAATTGTATTGCTTGATGAGTTGACAACAAAATAATAATATATTAATATAAAAATAATCAACAATTATGATTTATCTACTAATTATGTAAAAATAAGTTCTAACAAAAGGAGATTGACATTCAACAATCCGTGATCTACAGATCGATCCTGAAAGACCGTTTGGCCACCCCTGGTATAATGAATTGTGTATTTATTGTGTAAATATGTACAAACATAATGATAACATAAATATAATAAAAATGCCAGCAAGAAAATAATTGTATAGTTATAATGTTATTGTTGCACTTTTAACTATAGAGTAAATATAATTTTAATGAATCACTCTTATAAATATAATAAACTATGTGTATTATCTAAAAATATTTATATTTAATATTATTAATAAAATAAGTTCATAATTTTAAATCTTAGGCGTATTTAATATTTTAAATGCGTTATTAATTAAATATAATTAAATATTACCTGAACATTCAAAGTTTCTTAATAAATCTTCATTTGACTGCACCTGACAGCAAAATAATGCTGTCTCGTGGGTTTTCACACACTTGCATTTATTTTGTACTGGACAGAATTCTGAAGGCTGAGTATAACATGATGCTAATTGGTTACACCAAATTATTTTTATATGAAAACAGCATAGCAATACAATTGGAAATAAACTCCTTCTACTCATGTCTAAAACAATTTTTCAAATCAATTTTGCAACATTAATGAAATACAAAAACTCGTCAACCATAAGCAGAAACAAAGAAATGAATGCAATAATTTTTGTTTCAACTTTTTTTCCTTATTAAAACAATATGATTAATGGTTTAGTTGCTGTTTACACACTGTAAGTCGTATTGACATAGGATCAGACATTTAGAAACCCCCATTATTTGTATTAGCACAGTAAAAAAATTGTATTGTAACTTTTCTCGTATTTTAAAACTATAACATTCTAAACTAACCACACTAACCTAAGTGACTTTAAAAATCTATAATGAACATTAACATGTAACTTGAAGTACTTTTAAAATTTGGCTTAGTTGTAATATCTCAAAAAGAAAATTTAACTAATTTCAGTACAATTATATTATAGGTAATAAATTTCAAAAATACAAAATGTATGAAATTGTTATTAAAAATACCCAGAAATCAACTAGAAATGTACATATTTGTATTATAAGGTGTAAATATTTCTAATTATAAAATATAATACAAATTAACAAAGAACATACCAAAAAACATATTACAATATAATCAAATGTTAGTCTAAAACTTAATTTAAATAATGTTTATGCACTTAAAAAATAGATTCAAATTTCAATACCTATATTTGTATTTTCTATTTTACAAATAAATGTACTTATTATTATATTCCAATTTCAATAATTAATTACAATATGTAGAGTTAACAATTGAAAAATAAATTTTAAATGTCTTAAAATTTAAAAAATGTTTATCTACCACCTTATATGGCATCAAATCATACAGATAAACAATAACCTTCAACAAGTTGTTGTCATAGTCAACATAAAACACTAACAATGATTAAAATAATAAACTATAGTAACAGCAGTACTAATTAGTAATTACATACCAAAGAAAACGAGTGATGTGAAACAATTATCTCAGTTAATAATTAATTATCAAACAATAGAACATTTCTTATACTATTTCGTTGGCGTAGATTTAATAAATAATATTTTAAAAAATTGCATAAATAATTAACACTTAAGCAGATACCTAAAACGATACAATAAATAACAAAACAGTAATTAACATAAAGTGATGAGTGAAAAATTAAAACTAAAACAAAAAAATATTAAAAAATTGTATTGATAAATGAAAATATTTACTTAAATTCCGCTGACCACTAACATTTGTTGATAACATGCAGTGGTTTCCAAAACAGGATAACGAGGCGTGATATTATGGCAATATACGCATTGAACGATATGACTGGCGGTAGCACGAAAAACGACAGGGGCACGAAGACTGACCGCAAAATTATCAATATTATATCAATCACCAAAGGCATAGGGATATCATTCGATATTAATTTCAAAAATAGTAATTTTCCTAATAATATAGTTACGAATAAAATTAACAAACAATTAAGTTTATTTAAATCAGGAGCATATTTGAGGTGCGAACAGGTTTCATAAGCGAATGTTTATTCAGTTTGACACGTACAGATTCAGAAAAGTTGGCATTTGAGAATTTAGTTGAGTTTTATTTACCACCAGTTGAAAGCGATAATACTTTTGTTAAAATTAAAATGTGGAAAATGAAAATAGCCAGTCAAGATGTTAACGTTAAAAGCGGATTAGAAGTACTTTTGAGCTGACTGAAGAATGATTTTCCACGTGTACATTTTTTAATTAAACTATTTTGCACATTACCAGCATTGACAGCAACACCAGAAATATATTTATAAGCCTTAAAAAGGTTGAAAAGAAAAAGAAGAATTAATCGGACCGTTCATCTGCCTGTGTCTGTATGCTTTCGGAACACTTCTTACATTAGATTCGGCAGTGGACCGCACACACAAACAGGTGAACAACAATCCCTTTTGTTATATATGTAGCCATGTAGGTTCAAACATATTTGAATGAATCCTGTAAGTATTCAAAGTCGAAATATTTTACTAAATCGTGAAATTATTAATCACGTTTACTAGACACTGCTACACGTCTAATAGATAGGCGCTAAAGTACCTCAAAAGGCGAATTACAATTGTGAATTTTTTTATAACCGTATAGGTAATATTATAATGTACAAACTCGATCTAATATATATTATACTTTAAAACCCAATCGTTTATTTACAGTAAATCTATAAACATATATTAACAAATAATACAGCTGGTTTTATAAAAATGTTTATGAAACTTTCGAATCGATAGGTAAGTAGGGGCCTACCTACTACTTATACCACCGTTATTGCGCCTACATTGCGTGTAATATGTTTTTGTGTAGTCCATTAACAAAAATGTAATTTTAAAACTTTGTACAAATAACCAGTTTGACTCGAGTAATATGACGATATCTTGAATTTATAACCTTGGCACTGTGCTATGTATATAAAAGTGAATATTATTTCAGAAAATAATTAATTTCACGTATATACATATTATGTATAAATTATGCATGGGTACTAGGAATGTTTAGTGGGAATAATACCTACTCGTATTTGCCGAATAGTTACTTAGTAATTTGCATCAGTGCTTCGTTTGAATCGGATCGTGGATAAAGTATCTACTTACTTAATAATTATTTTTAAAATGACAAATTGTTTTTATTTTAAAATTATATTAGTTTTCGTTGTAATATGCGCCATCATCTCTGAAAACGAAATGTATTTACTTAATTTACCAGAAGGTAAGTTTTTATAGTTTGAATATTATAATACCACTGACTAATTAGGTATGTTACCTAAGTTCATTTGTTTAGTTTAATTAAATTGCACAAGATATCTACTATTCTACAATATCTCCAAAAAGGAAGAGAAAATTTATTTTTGATAGATGAAATGTAGGTGCACGTATGACGTCATATATTATTAAAACTATATACTGCTCGAAAATTGTTGCTATCTACGTGATATTTTCATAATATTTGTGTAAAAATGCATACACAGATAGGCCTATATCTACATTACTTTTTGTATGCCTACCTATTTTTCGTATCAAATTAATTGATTATAAAGTTATCATTCCGTAATAAAATGCACGTTGTAATTAAAATGCGCTTTATTTAAAATAATTGAAATTCGATGATTTGAACTAATAATTTAGTACTCATAATATGCAGTAGTTATACAAAATATTTATCATTACAAAATATTCGTTTAATTTAAATTCGTATTATTCTGAAAATGTATAATCTAACTTAGTTAGGTACTCGAATTCATTTATATTTTAAAATTAATTTTAATTTAGCTTAGTTAATAATTTTTTTTTTTTTGGTGAACTTTACTTAAACTAGTAAAAAAAAATAGTTGACTTACCAACTTTGGATGATTCATTCGCGTTCCTATGTGTCCTAGTGTCTGGACAAAAACAGTTTTAAAGTTTTATGAAATTAATAATATTATTAATTGACCATACATTTCCATATCTATCTCTTTGGAGAAGGGCGAAAGTATTTATGGGATGGGAGGGGGCTGAATGGGCTTCACCTCTACCCAAATTTCAGGAAAGCTGATTTTAAAATAGGTGAAAATACATCTCGGCTCAAAAAAAATGTCTAAATGCGCTCTTACCTTTGCCGATGCCATTGGTCTTAGAATGGGGTGGTTAAAAGTAATAACATAAAGTAATAATTACCAAAATATAAAATAAGGATTAAGGAGATAATAATCAGGCAAATGGAAAAAAATTAAACAGATCACATTTCGGCTCTCCTATTTTGAAGTGGGCATTGAAATGACGCGATCACGAATGTTTCTGCAACGGTTAAGTTATGAACGTAGGTATAATATTGGATTTCAAAATATTTTAATATTGGAAGTATAACCGTAACAATCTATAATCAGAAATATATTTAAATTTTAGGCATCCATTTGGTTACTTTTGCGCCCTTTCGTAAGAACAAATTTAGTACAAACTTTCGGAAAAATTTCATTGCTGTGTAATTAAAGTTAAACACATATACACAAAGTGTCCACCGTGATCAACGGATTTTTCTATCTCTGTTAATATCCAATTTATTTCAAAAAGTGAACAATTAAAATTTTTTTTTTTTTTCTTAATGATTAACGGGTGATAATAAAAATTTAGTTTTTTATTTAATATATCTTACCCGAAAGGAAATCATACGAAAAACATTTTTAAAAAAGTACGAGTATTTATAGAGGATTGGAAAATTCATAGAATACAATGGGTCACTCTACATATACAATTATTACTGGTATTATATACTAAAATAATACCTGTGTATAATATGGATTTGTAAATAATTTAATAAAAAAAAAAAAAAAACCAAAAATGCCCACTAGGCACAACTTGTCAGAATGGCATAAACAATTCGCCGGACTACGTCTGCAAGCTGATCAACAATTGTTCGACGGTAGAAGGGGACATTCGAGCAGGGAAATACCCGGCGATATGTTCGTTCATTGGAAACGACCCGGTGGTCTGTTGTTCGCCGAGCACGAGCGGCGGCACTGCGTCGGAAGGACCGCCCGCAATCTTACGCCCAGTCGCGAAGTCGTATTCCGCCCCTGAGAGTACGCAAAATAATTGATAATTTTATTATTACTTACTACTATATGTTATAATAATATCCACGCGACATTAACATAAGAGGTAGCTAAGGTGTGGCTTCGACAGTCGACAAAATGAGAGAAAATAGACTTAGATGGTTTGGGTTGTTGCGAGGAGACAGGAATCAGAAGCAATGAGAATTGTAATACGTAGGAAGAAAGAGCGGGAGAGAAAGACCGAAAAAGATGTGGTGGGCTACGAGGACGATGTGGAAGATCGGATCGAGTGGAAATTTAAGACAAGAGTGGCCGAGCCCAAATAGTCGGGATGAAGGCGAAGGATAAGAAGATCCATGCGATATTAATGATATATGCCTATTACGGTATAAAACCGGGCGTTTTTCGGGAGGCGGACGATACATTTGAAAAACAGTTTGTATGTACGAGGGTGGCTCGAGTGTTAATAAACAGATAGGTTGATAAACAGAGGTTTGGTAAACAGGTAGGTAGGTAATTATACAACATTATAATCAAGTGTCTCTCTAGATTCTATAGAGTTTAGAATATTAACTATACCCATAGGTGAGAACTGCCCATTATTTTGGAAGGGGTTGATATTTTAAAATAGTTTATAGCACTTCAAAGCTCATCACATGCAGCGCTCACAGAATGCAAACATCATCTTACTTTAAACACAATGAAAAACCTAAATGTGATTTATTTTAGACATCTTATACAATACATAATACGGGTACTTATACAAAATTGTATATGTATCAAATTATTAGCAGTTTTGAACTATTACTTTAAAGACGTACGAAATACAAGTTGATGAAAACTTGATTAATCACCAAAATAATTTAAGCGATATCAGTTAGGTCATTTTAATAACAATAAGAATTTAACCTAAACTTTTATTTGATAATTAATCAATTGCAAAAGCCATTACGGAAATGAAAAAAAGAAAATCAGCAGGCAAAGATGGCATATATTACCCAGAGTTCCTTCACCATCTGGGGTCCAGAGCTACTAAATGGGTTGCCGATGTTCTCTTTCAAATTTTCTGTTCAAGAAAATCGCCTAAAATATGGAAATAATCAATTGTACTGGCGATTCTCAAATCAGGCAAATCCGGTGAAAGCCCGGAAAGTTACCGGCCTATATCTTTACTAAGTGTAATGTCAAAACTCATAGAGAGAGTTATCCTGAAACGAATATAACCCATTATTGGAAAAGCTATACCCAGTTACCAGCAGGCTTTAAACGCTCAAGAGATTGCTGTGAACAAACACACATTGAAAAATGCTTTAATGATCATCAAAAAGCAGAAACTGCTTTCATCGATCTTAGCATTGCTTACAATACTGTTTGGAAGCATGGGTTGCTGAACAAACTGACAAAAATTATACTTTGTAAATGGTCTATAAAATGCATAGAGAATGTTTTGATCAGCAGAAGATTCTACACTATAATGAGAAACCAAGAATCAAAACCCAAAACACTGAACTACCGACTGCCACAAGCGTCAGTGTTGGCCCTAGTTTTTCTCAAAGGTGACCTAGTCGACACTAAATCAAGAAAGTTTGCAAACGCTGATGACCTCTTTTAACACAATAGAAACATCCCTGACAAAAGACTTAAAGTCTTATTACTAAAAATGAAGATTTGAAACTAATCTACGTAAAACTGTAGTGTCGCCGTTCACTTCGAATAACAAAGAAACCCATCAGCCATTGAACGTAAGCTTCTGTGACCAACTTATACAAAACGAAGTGACTTTAGACCACACACTTGCATATTACATATTATTATAGGTTATCTACCACGGTGTAAGAAGAACTTCTTTTAAGATCGTGATATCTACCTACTTAATGTTTTATTTATTTAAAATCGAATTCAAATTGGTGATTAAAAAAAATGTAAAATGATTCGTGATATCGAAGGATTGTTATGTCTGTATCGTATACTGTTGACGAAACGCTCAGGCGGTTTTTTTTTATTGAATAACTCACGACACATAATTCTGGACGGCACATACACAATTAAATTAAATAAAACAACATGCGTTATAAAAACAAATAATTTAATCAGGTTTTTTTTTTACGTATAATATTACTTAATACATTTTATATTCTGAACGAAGCGAGGAATGTATTGGGTTTACAATGACGTTTTTTTTTTTTATTTGTAAACTACTTTTCTACTATAAATCTTGATCCGGTATATTAAGTGTAGTACTTTTTCTAAAAGGAAATTTTATCTGGGTAGTAGTTTAAGAAGGTCATGTTTTGTTCCCAGGCGGTTTTCATAATAATTGGAAAAAACCGGGAAAAATTGTAGGAAAACTGAACAATTTACGTAATGTATTATTTTCAGATATGTTTTTTTGTTATAATTCAGTTAAAAATATTTGTAGAGATTTGAAATTTGGACAAATATAAGTATTTGTCTTTTCTAAAGGTAGTAAAATGTTCAAACCATTTTAGTTATTTTTAAGTTATTTATAGACATTTTAATTTTTCTAGCTTTTTACGTAATTTTTATTCGGTGGTACTCTATAGATAAAATGATTAGACCAAACAGAAATTATTGGAAATTTAACAGGAGGTTCACTATAATTCGTACTTTGAGGTAAAAAAAAAAAAAATTAAGGGTAATGTAGATTTTTTTAAGAGTTTTGGTATCGAATTTTGACGAAAATCATAAATATTACGGCCTTTTAAAACATGTAATAACCGAACTCCGTTCAGAATCGTTTTTCGTTAGCAATAATTAATCGGTGTGTACAGATATACATTAAATTCCCCTTTATATGCTACTTTCTCAACTTTACATTTACAACAGTGGCCCACCCATCGTGCAAAGTATGTCCGTCTCTTTTATAAGTATACACTGATTTATCTGGGGAAAGACTGTATATAATTCTCTAATTAATGACTAAACAAATTGATTTTTATTTGTACATAATGTAAACTGCAGTGTGCCGCCAATACTCGGAATTATTAAAGTTCAAGTATGACAGCGTACATTCGTCCGTAGAAACGAATTTTACGACGTCCGAACCCAAATATTTGAATGCATTAAACTGCCTTAACAATAACAACGAGTTATTGACTCAGCGGATCGTCGGAGGTAATGTCGCGAAGCCAGGGGAGTTTCCGTACATGGTGAAAATAGTTATTTTTTAATGGTGATGTTGCGTATTGGTTGGTTTTATAAAGAACGGTTTTATATTCTGATTTCAGGTGTTGTTAGGCTACGGCGGTCGCGTGAACGAAGAGAAATTATGGGGATGCGGAGGTTCGTTGATAAGCAACAGGTGGATTTTGAGCGCGGCGCATTGCGTGATTAACTCGGGGTGAGTGTGTACGCGATCGCGATACACCGCTACATAAATAAACTATAGTAATTCAATGCAAAATTTCTAAGACGAACAGTGAGTTGGGCCCGTCTAGGTGACTTAAAAATTGAATCGGACACAGAAAACAAGAATTCACGAGACTACCAAATCGTCGATTACGTAGTCTACCCCGAGTACAATCGGTCTTACGTATACCACGACGTAGCGCTGTTCCGTCTCCAAAAGGATGTTGAATTTTCTGATTACATTCGACCGGTTTGTCTCAACACAAACCGGTTGTTACATTTGACCACGGCCTCGATTATTGGTTGGGGCATGATCAGATCCAGTGAGTATAAATACCAACAAACTTAATACATTTCAGCCGTAATATTATATACATTAACTATGGTTAATAGTATGTTCTATCAAAATATCAAGGCCGTAGTTTTTGACAAAATTTTCGGGCGGTTTTCAAATAAATGATTGCATTATATTTTGTTACAAACATAATTAGCATTTATCTTGAAAATAATAAAAAATACTTTTGAAACAATTTCGAGGAGGGTTTGAACTAGAGGTCTTGGATTTAAAACGTGAATTATTATATTATTATAATATTATATAAACACGGAGTCCGTGTACACGTAAATGGGAAATGTGTATTAACGTATAATATTAATACACGTCAATTTAATATCCGCGTTTTAGCGTTATTCACGTATTCGCGGATATCGAGCGATCGTTATATAGTACCTGGGTACAACAGTGCGAATATAAACAGGGGATAACCGAACTTAATTATGTAGATTATATGTTAGAAATTCGGTATACTTGTTTGTATTAAAATACGTGAACGCGTAAACACACGTTTACACGGATTTATCAAATTGACGGTTTTATAAAAACGAACGTTAATTTCACGTGAATAGGTACGTGAAAGTGCGTACACGTGAACTCTAGTTTAAGGCCCAAAACGCCACTTAGATACGGCCTTGAGACCTTGGGTGTTAATATAAATGCCGACATTATTGGCGGTGAACAGAGGGTTTAGGCGGTGTTACCGGGAGTATACCATGATGACGGTAGATGGTACCGTTGGAGAGAAACAGGAACGATGGAAAATAAGGGTTAAATCCACGGGAATTTAATTTGTGCCGGGTATAATTTCAGCTAGTGGGCAACATGTAAACATAATCTAAAACTTTTTTCGTATTCGTTCCTGAATATTGCGGGGATGATAAATTTGAATAGGCACTCAATGGATGTAGCATAGGTATATTGGTAATTTAAAATAAATTAGAATTTTGTTTAATTATTATAGATGGTCCGACTAGTCCTGATCTTTTACGAGCGGACATAAGCTTGATTACGATTGAACGATGTCAGAAGAGTTATCCCCCGAATCTTTATGCGAGAGCGGTTCACGGGATATTCGATGACAGTATGATATGTGCAGGCGATTCCAAAGAAGGAAAAGACACTTGTTCCGTGAGTTAAATAATATTCGATCGATGTCGGTGTACCAGTATCTTAATTGGTCCAAATAATGGACGACTTTTATTGCCGTCATTTTACTATGTATTATATTCTTATCTTCCCTGCATAATATCATATTGCCTGCGGGGGCATGATTTCAAGGGCCATTGAAGTAATTATTTTTCGGCGTATCTAGTATCAATCCCGTGGGACAAATGAGACAGATTATTAATTTTTTTCTTTTATTTGAGACCTAACCTATTTGCTATTGATTTCAATTATATTTATTTTATGTTCAAGACATTTAACTCACTGTACAAATGTATTGTTGGATATCTATAGGCTCATTCTTTAGAACAACCCGGATCAAATGTATTTTCGCTTATTTGTAAACGCGGGAGAACATAATAATTGTCATAAGATCATAGTTCACTGTTTTGTGTTCTGTAAATAACGCAAATTGTAAAGTCAATATTACCCGTTTTAAATTAAATTTCTAATATGGTTTCCGCTAGTGTATTGTCGTTATATTACTGAAATCATATTTAAAGTGTGTTTTTAGTAGATTTCAACTCCATCATTTTGATTTATATTGCATTTATATGAAGAGCATCCTGGATTTCCTCTTTATTTTGAAAATCGTCGACTGAAATACTGGCCAACTTTAACCAAGATACGCTTATGTGTTGGTATATATTCATGAACGCGAATACTTATACCTATACAATTTTCCAGGGCGATTCTGGCGGCCCAATGCAAATACCACACGAGAGATATTTCTGTATGGACACTCAAATTGGTATTACGTCGTTTGGGGCATATTGCGGCAGCAAAGACACGCCCGGCATCTACACGCGGGTGTCACACTACATCGCGTGGATCGAACCGATTGTTTGGCCAAGAAGTTGAATACGCTGTATTATCAATAATGTGCATCATACCTAACTAATACTATATGCTACGATAGTGTGTCGACAAAGAACATAATTTATTCCTATTCTTCTTATAACCTTTCTGCAATACATCTGTATTTTGGAGACTTACCTAATCCATTCGTGGTTTTTTCTAATTAAATAATATATTACCCTTGTACTCCATTATAAATCGTTCGGTGGAATATGCCGTCCCGTTTGACTCTTCACGTCCTCCTATATTTCTCTCTTTTGAGCTTAATTGTTTTCCCCCTCACGTCTGGAATCCCGTAAGGTTCTTTTTTTACTTGTATTATTTTAAAATGTATGTGTAATAATTAAAATTTTGTGGGTACAAATTTTACAGAACTCGACTTCATATGTTCAAGTCGATTAATTTACACTGCAGATAAGTAAGTACCTAGTGGTGCTTTCATATGTGTGTGTACCTATGTTATATTTTAAAATATGTTTCTCCTATAATTCGGAACGGAACGATATACGCTGTACAAATGGAGTAACTGTTTATCTCAAAAATCGCCAACGAGTCACTTCAGTCTTTCAATGAATATACCTACCCGAAATGCGCAGATTCCTGAATCCTGAGAACGTCGTACTCACATGTGCTAAAACTTAAAGGTGTTAACATTCTATGTGTCGTTACGTTGTTTTTTCGATATTTTAAATTTTTAAGTGAATTCTAATCATTTTTCAATATTGATATTTCACAGAATCATATTTCACTCAAAAATTAAAATAACGAGAAAAAACGTCAAAACGACATAGATAATGTTAATTAAGTTTGATATTTGGTTATTCAATATAAAAACTAAAAGCACAAAGTATTCCCTGATTAACGAAAATTTGTTATATCCGCGGCTGTATGACGGAGACATCAAACGCGGATACGTCGTCCTCTTGATATTTCTACTTTCTAGTCTCGCTGATCGCAAACAAGCGCATAATCTTTCTTTGGTACCTACGTATCAAATATACTGATTCACCTTGTCTCCGATCCAGAGCCGTGTTTAACGGGAGGCAATTGCCCCTGCCCTCTGGCGTCATAATATTCATAACTTAAAAACGTCATAAACATATTTTTTAAAACGAATAACCAATTATACGGAAAACGGGAAAATATATATCTATATATTTATATATTGTATTTGCAATTATAACCATCAAATATTTTTCCGAAGCTTAATAAATCAACCCTACTTAACGTTTTTACGGTTTTTTAACGTTTTTACATGGTCAATCACCATGATGCAGTAGTATTATTTGAAGAACTTCAATCGGCCATTTTACATGCACTACAGTACGTTTCACGGAACTAGCGACTCCGCAGTGGCGCTTCCGGTGGTGAAATTTCAGTGTTCCGCGGTTTCTCAAACTTGCACACAATACGCGGCAATTTAGAATACTGCACGGTTTTTAAAAATAAGAATAAAAGTAATTATTTTATTTATTGTATAATATATATAGTGGTTATAAAATGTTTGGCAGTGGAAGGTAAAATTCATATCAACAGGGCCAGCTGTTCGATGGTTTATTGCCGCGTCATTTTTAAATTACCGAGCTTTTTTAGTCACACGTTTAGGAAACCCTCACGGAAATCTATCACCGGAAGCGCCACTGCGGAGTCGCTAGTTTCGTAAAACGTACTGTAGATAAAATTACACTTTGAACAGATTCTGATACTTTTAGTTCTGCAAGTCATCTTTTTACTGCGATAAAACAGTTAAAATTTCAAACAGCTTTATCAATTTCAGTGAAAATACTTTCCACAAGTTTTCCAGTTAGCCGATATCTTCAAACAGTAAATCTTGATTTTAAAACTGCATTAGAAGCTGCTAATGTTCAGAATAATACTCAGGATATTAGAAAAAATTGTGATGTAGAGTTTCAACAATTATTTTTATCTGTAATAACTGTTTGTGAAAAATTTGATACAACTGTTAATTTTCCACGTCAATCTAAATCAGATGATCCAGAATATTTTTTGAAGTATTCATACCTTTTATAAATAATTGTTTAGACCAATTGAACGAAGGATTTATATCGCTCAGGATTTTTTTGAATAATTTTGATTTTATTTTATCTAAGATAAAAATGAAAATATCTGAAGATATTAATGGTTATTAATGATTTTAATAACCATTTAATGTCTCAAAAAACAAATAGTAGAAACACATCGAGATATAATTGATGAATGTAACGATTCAAATTTAAATGATCATATATTAAACGGAAAATTAGATTTGTGATACACTAAATATTCAAATTTGACATCTACCGAACTCAAAAACAAAAATGATATTGAAGTATACTTCCAAACTAATCCAGATGTTTATCCAGTAATATCTAAACATCTTCAATTATTCATAACACTTCCAATGTCTACTGCCACGGGAGAACGATCGTTTTCAACACTCCGTCAAAACAACGTTGAAAACAAAATGGAAAAATTCTTCGGGACAACTATGTTTAAATGTTTTAGCCTTACTAAAATATATTCATCGCGATATCAACGTGGACATCAATGATGTTATAGATAAACTCGCTAAAACATCAAAACGAAAAATGAACATTTATAATTTTTTAACTTTTATATAATTAGCACTGTAAAATAGTAATAAAATATTTAATGTATGATTATAATACATACAAAATTCAAAACAATTTCACTTGTTATATTTTTTTTAACTCTCCCCCGCAAAAAAAAAATTCTGGTTACACCATTGATTACCTCATTTTCCTTAAATATTTATAATTATATAAAAGATGATTTTTTAAGAAAGCTCACCCCATTTTAATAGTTAAATAATTATGTATACATTCTGATTTTCAAAATGTTTAAGCGTATTGAAAAAAAAGGACGGACATACTTCGTAAATGAGTGAGCCACTGTTGTTGGTGAGAAGTTGAGAAGATAAAGAGGAAATTCAACATATATCTGTATGCAACGATTAATCATTGCTAACGAAAAACGATTCTGAGCGAAGTCCAGTTAATAGTGTTGCTTTGTTACATTTTAGTAAAATAATTACACATACATTATATATTTTCTATATTAATATTTGTTTAATATTGTATCTACTTTTCCATTTTTCTACGTATTTTCCCATTTATTGGGAAAATGAAAAAATGACCTGGCAGAAAATCTCTGGTAGAAAAGTTTTCCACGGAAAAAAAAATAAACATTATTGTAAAACCTATAGGTACATTCCTCCATTACGAGTCTAAAACTATATTTTCGAATAAGTACCTAAATGTTTTGATGCAAATTTTCAACATTTTCGATATTTGTTGAAATTGTTTTTGAATATAGTTTAAATATTTATTTAAAATAACATTTTTGAAAATTTGGTTACCTAACCAATACTTGTTATACTTATTAGGTTCCTATCTATTATTACCAAATAGTGTTGTTAGTTTACTATACCTACTAAATTGTTTAAATAATTTTAATTTAAGGTCATTTCCATATTCAAAATCTCATATAATATGTAGGTAGATAAATATATATTTCAAATAAAACTACAGGTCACATAAAGGACACGCATTATTAATACAATACATCTATTATATTTGTATACGGGAATTATTGACTTTGTAATTAGATTGATATTTTACCTACTTTTGGAAACCATTAATTTTAAATTTCCACTACCGAATTTTGAGTGTCCTCGGATTAAAATAAAGATTTTATAAACAGATAGATCGAAATAATCTATGGTCTAATCGTACGGAAATGTTTTATATTTTTTATATGGTGTTTACAAATATGATTTTAATCACGACTCATAATACATAAAGGATAAGTAACCATTGTGATGTACAAATTACCGGATGTTAAAATTACAATTTCCTAAAAATTCTACGACCAAAAACTATATAAAATCCCAAATTTTTCAGTTGGCCAGTAAAAAGTATCGACCATCGCAATATATTTGTATTATTGCAATTTTTCATAAAGTTACAAAATTGAATTATTTACTATACTGTATTTTTTGTTTTATCTAACCAAACCCAACATGATGATCAAAAAGACAGTTTTATTATCAGTTTTTGTTATTTTCAGTTATTCCATGTTTTCAATCAAAGTAAGTATAATATATTTACTTGTTAAAAATATATATAACTTTATACTTATCTATCTACTTAATATTTATTTTGATTATTTAAGTTTAATGAGTGTTTTGTTCAATTCAGATTTGAGTTTTATAGTCCTACCTAGGTACCTTACAAGTTTTACCAATAGTATTGTTTCTAATTATTTTAGGCTGCCGAAAACGTTGATACTGAAGCTGAAGCGTCGGACAAGACATTGTTAACAAGCTTGTTTACTGTAGTTTTGAAATGCTTTAAGGATGCCGATTGGGGTAAATTTCTATAAACAAAAACGTCTTATTATACATGTACAGGAATTAGTGTTGCTTAAGTTAATTTATTTGTCTTAAACTGACAAAACACAAATTGCATGTATAATTTTAAATACATAATAAACAACCAGTTGTCGATTTGACAAAAATCAGATTTTGCTTTTGTATTATAGGATTATTATAGCAGGTACCTACATTTTTGGGTTATACGATATTATTCATGTGACACCTACCTACCTACCTACCTACCTACCTATATAATTGGTAATTCACACAGTAGGTACCTCAAAAGATGCAGATTTTTTGACCGGTATAGATACTTCATTGGAAAAAATATCTAGATTCCCAGTAGTTTTTATATACAATTTTAAAAACTAACAAATGTCAACACATACGTTTTATTTTTGTTGATTTCTGGGTTACGGGATTAAAAAAAAAGACATACCATTAATTATATATATTATTATAATCAATGTCAATACTACTCGGCTCAAAATCGTTTTTTTACCTGCAATGATTTATCATAGTCCATGAGCAATATTAACTTTTTTTTTGATATTATAATGTGTGTTATACTACATAGTACTACCTACTAAGCTACTACTCATACTACCTAATCAGTAATTATTGAGTAAATGAGATAAAGGTAATTATTAACACAGGTATTTACATATTAAATAGATAATAATAAAAATAATAATAATTATATTACAGGTACATGTGGTGAAATGTTAACAGTTAAATATGATATAAGCCAACCCAAATACAAAGCGTGCACGGTAAGTAATATAATCTCAATTATTTGTTTACGAAATTCGTGAACAACTTCTTTAGTATGTGTTTAAAGAAAGGAGTTAGTATTATGCTATTCCCGGGGAAAATCTATATTCGGCTGAACGGGATTACGAGTACCTGCTGACAAAATCAAATAATAGTGTGGTGTTTTATTCACAAGTTTATGAAGAATATAGGTGCCTAAATACTAAATGGGTATATTCTATAAATATACATGTGTATATACTTTTAAAAATAAAATACAATCATAACACCAGATTTCAAATAATTGTGCAATAAGTTTAGTACCTAAAGGCACAATTAATAATGGATTTATTAAATGAATTTTAACTTGAATGGCCCACTGACATAGAGTTTATTTACAAAAGCTCATACAATAGAGGAAACAGAGAGCCGTTAACGAAGTAGGACTATGAACAAGGTACTCAATAGAGCTCATAATGCAAAGGAAAGGAGCATTTTTGAGTTTTGCAAATTAACTTTATAGTTGTCTATTTCAAAATACGTTCACACTGAAATGCACACATTTTTATTTTTAGTGTCACATGGCGTGTGCTGGAGACGAGCTTGGATTGGTAAGTCGATTAAATGTCATATTTAGATATTTATAGATTAATAGCCCTAAACGATTTGTCGAATATTTTTTTTCTAACATGTTTTTTTGTACTTAAAAATTATAATAATTGAGGACATATTTCTCGAATAGATTAATAAAAATGGAGAAGGTGTACCTGCGAAATTTTTGGAATACTTGAACCGTACTAAAAACCCATCCATTAAAAATGAATTACAAGTTGTTTATGATAAATGCCAAAATGGTGAGTTAAAAAAATATGCATTGTATACATTTATACTACTTTTCGGTGCTATAGGCACAAATATGAGGAAAGGGATTTTAACCCTAAAATCATTAATCAAGTAAATACTAAGCATACATGATTTACATTATGAGGTGCTAAGCCACTTCAAAATACTTGAGCTATTTGCGCCTATACCAATTCCATATAATAATTTCAATATTCTAAATAAATCGGATAATTTGTTACAGTAAAAGGTTCAGATAAATGTGATCTTTCGGAGAAATTTGCTATATGTGCTTTCACAGAATCACCAGCAGTATGTACCGATCAATTGTCATTTCTAAACGATTTAATGAAAACTAACAAGTGGTTTTTTTTTTTTCTGTAGCTTAAGGACCGCGTAACTACACTAGTGCAAACCGTAATGAAGATGAAACAAAAATAAACTTCTGTCCTTCACCACCTTTAATTATATGTTTTAATACAAGATAAAAATTATTGCCTTTACGTTTATTTCGAATAAAATAAAAATATGCATGCCTAAATTATTTGCGTTACTCATGTGTCAACTAGCTGACCTGATAATGTTTTGCTATTGCTAGATAATAATACCTAGTGTAAATAATAATAATTATTATTATTATTATAGCAGTTTTCTCGTTCGTGACAACCAAATTATCATCTGTATTACCAAGGTAAACCACGAATAAACAAAACGAAAAAAAAAAAATTTGTATAAACAATTAGATATTCGTATCAAAAATACCTAAAAACTACTACATGGTTCACGGTATTGAGAATCGAACACTGAAGACTATCCTATATTGGACCAAATCACACGAATTGAACATTATCTTTATTAAAATTAGTTGAGTAGTTTCAGAGTGCATCGCACCTAAACTTGTCGTACGCGTGATTTTTATATAAGTATATAAGTATATAAGATATAAGATTATAGCCGAATACTATTCAGTAATTACACTGTATTATATAATAAAAAAATGTCACTTACGGGCCACGACCCACCCACCTAAAATAGTACTGGTGTGATTGCCATACTTGTCATACGTGTTCGACGCCACTGGTTATAGATATATTTATTTTTTATTATACCAGAAATAAATAGTTGTCCTAGGATAATGTGGACGGGTACAGCCACTGTTATAGGTAACTTAATGAATATATATGTTAGCAACGATTAACTCTTGCTTACAAAAAAACGATTCTAAGCGAAATTCAATTGATAGTGATGCTTTGTCAAGAATATAATATGTCATATTATAGTAAAATAATTAAATAGGCTCTATACATTTTCTTTAATAATATTTGTTTAATGTTGTACCTATTTGCCGGGGTTTCTCAGTTTTTCACATTTGTTAAGAAAACTCTGGGGAAAATGGAAAAACGACTTCTCTCAAGTACTTCCCCAGTTGTCTACAGAAAAAAAAAATTGTAATATTATATTTATTAAGTTACGTACATTTTTTCGTTTTTTTGCATTTGATAAGAACTCTTGAGAAAATCGAAAACTGAGTCCTTTAAGGTACCTCCCAACACCTATTTCCTTTCAGAAAAGTTGCTACACGTAAAAATCGGAACAAGTCCTCTGGTAGAAAAGTTGTCTACAGAAAAAAATATAAATAAATAAACATCTTTGTAAAACCATAAGCATTCAGAATCTAAAACTTTCCAATGGTTTACTAGTAACGTAAAATAAGTAAATACCTTAACATAAAATAAAATCTTTTAACTAAATACATAAAACAAAAACGTATTTAGTTACTAGGTACATTGAGTATTTCAAAAAAGGAACATATTGAATTATTTATTTAGTGGTATTAATCTGATAATAGTATAGACTTTAAACATTTGACATTTCTGAAAATCAATATTGAAAGTTTGATAAAATTTAGTTTATATTTTTGATAACCTACCTAATTTAATTTTTAATATGCCATGATTCTTGAAACTGTAAATGGCATAAATAACTAAGAAAATAATTGTTTTTTAAATTCCAGAAAAAATCAAAAAATTCCCAGACTTTTCCAGGTGTTGTGACAACCATGTTAATAAACAAACATTTTTTTGGATTACACAGACTATATATATATATATATATATTAACTAATAATAATTGACAATAGAAATCAAATAATTTTGTTTGTGTACAATTGTAAGGTAGCACAAGATGCCCCTGTTATTGATTAACACATATTACACGAACACATAATTTCAGTAATTCATACAAGATAGAAATAATAAAACAAATTATAAATAGTTATTAATATAAATATCAGCGTACAAATAGATATGTAAAACAATTATAATAACAAAGTGCAAATCCGAATCAAGTTCATCTAACTATCCCATGGCTTTGGTCGCTCTATATTATATACCATTAGTTTCTTGTTCGAAAAGTCTCTTACTCCATGATTCCACAATGTGACCCAATGCAACAAATATAAATTAGTATTTTCAAATTGAAATTAAAATCAGTTTCCTTCAAATAAATATACGATTACTACGAGTAAATACAGTAGGTATCATTTTCAGTACATAGGTACTTTATAAATACATTTTTTATTTAATTAAATTAGTAGTATTATATACTCATTCCAATTTTATCCCAGTCTTAAAATTAATTTAAATATACTGTAACATAATAAGTCACAGTACCTAACTAGACACAAATGTTTTGTCTAAATGATAAAGAAAAAATAAATTTTATACTGTGCCTGGCGTTTCCTGTGCCAATTTTTATTCCCATATTACTTTGTCTGTATCAGTATATCAAACAAAAGAAAATAGGTTGGATAGTCCGGTGGACTAAGTTTTCTAATGTGTCATACTTTTTTTCATCCATGTTACCATAGATACTCACACAGCACATTATTAAATTATATTATACCTACTATAATAAGGTTAGTCCAGTTTTTTCAAACAATTTTTTTATATTTATAATAAGAATGTCAAAATCATAAACTTATAACAAATTCTATTTTTAAATGCAATGTATTTTAAAATGATAATGTTCAAAAATATACGGCATTGACAACATATCTTGTACATCAGAATATTATATCGTGAGTTTCTCATTAGCTAATCTATCAGATTAGAAATCCTATGTATTCCCATATTCCTCGAAAAATATATACAATTAATTGCTAATCTGATTATTCTGGTCACCTCTTGATCCATTCAAATAGGCAATCAAGTACCACAGATATATATATAGATACTATAGTGTCTAAATCCCTGTCAAGTTCCAATAAACATAGGTTGTTGCAGATAACAGTGATAACTGATAAGTGATGATTGACATCAAGGAACCAATAATTCCATCTCTGCAAAGTTTAGTATTATTTTGTAAGATTACCTAGATTAAATGTTTGTGTCTGTAAAATCTATTGGTAATTTATAACCTAAAAATTAATTAAATAAGTTATTTATTAAGAAATTTAAGTTTTGTAATTTAAAAATCATTTTTTTTACTTAAATAATCTGGTGTTAAACTATCATCATCAAATTCACAGTCAATCATTGGTCCTTCACCTTAAAAAAAATTAAAATATTCTATGTAAAACCATATATATTTAAATTTAAGTAAACAATTACCATATGCCAAAAATGGTCTTTTATCCTGTGATAATTTATTGACAATGTTTGGATCCTTTAATGTATATTCTAAAATACAATAGCATAAATTGTAATACAAATAATTATTATAAATTACTGTTAAATTTAGGTACATAGAAACAATTTTTAATATTATTGAGTATTATATTACTAATAACATTGTGTTTTCTCATATAAATTTATATTTAAAACTGAATTCAACTTGTATTTTTTGATTTACAAATGATAAATTGATAGATTAAAGAAACAAATAATGAATTTAATTATATAAACTAAAATGTTTACAGTATAGTTTATTATTATTTAAACACTCGATTTGGCTAATATACACCTAATATACACGGAGGCAGAATAGAACTCCATATAGGTGATTTTGGTAGGTATATGGTATTGTTTCTGTAGAGGAAAGGAATTCACTTTAACATTTACACAACGGCACCAAACTCAGAGTACAGGTTAGGAGACTGCCCATCAAATTAATTGGTGTTAAGCAGCTGGGTGATGCCAGTGGAAAATTTACCACAAAGAATTTACCTACCTCTAAATATGCTTTAATATAACTTTATAATTATTATATTAATTTATTATTATTTTAAAATCACCTGTATGAATACCTTTTAAATGTAAAAATGTAAATATTGAAATAAAATTCCATACAAAATGATGTCCTTTTATTTTAGGCAAGGAATCAGTATTTTGCAAATAAAAGGTTTGCAATTCTAGTTTGGAAGAAAAGGTCAACACTAAATTATGACAATAAGCAGTGACATAATAGAAGAGATTAAGAGTTCTTAGTATGTACTAAAAACTCTAAGAACAGGATCTATGTACAAATGAACAGTGAAGAAGATTTGATACATAGGATTAAGTGTGGTTGAATAAAATGGAGAGATTAGAAACAATAGGTGTATGTGACAAGAGAATTACAATGAGAATTAAATTAAAGTTCGACAGAAGTGTGATGAGATTGACTATGCTGTATGGTTCAGAGTGTTGGGTGGTAGTAATGCTTCAGACAATGAGTAGTGACAAGAAAAAAATAGGATAAGGAATAAGTACATTTATACTATCGTTATCTAAGCTATATTTTATGTATGTGCTCTCTGCCTTCAACAAAAGTATTTGCTTAAAGAAAGTGGGTACTCATTTCCGCTAAATATTTTATTTTTGAAATGTTTTTGCGACTTAAATTAATGAAAAAAAGATTTGATTTGATTTGGTTGGTATTTATCTATTAAAACTAAGTAAAACAGTTATTAAATATCAATAAATTAAATGATACATTTTTTTTACTAAAATTCGGTAATTCGGTAGGGAATAAACATCAATAAATTACCTTCGTATCTGACATTGTATTGGCCAATCTCTGGTATTGCATCCCAAGTTTTAGTTGATTGGTTTTTTTCAATTTTTTCCATGATCAGTTTAGTACGTACTTCGATTGAAATATCAACAATCTAAATGTATACAAAAATAAAATGTTGGTTTATTACAACAGGATTACTTATTTTATAAATGTGATTACCTTAAGCATAAAAAATGTATTTTATTTGCTTCTTTGTTCTATTGTAAACCATTTCATATAAATATGAAATTAAATAAACACAAAAAAATCTTCCAGCAATTATATCTTAACTGTAAAAGTGTAAAGAATCAGATAGTTTTAACAACATTACAATTCATTCCAATCCCAATCGAAGTTGAAATAACATAAAACCAAAACGAATTGTTCATCGGGAAAAACAAAATATCATAGTAAAATGAATTGAACGAAATGCAAAATAATCAGAATTCCTTAGAATATCAAACAAACCGTATTATAAATGTACAAACTTAATCAATTAATTAATGAATTAATTAATTAAAGATAGAAATAACTGAAAAGAAAAAAAAAATCCAAACCAGATGTATTGATTTATTCAAATTTGATTGATAAAATAAAAACAATTAAACCGGGTGGCGATAAGCTATAGGTGGCGGGTGGCGGGTGGCGGGTGGCAAACGGCAAATGTGTAAAACGAAAACAGTTTTAAAATTTAAAAATTTAATTGTCAAACGTTATCGGGACAGGTTAACGAAAAACCGCGAAACGGCCAGCCGAAAATTAAAATTTCGTGTTGTATTCAGATACTCACAGGCACCGCCCAGCAAATACCGCTGCGACACGACCAGTACCGGCAACGCCGAACGTCTGGACGAAACGAAAAACAAAAGCGAACAACGGCAATATTATAAACTCTCGCGGAACCGGCTCAATTGTCCGTCAGACCCAACCGAACCGGTTCGATGGCCGCGAAACCGTTCGGTGACGGAAAAACAATACGATGCCCAAGTCGAAAACTATTCGATTATTCGGCTTGTTCGGCATTTCCGATAGTGTGTCCGGATATTCGCGTAGATCCGTGGATACGCGGATCGCGCGACGCGCGTCAAAATTGGTCCTGCTCACCGCGGTCCGAGATATTTTATGTTTCGCGTATTACACAATTGTTCTGAACCGTGTTGCAGTACGCACACTGTGATTACTTAATTACCCGGCCGTGTATTATAATCGCGCCTCTCGGTAACCCAGTTACGGCCGATCGCCTAGCGCATTATTGCGCACTAGCTAATCCGAACCATTCGACAGTGGAGACACCCGTTAAAAGCCCATTTGATCCGAAATATTGGACGGTTCGCACCGTCTCGTTCCAAGACCCGCGGTCCAAACCGTCCGATAGTGTTTATTAGCGATGGGCGGTAACGATTAACAACTATCGAACAATTCGATTGTCCCTTCGATTAGCAATTAATTATTCATTACCGGGACACGCCGGTTCGTTCGAATGATTCAACTATTCATTCCGTAGAACGTGTTTATCCGAATGCTATTGTTATTCGTCCGAACGTCCGAATAATCTTTATCCGAACACTGCCACCACCGGCACTAGGTAATGGCTATTTGCTATTAAGGTCTATTAAAATGGATAAAGAATTTCTTAACGGATCTTGGTTAGGTGTATTGGTTTCAATCGTAACAAATTGAAAACGATTCTGAGCGATACACCCGAAACAAATATGTATTTAACGCATTTTATTCATCCGTACGATAATTTGTATTCGTCCGAATAAAATATATTATTCGGCCGGCGCTATTAACCCCAGTCCATTTCCATTTTCCATATTAGTTGGGCAAAATATACGACGTTAACGCGTCGCGGTTCGCGCAGCTGGTGCGTCACGTGTGTCGCGAGAAACGCATGACTGAAATATACAAGGTCATTGCGTAGGCTCGGATTGTTATCATCAGTTACAAAATGGCTGCGTACAGGGATATCACGGATATTCATTTTCTTATCACACAAAGCACAGTAAATAATTGATTATTATTGGCTCCCTTTACGCTGCTATTTTTGTTCTTATCATCAAATATTTAATTGAGAAGGGGTATGTATATGCAATAACCTTGTATACACAGATGTAGATAATAAACATCCAACGGTATTTAATCAAAATCTAACGTTAATTTACACAATTATGTAACAATAAAGTACCTACATTTTTTTCATTCGGTCGCATTGAATGGTTCGCATGAGTAGATGTATTGATTTTTATTTTAGGTTTCCGAATAATAAATACTTTGTCGAATTCGCGTCTTAAAACTTCACAAAAGATTACATATATTAAACGCCATTACCGCGGAACGACGGTCATACAAATTAAAAACCGGTGGTACAAATTCATACAAATTGATTATTAAAATATGGTGTAGTCAAACTCGATTAACATAATTTTTAACTACGGGTGAGGCTGAAATTGCATTACCCTAGTCCCACTCACAGTTTTTTTTTTTTTTTTGCAACAACGTGAAAATCAAAAATTATACAAATTTTAAAAACTGGCATAAAAATCATACAAGGTACATACTAAATATCTGTGCAGACATTTTTTTAAAATTCCAAGTGGGTGGGGCTGGGGTGATATGCGTAGTTACTCTGTGTCCTACACATAAATACGTAACATTAACTATGATCCTATATTTTGATTGGTTCAAATATTAATAATCAAATTGTTCTCTAATCGCTGGGTATTTGATTACCGTCTTCATTCAAATTTAAATTGTAATACATACAAGTTATAACATAACGACGATCATAACAGAACAAAGACTAAGTACTTTTAAAAATAAAATTTGAAAGTTGATATGTTGGCCAAAATTAAACGATAACACATGATATTTGAAGGAGAAAGTTACACAAATAACAAAAGAACTTTTGAAGGAAACAGAAGTGACTTCAGTCAAAAGCTTCATAGGGGTCAGAGGCTACAATGACTTGGGCATGTGATATATACAAGGAAGAAGCCACGAAGGTGGCCAAGTAAAAAGTGAATGGATATATCCACTTGAGTAGGATTTGAAAATAATAGAAGTGGACAACTGGAGAAGGATAATGTGTTTTATAGTTTAATGTTCAATTTTATGGTACCTAAATTTTAGATAATTATAAATCGTTTATAAATAAATGTATTTAAGAGTAATGTAGAGACAAATATAATGATTATATTATAAAACAGCTTTTTACCATTAAAATTGTCAAAATTAAAATTCATTAATTATAATCAATTCAAATTATTGTTTAGACTGGTATAAGGTATATTTTCCCAAAACTATTTCCTATTTTGCGGTTGAGTTTGTTTTAAGTTGTTGAGCATGTGCTTTCTAAAGGAATGCCACAAAGTAATTTAACGGTCGATGCGCAACCATTCCGGATATTTTCATACGATTTTTCTTTAAAAAATTAAATTCTAAATATTCTTCTTTAAAATTACATTTTACGTATTATACGAGTGTGTAGTTTTAATAATATGCGATTTTTGTTTAGTGGACTAGACGGCATTGCACATACTATGTTTCTAGCTGAAGAACTCGTTTATTATACCTACCTATACTCAGCGCCACGAGAGAACGCATACGGCGCCCGAACAAAATTCGTATATTAATGTACACAACAGCACAGAGTAGTAGTTAGGTGGGGTTTTAAACAATAATAATATAGTGTAAAACCGAGTAAAATGTGTCTTCAACACATTAATATACGTTAATAATACATTATTCGACATTATAGTAGAAGTAGTATTTTGACCGTGAAAAATAATATACAGTTGTCAGCCATATCCCATAAACGCACCATCTTAGTCTAATCAGACATTAAAATAATAATATTATCGTTTTATCGTTTAATTTAATAAAAATGAAACGATATAAAAGCAATTTATTAATTTCGATGATTTTTGTGTTAATAAGTAGTTATTCGTATTTGGTCGGACACTGTAGCACCGAACGATTACTGAGCCTCTATGAAGGTAAGTTACCTAAAGTCATAATTATTTTTTTGGGTATTTGACTAACCTAACCCTAATCTAATCTATAATTGTATTTGTATAATCAATAAGGAGCACGAATATACACTTCTTTTATATATCTTATATATACGATCTTATCTTATCTTATCTTATATTTTATATACGATATCTTCTAACGTATTTTAGTTATGTTTATAGTTAATATTTGATATCCGGTCAAATGATATTTTTCTGTAAAAATGCACAAAATCAAATTTTCTCTAAACGTTCGTATAGATAATCAACAAATTTAGAGGCGGTTTTTCGAGTCGTCCGGAGGTCATTCGGTGGGATGGGTATTGATTATTTGGTACAGAGTAGTAGAGTATTGTTGAAACGATGACCATACATGGTATATTGTATTGGTATACAAACCTGAAACTATAATAGGTTGGGTTAGATTATGTATTATATTATTCTTATTTATTGTGGACATGGTTGTCTGCGAGGAAAAACTTTTTTACCAGAAAGCTTGATTTTATCATCAACTTTTGGCGTGATTTTTAGTATAGAAAATCTTGTGTAGGTGCATTGAGGAAGTAATTTTTACCGGAAACGTTATAAATAATTATTTTATTTTTACGTTAGTTATAATTATATAGCGAAGTCGACACGGTCCGCGAAGTTTGTGTTTGAGATTCTTACCAGGTAGTCATAATACGATTGCAATAATATTATTATTATACGATCGTAGGTATACAATAATTATCCCCGGTCGTCTCCTCCGATATACCGTATCACGTAGAAAAACAACGAGAACAAAAAAACGTAATTACCGCGAAGAAAAAATACAACAATTTTTTATATAAGGTATATTTTCGTTGCCAACAAGTTCGAGGTTTTTTACTTTTATGCGGATATTACGCGCAATTTGTATAAATTTTATGTATTTTATATTTTTGTATATATTATATTTTCATCGGGCATTTTGTTTTCATAAAAATCAGCATACCTACCTGTATACCGAATTGTATCAAAGTTAGTATTGTATTATCTTGCAAACGCAAGGCATACAAATTTTTCGTTCACCAGGGTAAAATATTGTGTGGTGTTAGTTTTAACATTAGAGTGAATTCATTAATACTATCAAACTTAAGAATAATAGAATATTATCTGTGAAACTACGTCGATTTTTTACATTTTTAAGTGAGATAATATGAATACCATATGTGAAATACCACAATTTGAAAATGCTCGAATCTCGTTTAAAAATTAAAATATCGAGAAATACCACGAGAGAATGCAAATATGATGGGATATCTATAAGAAATTAAATATCTACAGCACCGGATCTAAGAGGGAAATTTGGAACACCAACCCCGGGAATAGTCATCGTGGCCAGAAGCCCCAAACAATCCGATTATATTTGCAGCCCGCAGTCTTTATATCTGGTAACTTATATGAGCGCTAATGTTATCTTTGGCCCCGAGTGCTGTAATTTATAACAAAATTGTATAAATCCGTTCACTGATTATAAAAGTCATTATAAACTCTCCGAAAATTAATGTAGCATACATAATTTCATGTACTTTCCGACATCATATAAATGTACAATGTTTAAATTTTAAAAGTCCACATTGTTTAGTAAATTAACTAGGTACCTGATGTTTTCCGATAGTCTGATGGTTTTACATCGAAAGAGTAATACATTTATGATACATAATATCGTAAATTATATAAAATATTATATATTGATACGTAATTTACCGAACTATACAAACGAACATCAACTATGAGACAATATTATCATGAACTACTTAAATCAGTATTTTAAAATAATTTTTTTACGCATATGACAGATTCGATTTTTAGATTCTGAGTGGAGCGAGGAATGTATTGGTTTTACAATGATGTTTATTTATTTATTTATATTTTTTTTGTTTTGTGGACAAACAGAGATCTCGTTCCGATTTTTATGTGTAGTAATTTTTCCGAAAGAAAAGTTTTATTATCAAATGTGAAATACTGAAAAAAAAAAAACTGAGGAAAATGGATAATGTACGAAATATATTAGTAAAATATTACAATTTTTTTTCTACGGACAACTTTTCTACATACAATTTTGCTCCAATTTATAATGACAGCAATGTTTCTGAAAGGAAATTTGACTGGAGAGATACTATAGGGAAGTCATTTTTCGATTTTTCAAGAGTTTTTCCAGTAAATGTGAAAAACCAGGAAAAAACATGGAGAAAACGTAGGAAAAACGGAAAATCGGTAGATTAAACAAATATAACTAAAGATAATATAAAATATCTATTTAATTATTTTCGTTAACAATGTTTAATCATTGCTAACAAATATATATTAAATTACCTGTAACAGTGGCAGCACCCGTTCTCATTATCCTTGGGCAGCTTTTTTATAATTGAATTAATTTTGTTTTACTATGGTTATTATGCAATTTGTAGTCACTTTATTAAGATGGTATCTCGATTCGGCAATACTAAATACAATTTATAGATTATTTTACACAAACCTAATTCGATAATTTATTTATATACTATGATGTATCTATATATTATAGGAGATATTTGCAAAAAAGGCAATGGCGGTACGTCCGATCATGTTTGTCGGACGTTAAATAATTGCAGTACAGTTGCAAATCTACGAACGAATAGTATTAAACTTGGATTCTGTTCGTATAACAATCAGATTCCAATAGTTTGCTGTCCGCCGACCGATTATGCTATCGTGAGTACTACAAAAGTAAAACGTAGCAGCTCGCCGACAGTGGCTGTGAAAACATACTCTGCCACTGAAAGTATGCACAATATTACACATTAACCGTTCTGCTAACTTAAGTTTAGTAAAAAAACTTATCTGCCCTTATATTGTAATATTCAATTTAGTTACCGACTACTGTTTAATTATAAACTGTTCATTTATAAATACACATCGAGACTTGAAACTTGGTAATAATACTTATATTGGACTTACCTAGGCGTAGTAGAATTTCCAAAATCATCGGAAGACTTTTTTTTTTAATAAGCGTTTTGAAATTAAATTTAAACAAAATTATGTATTATCGAACTGCGTTCGGAATGGTCTTTCGTCAGCAATGGTTTATCGTTGCATACTAATTTAAATGAAATAACCTTATGTATCCTACCTTCCTAACTTCCCATCTACAACAGTGGCGGCACCCGTCCCCAGTATCAACTCTGTTTATTTTTTTATATAAATGTTTTATTCATATATTTATTTACGAGTATTAACCATTTTAATAATTTTGTTTATACTTTATTTGGTATGCAATATTTTAATTTTTAATATTTAGAATGTGATGAATATTCTAAATTAATTTACACTAAAGTGCTGGACCCAATACTTACATCAGCACCTGACGAGTATATATTATTAAAAGATTGCTATGACGTTAAGGCTTTAATTGTCGGCGGTGAAAAGGCCGAACCAAAGGAATTTCCACACATGGTAATGATGAATATAATATAGTCTGAACTATATTTGGGCGTATATATATTTATACATTAACTGTATCCATGCAGGCTTTGTTGGGATATAATAGAAAAGCAAGCGGCAATACGTGGAGCTGCGCGGGATCATTGATCAGCGAAAGGTGGATATTGACTGCAGCTCATTGTGAAAAAGTCGGCACTTCGTAAGTAACCTTTTATTATGTACATTTAATTAAAACTCTATTAAAAATATATAATACACAAGTATTGTTCAAGAAACTACGCAAGTTGGGCTCGACTAGGCGATCTGAAGTATTACCCAAACACCGGCAATACCGAATCCAAAGTCTATAAAATAGTTGAACGCATTAAACATCCGAATTACCAGGTGCCGTCGTATTACCACGATATAGCACTTTTTCACTTGGAAAAAGACGTTGAATTCTCTCCCTACATACGGCCCATTTGCCTCAATACGGATCAATTATTAAAACCTTCGAATGCCGTAGCTAGTGGTTGGGGACGAACTCGGTATAGTTAGTGAAATTTTTATTGATTATAATATATGATATAACAATGGCCATAATCACGATTCGGGACATATAGGCTATAGAACTTAAAATCGATAAAAAAAAAAAAAAAACGTTTATAAACCTTCATTATAACCCTTAATAAAGTTTCGTCAAGCCATTTAAGTCATGCAATAACCATTTAAAAGTTATTTTAAAATGCAAAATAAAAACTAGTAAAAATCATGTTTTTGAAAAACTGTCGAAATAAGTAAACATAAAGCGTTTTCAAAATTCACATTTGAACTTGTTGTAACGTGACTTACTTTGTCATAGCACTACACCGTAGATTTAACGTCAAACCGAAAAAATAATCAAATTCAATGCTTTTAAGTTCCGAACACTGATTATATTATATGATATAGTTTTACCTATGTAGTTATTATCATATTATAATATCATATACGTGATTAACAATATTTAGATGGACCAATGAGTCCGGATTTGTTAAAAGTGGTTTTAGACATAATTCCGACAAATCAATGTAATAGCAGCTATGAAATAGATGATGAAAGCATGGTGTGTGCGGGCTATTCAGAAGGCGGAAAAGATACTTGCGGAGTAAGGATTTCATAATTTTACATGCGGATAATAAGGGTACCTAAATATTTGCATTCATTTTTTAGGGAGATTCCGGCGGTCCGTTACAAATAACAAACGATAATTACACTTGTATGTACACGCAAATAGGTATAACATCGTTCGGAAAAAATTGTGCTCAAAAAGATTTACCTGGTGTTTATACGAAAGTATCGAAATATATTCCGTGGATTGAACAGATCGTGTGGCCCAAGGAATAATCTAAAACGTTGTTTGCGATATTGGTAAAACGTTTTACGTTGAAAATAAGTTTATTTGTTGTTAGGAATATATGCGTACATATTTTTTTTTATTAATTCATTTAAGTCATCAAATTATTTGACTATTTGAAATAAAATAATAACACAAAATATTATTAATCATTTTGTGTGCAGCTCACTGTTCCAATCTTGTTCGAAAAGATACTATGGTAAATCTGTAATGGAAATTAAACATGCATATTGTATACAGGGTATTGGGCTATCCGAATTCCTCATCACACTTCTGCTCTTCGTTCTCGAGAACTCCGTAGAAAATATAATCTCAAAAAAGAATTAAAAAATAACTTCGTTTTCTTAAAACTGTTGAGATAAGATGGACTGAGTCGCACAATATAATCGAATCAATTCCGTTTCCACATAGTAGTGCAACCGACAAAATGGCGGCAAACTGCTACACTATATTCACTGATAACAATGTAAATAATATGCGAGTTCTTTATCTAGCGTAGTTTAGAAGTCTGTGGATTCACCACGTACCTATAAGACTACAAAAAAAAAAATTCGGAGTCAAAAAAGTTTACAATTATTGAATAACATAACCATGTTACCTACTATTTAATATATAGATTTAAGTTAATGCAATAATATATTTATATACGTGCCTAACTCAATTTTGTATTATTTAAAATTTAATATAATGTTTAGTTATCATAAGCTGTTTATAATTATAGGTACATTATGTGATTATTAACATACCTTAAGATGATAATCATTGATATTTACCAAAATTTGTGATAATTTGTATATAAATTAAACTCGCATTTACATAAAATGACAAATAAAATATTTCAAATAGTTAATCATTACATTTTAATCCGTAGACTTATGAAAACTGTACTTAATATAGAAATAAATACATAAATACCCAGGGTATGTCATTTAACATATATTCCTATAAGCTATAGATATTTGACATTAGTTTAACTCTGATCTATAGTACTATATAATTATTTAATTCTAACTATAAAGCTAAATAATTAGTTTTACTAAAATGTTTTTTTTCTGAAAGCCTTTTTTTCGGTTTAAGAAAATTCTTCGATTTTTTTATGCTGTATCTTAAAATACATATATTTTTCTTCAGGTTGTAGTTTATTTGAAACAAAATTCTAAATTGTCCATAGCTTTTCCAATTTATTATAAAAACTGACAACAAATATCGTATATCGGTTTTAAATTTGTTGATTTTTGGGTTACCCTTGTGCTACAAGGGGAAAACACGACTAATAATTTAGCCTGTTATTGTTATGTAGCCTTACCAGTTTACCGAGCTCCGTTCAGAATCGTTTTTTCTCGATCATAATGACTTATCGTTGATTTCAATGTTTCAGTATATGTAAACCAGAATACTATATTTCCTATAGACGTTCCACACATCCCGCCTACAACAGTGACCCACGGTGCATTGATGCGAGGTATGTCCTACTTTTTAAATTTATTGTTATTCGTTTTGTTTTTAACGCTACGCGACACATGCACAAATTAACCTATTACACCGGGCCACGAGAAAACAATAATTAATTATTATTATTCGGTAATCAAGTGTGATAGCTATACAGTTATTTTAAACGTATTGTACTTTTTGTATATTAAATAAGTAAGATTTCGGTAAGTAACTAAATATTTTAAAAAGCCAGTAATATTACAATTATTCATCGTCCAATAAATTATTTTTCATGTTATTCATGTTTTATATGTGCCTAAAACAAACGCATTTTTGAAATAAAATAAAACTTATAATGCCTAGATCTCACTTTTTTTTTTATACTTGTAACTTGACAAGAAAAAATTAAGGTTTTTCTGTCGATTTTATTTAATCTGTAGCCTTCATATATTTGTTTAAAATTGTAAGCGCAAGCATTTGTAATGAAAGATAGTGACACAATATGTGCAGCTAAAATCATTGGCGGAAATTTAGCCTCTTCACTGACGTATCCGTCAATAGGAATCGATGATATGAAAATCTTCAATAAAACAGTCACTGGCCTCATTCGAAGAAGGTAATAGCAACCCAAAGGTATGGTTAACCACTTATTCTCTTCTGTTTTATTATTTTGACAATTTTTTCTAAAGATGTATACACTTTTGCAGCGCAAGTTCTGACAGAACAACGTCGTTGTATTGAACAATTATTAGATTCATGAACTTTTCGATACGTAAAATTTGTAAAATAATAACAAATTTTTGTCTCTGATATTTTTAATAATTCCATCGATATTTGTATCCGCTACTTATACTTTTAAACAGTTTTGAAGCGTGTAATATGAACGCACACGCAATTAATATCGGACTAACTGTAAATATCACGGTACTGCTGTTCAATAATTTTCGATATTTCGAAAACAAATATTGATCGTTTTTATTAGATTAGCTTTAGATTAGACTAGACGTAATCGATCTCGTATCTAGTTATTATTGGTAGATGCGATATCACTATGCTTATCAGCTGGTAAATTTCAAAAATTATTAAAGTACAAATTGCAAATTGCATACGCACTTAAATTTACCTAGATTAGTGACGCAATTTACAAGTAATAAAATTGGCGCAAAATATCGTGTACGCCAAGTGTACGCCCGTGATTCGGCAACATCCGTTTAACAGAAGATACACGTACAGATGCGTGTATCGATCCATTCATGAGATTGTAATATCCAATAACCTATTGTCACGTTAACACCGTACACCTAATAATACAATGGGCGAAAATAGCTGATGAACGATTAGCAGCAAAACGGATAACTGCAGCAAAGAGTGCCACCCCGGTGACCCCAGTTTTCAGTGTACCTGTACCTGCCTACGTCAATGTCAAGTTCGTGTCGGTCAGTACCCTTGTAATAATAATAATCAGACAGGCATCAGAGACGCCGTAAAAGGCGTAGGCCATAGGTACGCAAAATTTCAACAGTTCATCGATTACATTTTTTTTTTTTTTTTACTTTTAGTGATTCATGTAATGTAATGTAACGCAATAATTATTAATATATAATATGAAAATGCCTATACATAACAGTACACGTTTGTACAACGACAGTCGTAACAAAACATCGTTTTGGTCGCCTCAGACTACGGGAAACAAGGTTTCCTTTAATTTTGTAAAATCTATATCATTTTAAAGGATTTGTATTACTACACCGTTTACCGATTTGTTTTTATGCCGATTATTAGAATATTATGTTTACATACAATTACCATATGCAAGTATCAAACTTACCTGCAGTGATGGATGCTAATAATATTATTAGATTATAGTTTTTATGATAGGAAATAAACGTAAGTATTCCATACGGTTATTTCGTCCCCTTTTATAATTTTCGTGAAATAAATGAAAACTAATTTTTTAACAGTCAATTGTTTTTCTTGAATTACAAGTGAAAAGCATATAGGCGTCAAGTTTTCAACAAAAAAATAATCGGATGCTTTATGCTAAAAGTACCTCCCCTATTAAAAAAAAGTCACTTTTTTCAATCTGAGAAAAACATGTTTTTAATTTCAAAACGTAACAGTTTTTTTCTTTTTACAAGTTCGGATTAAATTAAACGCTACAATTTAATATTTAGTAACTACAAGACAATATTATTAACCACGGCTATAGCCCAACACTTGTCCGGTTATCGGTTGTCTTCCCTGTTTTTTTTCCCCGGCCTAAATTTCTGAGTTCTGACACTCATTACTCTCATTACTAATCTATTTTTTTCTTTGTACCCTTCATAATTTATATTCATATACATTAGTAATACACGTGGACTTTTTGTTACATTAAAATATTTAGTATTTAACTTGTGTATGAAATAAAACAAATTTAATTGACAATATGGCTATATAAAAATGTATTCCTTCATTTAATTTTTTATATTCAATCACGTATTATTATAATATTTTGTTGCACATTTTCTATTTATAATAAAACAAAAAACGCAATTAAAATACTATAATATCAATTATTGAAGTTATCGATTAGTCATCGGTACCTATAAGAATTTCAGTTGTTTTTGTCACCGGATTATATTCTTAAATTAGATTTTAAACATTCGTACCGACCGAACGTTCTGTATATGAAATCGTGTCATTAATCATAATTCATATTATTATCCTTATCCCTTATACGTATCGAATGCTGCGGTGTTATATTCGCGGTGTCCTCCTACTCAAGTTCAACAACCGTCTCGAACGAGACGATGATGATGACTGGTTCGCGCCATTGTTGGGAGTTGATTAGTACTACGCCTAATTCATTGTTTAATATAATAAATCGTTGATAAAAAAAAAAAAAAAAAAAAAAAAAAAAAACGAAACAAAACAAAACAAAAAAAAAAACCCGTTGTAAATACTTCTCGGGACTTTGATTGCCGATATATAAGTCGTAAGATTCGTATTCGCGGTCAGTATATTCACAATAGGAAGTTGAGAAGTACAACGCAACGACACCGCCACGATGGTTAGAGTAAGTGTAAAATATCGTAGTGATCTATTGTCGTAATATTTAACACTCGTATCTGCAACATTTAACTACTCTACTTTTAATACACCGCCCGAATTCTAAATGTCAAACGTATAACTATTCACGTTTACCATGTCGTATATTATTCGAAATGTTTTCATTCATATATATTGATTATACGGTTCGGCGTTCTCCTTAGGTAATTACAATTTTGCTGGTGATTATATCGGGAATCCTGTGCAGCGGAGCACAACAAGGGGTGTCCAGTACCCAAGCCGGTCAGACTTTACAAATACAGCCGAACGTAAGGAAATACAACAAACACACCGCTACAGAAAGTAAGTAGAAAAAAAAAAAAAATATATTTATTCGCAATCGATAATAACGCAGTGCATTATGTTAACTTAAAAACTGTACAACTACTCTCGTATTAAACATTATCTTTTATACCTAATGAAATACACGCGTCCCTTATGAAATCCCCTAATGTTCTTTTTATCCACCAATGTGTAGAACAAATTACGCGAAAAAATCACTATATATAGCTAAAATGATGTCCATAGCCAATAACAATATTAATAATTTCTACCAAGAGCACATCAACTGTTGATTGTAATTAATAATGTAACTGTAGTATTTAATTAATGTGTTATATAATTCATATACAGAGTGATAAATCTATCGTAAGACAATCGTTATCACGGAAAATATTAACTTTTTCCGGAATTAGATTTTTAGAATATTTAAGAAACTAGCTGTTTTACAATTTTATATTTATGTTACTTTTTGTCAGCTTTATTTTCGAGGGTAAAACTACCTACTTTTGATTTTCAAATGGCAACTTATATTAAAAATTGCGCAAATAGATGGAGTATTAATTAAAATAATTTTTGGTGTTGAAATTTTTGATTTCCGTTTGTCCGTTGACGAGATATTCTACTTTTAATTATGGGTTGGTGAAGAGTAGTGGTGCATTATTAACACGCCACGCGACGTACCCTCACACAAATATTACTCCACTACACTTCTCCAAACCAAACATAAAAGTGGAATATCTCGTCAATGGATTGACGGAAATCAAACATTTTAACACTACAATTTATTTTAATTAATACTCCATCTATTTGCGCAATTTTTAATATAGGTTGTCATTTGAAAATCAAAAATAGGTAGTGGTTTTACTCCTGAAAATAAGGGTGACAAAAAGTAACATAAATTTAAAATTATAAAACAACTTGTTTCTTAAATGTTCTAAAAAATTAATTCCCGGAAAAAATTAATACTTTCCGAGCTTATGAGTGTCTTATTGTAGATTGATCACTCTCGTATATTGTATAAAATCCGAATGGCGTAAATTCATATAAATAAAAATAAAATAAATAAATTGTCTACGTGCAAAATATGTCTCCGGTTTAAATATTTAATTCAAGTAATAATAATAATTTATAAAAAAAAAAAATTGCTCGGCGAACAGACAATATTTCCACAGATAAATTAAATATTTGTCACGAGTTGTTATTTTGTTTACCAACGGTTTATGATAAACTGCCGTTGAGCTTTAAAATTTATATTTTATCTTTATTGGTTTGTTCGGAATTCAAATGTTTCGTGAAAAATTCATCGTCCGGCAGGCCCATGATTAAGGGGTGGGTGAGGTTTTACCTGTTTTTGTTTTGCATCTAGAGGTCAATGACAGTTATTGGTTTTATCGAATTAAAGGCGAGTTTACTCCTGCATAACTCCAGATTTATAATGTGTGGTCGATAAATTTTTATTTGCGTTTTGGACTCTCGATCACACTAATAATTGATGTATTTATTTTATGAATTTATTATAATTATTATTTTTTTTTCGTAATCCCCCACGAAGAAATTCTGCACACGGGTCCAAGGCACTCACAAGTAGGGTATAGGAGGGACAACTCCACCCTAGCTTTCCGGCAAGTTAAAATAATTATATGTAAATTCAATGTCTTAAAATCCCAAAAGTCATTATTGGTACCAAGGTGTACTGATATTTATCGATACACCTTGATTGATACCTATAGCCGTAGTCGCAATTGGTAGTCGGTTAGGTATACTAAAGTTTTAAGCGTATAATAAGAGCTTTTAATGAATTTTATGGAGATTTCGTTTTTCTTTGGGAGTCCTACACCGAGACTCAGCCTCATAGACCACCAACATTTGTTGTGCTAAAATAAACAATTACACATTTCATTTAAAATTTTCTTTATGAAAATACATCATAACTTGTTAACTTCAATTTTTATACACACGGGCATCGTCCGTGTGGGTAATTTGTATTTTGTTCTGCTTATTAATCGTGAAATACATGGATAAAGCATTTAATCGATACTGTATATAATCAAGCTCATTGGGTTTTTTTTATGGGGGCGCTAAAGGCTCCCTGCATCCCTACCCCAAGTCGCGCCTGTGCAGTCAGCACCGACCTAACTCCGATCGGTGCTTACGAGTCGCCTCCCACCGTCATCGTAAATAAAAAGGTTCGTGTTCACTAATCGCCTCCGACGATTAAGTTGTTCAAGATTATATACGAGTAGCCTCCCAAACGTGATCACACTAGTCGCCTCCCACATTAAATAAAACAGTGGTTCACAAAGTAAACTGTATTTAATATAATAATTATAATTTTACTAAAAATAATAACATCATTGGTGAATAAAAACCATTCGGTAATACAATTCGTCAATGATAAAACACTGATCATTTCTCGCATTTCAATATGATCCATTATTCAAAGAACTAATGAAAAAATGTTAAACCATTAGGTAATTGTAGATATAAATTAGAACGAGTGTTGAAACTCAACTAACGAGTAAGGACAGTTATCATAACAGCAGAGTAATCTTTAATATTAATCGTATAATCTTATCAATGCACAACGATCACAAATTACGACTTTAAATGTATAAACCCATAATCCAATGCTGGCTGATACGTTATTAATAACTAATAAGTAACAACCACCGTGATAAAAGATTTAAACAAATCTATATACCGATGCATGATTTTTGAAAATTGTTGAACCGTTTGTGAACCACTTACACGTTCATTATATGCCTATTGGGAGGCGACTAGTATGCGCCCAACTCCGATTATGTTATAGTTAAAAAAACAAAAAACGAAAAATTTTGCATAAAATACACAATCGTTTGGACTGTATACGTATCTATAATATTGTTTTTGGATTATTTTTAAGAACCTTGTACAACTGCAGGCTCGACGTCGGGCACGCGGAAGGACAAACCGGGCGACAATTCGGACGCGCAGGACTACGTGCCCATAGGTGGCCCGGCCCCCGGTACTGGATACCCGTACCCGTATCCCGCGTACCCGTACCCGTATCAGCCGGTGGCCCCGGTCCCCGGAAGCCTGGTGCTGGTGCCGAGCGGCGGCCCGTACCGGCCCGCGCCACAGTACCCGTACGAGCCGCAGTACCCGGTTGACGGGGCACAGCCACCGGCTCCGTACTATCCTCCGTATTACCCGGCGACACCGTCACCGCCGCCGCCGTACCCTGCGTTACCGTATCCGCCGCCGCCGCCACCGCCCGCGTACCCAGCACCGCAAACGTTGTACGAGCAAGCGACCGTCATCGAAGCGTACCGCTCGCCACAGCTTCCTCCGTACCTGCAGCAGCAGCCGACCGGCGAACAATCGCAGTTTTTCAGACAGCCCGTCACCGCCGGACAGTACTATTACGGGTCGCCGCAACAATCGGGCCCGCCTCCGCCTCACTTCAGGGCTCACGCGCACAACAGACCGATGCCAACGGCAGCACCGCCCGCGTTTCTCCAGCAACGGGACGCCTCGCCCACCGCGACCTCTGTTCCCGCAACCGCCGCCGCCGCCAACAATAATGCCGAACCGCAATACGAACAACAGCAATCCGGGCCGTTCGACGGTAACCAGTTTCATTACTAACGCAGCGGACCGCATTAAAAACGTTTGCTACTTGGTGACCGCGACACCCGCCAACCGACTTATGTTGGTCTTGTATGTAATCCGCAAAGTAATCCTGTGAACAACGCGAGAGACGATTTTGAAAATATTACATCTTCACACGCAATAATACATTAGGCTAATTATTAACTATACTGTTATAGTATTAATAAACGAATACTTACTTCTATATTCGTAGGCGATCAGCTTGTATTTTGATTATTGTACTCTAGCGTTTATAGTGTAGATAATATTTTAGGCGCCTATTACAATATGGCATTATTTTTTAATTTTTTTTTTTTTTTTAATTTAATAATTTAAAATGTATAATGGTATATTTAGTTTTCATTTAGTTTGAATACACATTCGTCGTTCGTCGATAATATTATGGATATAACTTTCTTTCTTTTTTTTTCGCTACTTTTATACGTTTTTTCCGATCTAAAATACAGTCAGCGACATTACATATAGACGCTCTCGGTCTTTTATTCACGAACAATACGGGCCGTTCGCTTAGACATAAGTGGGCCTCGTTGCCACAATGAGACGGATAAAGGGTTTGTAAGCACAGAACGGTGACGTAGTACGAATATTCCGTGACGTCATGGTATGGACGGCACGGCAACGCTTCATAACGAACGCACTCAATGTCTGATCGGTAGGTAGGCAACTACGGAATATCAGTGTTTATTTGTTTTGTATTACGTTGTATTTGCATAGATATTCTATTTATATCTTAAAACTAAACGGGTTACTTTTTAAATATTTAAACTGAGTAAAATAATTCCCTTTTTTCAGAAAAATGTACAAAAAAAAAAAAAAGAGTCCATTTCCAGTGTGTGCACCCAGTTAGCAGTATCGTGTCAACAAAATTAGCACCAAGTGCAAAATTTATCGGTGAGAAAAAAAAAAAACTGCTAAAAGTTAAACCTGTCCGTTAGGCGATCATTGTTTGAACGTTTATTGTTCAATATTGAAATTAATTTGAAATACGTTTTTAAATTATATTATACATTTTGAATAACTGATGATTGAAAAATAGAGTTAAGTATGGTAGTTATTGATTTCGTGGTTAATATGCTACGCGAGTGATTTCAAGTTTGTTTTTAATTTGCGTTCCCATAGGTTTTGCTTCCCGTGAAAAAATGTGAAGTTACGTATCTGAGTAAACCCGTAAGTTGAAAATCGATGTTATCGATTATGATTTATGACAACGATCAGTGACACTGAAGTCCTAAAAATGTAGTCGGGGTAAATAAATGCCAAGAAGCCCCAATAACTAAACAACGACTAGAGTACACTAGAGTAGACTAGACTGTTAGATTATACTCTATGCCTACGAGGCTTCGACCCATGCAGTTGGTAGGTCGCCGAACGAACAATGATAAGATGATAAGAGGTTCATCGGAGGAAAACATTTATGGATCCGTATACAAAATTGCCTGTATAGGTCCTTCTAGAGAGCATACTGGATAATGGCGTGATTAATAATTCTTGTGAACGTTTTCTATTGGCTGACTATTATCATTGATTATGGACGTTTCACAATTGAACGTTTCATACAAAATCCGGGCATTAACCAAATTTAATTATATTTTCAAACCGGATAATATAATATAATTTATTAATACCTTAATTGAACATAATATTTTACGGAATAAAAATATTTTGCTTTATAATATTTGCATATGAAATTACTTATAATTAATATTTTTTACACCAGAAAAAGTGAACTTTTGCTTTCGTATTTTTAAATTGTTTTTTTTTTCTATATCAAAAATAAATTACTTAGATCGAATTTCATATGAAACGTTCCACTGTGCGTTTTTTCAAGTAACTTTTTTTAAATAAAACATTTAATGTCAACAATTTATTATATTAAGATTAAAATGTATAATACGAAAGCTTTTTGATTTATAAACATGGTTTGTACATATTTTCTTTTCATAATCTTTTAGAGGTTCAATTTTTGAAATTCACAAGGAAATTACAATTTTTTTACAAACATTATGTGAAGATATTTTTTAATACGTTTTAGTGATTAAAAAGCTCAATGATTAAAAGTGATTTAAAATTAATACTATCGCAGCTATAACTGGTGTGTGGAAAATAAAATTGTAGATGTTTACAAATCAAAAAACTTTAATATCATACATTTTTATCTATTTTCATATTTTAACATACATTTTGAATCATCTTTTGCAACAAGAAATCTCCCAGTGGGAATAAAAATAGATAGGTACAACAATAATAAACAGAAACATTTATTTAGCAGCATATCAAATTGAAATATGTCATTATCATCCTTGATATTTTACCAATATAATAATGAAAAAACTAAGTAATTGTGTATGATATAATTATTACATTATAATTTGTTATACTAAAAAAAAAATTAAAAATATAATACCGGTGAGTTTATTTATAGTTTATGTATAGAGTATAATTTTTCTACCAGCAATTTCGTTTCAATTACAATGATACAAATTTTTCTAAAAGGAAATTTGACTGAAGCAAATGTAAAAAACGATAAAACGTAAGAAAAACGGAAAAATCGGTACAACATTAAACAAATATTATTAAAGAAAATATATAAAGCCTAATTAATTATTTTACTATAAAATGGCATGTATACTTTTAATAAAACATAAAGCCCGGTTCACGCAATCAAATACTTGGCGTACAACAAACTTCAAATATTTTAGAAACATTTATAAAATACTTGATAGTTTTATCACACATTGGATTAATAGATAGATAACAAATCGTTATCATCGTATATCATGATTATGAAATATAATTTATAGTATTTACACATTTTATACAAAAGCATTGCCATATTTTGTAGTCCAATTATTGTAATTATTATTTATTATATTTTATTATCTATAAAAAATTTTAGATAAAATCAAATTAGTTTTCAATGACACCGAAGAGAGTAAAATTATTACTAGACTGAACACTGAACAGATCGTCAGGTACCACTAAAACTTGTAGTCACAAATTATTTACATTTATGAATTTGGGTTTTTGAGTTCTTGGGAGAATAAATTATTATATTAGATTTATAATTTTATGTGAACAACGAACACGTATTCAAAATCACAAGGAAATGTCTTTAATTGTAATGTGCACACGACACACATCAAAATTAAAGCAATAGATCTCTCCCTACGCTCCAAATATAATACTTACAAAATACTAATGCATACCTACTATATAGAAAGTTAAAGTAGGTACTTATTTAATTACCTACATATTTACTTATTTTCTAACCTTGAAGGTTTATTTTTGAACAATTTCATTTGTTTCCATAATTTATATAGTTTTATAAATTGTTTACTCATGTTGTAACTGTAATGTAAGAATATCATAATGAATAACGAGTAATGACTTAGTACCACGATGCAGATAAAATTTCATCTGCATCGTGATTAATACATACTGCAATTAATTATAAATCAATAGATAATCGATGGTACTACTTAAGATAATTATTGTACAGATTAAATTTACGCAGATTGTATTTGACTAGTCACTACAGAGTTTTAGTTATGGATAATTTGATCGTCTGAACCATTTTCCAAAGTTTGCCGTTCGCCAAATATTTGATAAAATATTTGATCGTGTAAACCGGGCTTAACTATCATCTGAACTTCGCTTAGAATCCTTTTTTCGTTAGCAACGGTTTATCGTTGCTTACAGGTATACATTAAATTACATATAGCAGTGGCTGCATGCGTCCCTTTTATCCTAGGACGCCTTTTTTCTTCTAAATCCTTTCACTGCTATGCCCACATATTTGTGGGTAAAGAAAACATTTCGTATGTAATACAACCTATACAAAAAGCAGGAAAATGATACACGCGCTTCTGAATCCAACAATATTTTCAAAATGATGATATCACTGATATTAAAAGAGATATTATTAAATATTAATTATATATTTCAGACCTCTTATGGGTTCTCAAACACTGAAGTCACAAACTATATTATTGTATTTGTGGTTGTATTTTTTTGTTTACGAGGCGTCAGTTAAAAAGTGTAGTCTATTTTTAGAACTGTTTCGAATAGTTAAAATATTAAAAGATAATAATATAAAATAATTTTATTAAAGTCCGATTATTTTAGATAGTAAATAAAACCAGTTTTCCAAAACTATCTCCCCGTTAGTCTTATCATTAGTGTCGATTAGAGCGCTATCTATAGTTCTTTTCAATCGATAATATAAACAAGTTGTTTGATACATCTGATCAGAAGTGAAGGAATTATATAGGCAATTTTCTTTACGAATCCCAAAAATATTTCCTTCGATAAATGTCTCATTCATTCTATAAGGTGCATAACACATACTATAAAACAGCGCTCTCTTTTTGTATTTGGTAAAACTAATTTTCTAACAAATACGTTTCTAATAAATTATTTCTTAACAAATTTATTTTCGTAAACAATAATTCCGGACAAAATCTTTTCTGGTAAAGATTTTTCTAGCATTTTATTTTCGTATATTTATTTAAATCTCTTTATATGTCCATGATAACAATAGATAATAATTTCTTTATTATCTATGCCAATATCTTAGTATTTTTCATCCACGTTCGGTATCAATTTCATAACAAAAATAATCACGATATTTGAACATTTTAAAAATTGATATTCCGACAAAGTGTCGAAAAATGTATACAACATTACAACATCCATTGTATACTATGATAAAAGGTTTGTTTTCCTGACCATTGACGACACAAAATATTATCAATGCGCAGTCAATTTGTTAATAGGTCAATAGTCCGAACCCCCATGGATGTCCTCACGCTTAAATACGCTACTGAAAGGTTGAGAAACACTAGTTAGGTTTAATCACAGTTTAAGATAGTACTATCTTACATAAATACATGTATTTGTGGTGAAAAGTGTATTGATATCAATACACCTTGTTGTATACCTAACCATGGTCTTAATAACTAGTTTTTAGGTCTATGGGCCTAACCTTTGTCATTTAAGACTGATATGAATTCTTCCATGATAATTTATTATTATGAGACAGAATTGATAGTACTGATAATAATTAAAACAGATGTTTTTTCCATTTACAATTTTTTGCTAAACATCGAGACCCGAGCGGCTATCTTAATTTGTGCTTCGATCAAATTTTAGTTACCTTTTGTAAGTTATTTTCGTTTCGGAAAGTATACATTTGTTTTGGATTACCGTTCACCAAACAGTCAGTCACAAACTGGTAAATATTATTGAAGTTCTATTTCATAGCTTATGTTGTATTGAACATTATTAGCAGTTTTCAGTTATAAGTATGAAGGTCATATTATTATGGTTAGACTTAAAAATTTGAAAATATTCAATGACATTATCCCGATTGTTGCCATTATAAAACAATTATTTGTTTTTAATCATTATTTAAACATATTTGAATCATATAAATAATTAAAAAATAATTTATTTTTGTGTTTAATGTGAAATCAATAAATTTCATTTAAAAAAAAACTAAACTTGTATAATTGTATATTATACTACCTATAGAAGTACTAAAAATCACCGGGACTAGGATTCAAACCCAAGTTTTGCTTGCTGTAAGACTGTTCTACCAAATGAGCTACTGGGGGCCTGATTCCTAACACTCCACTGTACTTAAACAGTCTAATGTCAAATCAGAGGTTAGTGGAGTGACATGGTATATGGTTAAGGGGACATTACAGTTGTTAAGGTGATGTGTTAAGTACTTATTGAAAACTGAAAACCCTAAATTTGATTCATGAATATTTCTGATTAGTTTTAACATTAAATATTTGTGTAATACATTGAATACCTATATTATTTTTAAGTTTACATGAAATTGTGTTTTAGAATCATGTCGTCTACTGCTGTTGTTAAAAAATTAGTAAGACCACAATTTCGTGGAAACTTTGAACAAAAAACAAAGTTTCATCTTGGGTTAAGTATTGGATTATCTATCATAGTTGGCTTAGGTTACAAATATGGCATTGGTGAACCCCGTAAAAAGGCGTACGCAGAGTTCTACAAGTGAGTCAAATTGTTTTGCTATCTTAATAAGTGTAAATGGTATTATTAATTGACTTCATATTTTATTTTATAGAAATTATGATGCCGATAAAGACTTTGAAAGGATGAGAAAACTAGGACTTTTTTCTTCTTGTCCTGCTGATGATTAAAAATCCTGTCATGTTACTAATTAGTTGTTCTATGTAAATTTATTTGATCAGAAACATAAATGCACTTTTGAATACACCTTTGTATTAATAAAATATAATTAATTATTATGTATTACTGATTGTATTAAACAATTTACATGTGTTTGAGTAAAAACCATGAGTTTAGTTCAATTTTAACAGTAAATTACCTATGAAAACTTTATTCTTCATTTATTCTAGTAGTATAAAAACCTATTAATTTATTAGCAGTTTGGTTGGAAAAAAAATTGTTCAATTTTCTTGGTATATCCATATGCCTATTAATAATAAAAATAACTTTCCAATTTAATTCTTGAAGTTTGTATTGTTAAATTTTTTCTTCAACTAAATGTAAGTATGTTAAAAATTTTAATTGCAATAGATCTGAATGAATGCATATCAATTATTTTTCTTCCACATTGACACTTCATTACATAGAAATTTGTAATTTCTCACGAATTTCACATAATGTAATATGTAATACTACATTATATTATAGTATTTGCATGTATGATAATTGAATAATAATTTATACAATATACATCATATTAAAATGTTGACAATACTATCTTGGTAAGGTAAGTATAAGATGGAAGGGTGTTTTAATAAACAATATCAGGTGCACCAATCCAACGAGCGGTGGGACAAACCGTTTTAGGGTAAAATGTTCATTGGATTAGGAGGTACTAGGCAGATTATATTTCGTTGCCCAAGTATGTTCTTATTCTTATCAAATAGTTGTCCCTAATGAACTTGGTTGCGTTTTGTTTACAATAAGATCGTTAAGTACAGGTCGAAAATTGAAAGAGTTTTGGTTATCGACACGTGTGTTCAGAGTAAGGCGCATTATTTATTTTGAATTTATAATTTCCTACGTCCATCATTAAAATTTTATTATTCGTGATTCGTCCGACTGTCGTGTGTGGCACACGCAGTGCGACCAACTCGCGGAGATCACAAGGACGTTCACAGTTCGACGAATTTTCCGATAAATGTAATCGGAAAACACCATCCGGAAACTAAAAGCATCCGCTGACGTCCGGGATTTTCCGATTACGGGAGGCGTGAAATTTGTCGACCCGCGCTGCGATATTATGGCACACCATGTCTAAGTGGCCTGGGATATTTGGCGCTTCGACACGTTGGCCGCACTGTGACGGTCAGTGATGTGCATTGCAAATGGCCGCTCTTGTTATTGTTCCGTAGTCCCCGTAGCGTTTCGCGATTTAACACGATAATAAACCCCCGAGTTGCCGAAATCCCGTCGTCGCCCCATACGGATACTCATCAGTCGCGTTCGTTGTTCGCCGCATCCCGTTTTTGAATCGTTTGCGTCGCGTACCACGTTCATTCGTCCGCCTAAACTTTATTTGTTACCCGCGAACGTAGCGGCGTTCCTCTTGTGCGTGTGTGTGTACTGTGCGCGATACTGCGAGTCTGTGTGTGTGTGTGTGTGTGTGTGTAAGCGCGAAAAGTGTTCGATGTGCTACACCGAACGTTGGATTACACCATTTCGGCCAGGAATATGTACGTAACTCGGGTAAGACGGCTTTTGTCAAACTTTTAGCCCGTTTGGGCGTTTTTGGGTCTTGTCCGAACGTGTCGGACGCGGCGGCAGCGACGGTGTGTGCACGTCCTCCGCTCCCCGCGCCTTCGCAAAATGGTGGTCGGGATCCCCTCGCCAAACAGTTACGGAATGGTGACGGATGTTTGTCCGCCAATTTTCGTAGGCCTTTATTCTATCGGGAAGTGGTCGAATAATCAACGACTACCTATCCAGACGTCCACACAACGAGCGCCCCTGCCTGCCCGCCACCCTTGACCCACGGTGTTATTATTATTATTATTGTGGTCGTGCTTGTCTTTCCCGCGGGTGGAAGGGTGCAAGTTTTTTTTGATTTTCGATAAGATATCTGGTACCTAGTTTTTATTGTTCATTTTTCTCGGTTTATTTTCGACTATCGGCCGTGGCAAACGTGCGGATACTGTTACTACGCGTTTTTTTTTCGTCTGGCGAATTTGACGCGTTTGTCAACACCCAGCAGTACAAATTTACCTTGTCAAAATAATAACAACACCAAAATATCGCCATCATAGACATTCCTAACAGTACATATAGTACTACATTAATTCGTCGAACATCGTGTTATGGCGTTCTGTACTTATCTAAAATTATTATATTTTTTAATATCTCGATTTTCAACCCAGGAATAAAATAAGACACAGATACTTCCAGGTAATCTGTTAATTTATATTTTACATTCCTTTTAGTTGTTTGTCGGTTTTACAAATTAATTTTGTATCTATCCAAAAGAACACTTAGAATACTTTGGAGTGATAGCCTTTGGAATATTGTTTACTTTTTTTACAATTAAACTTATAATACCTAACTATTATATTCTTTGGCACATTTATAAATCTTTTAATTTTAATCAAGATTTTATTACCTTTACTCAAGCTCTTAATATTTATTTATTCAAAATCCATTAACTCATTTTGTTGAAAACATATTTCCAAATTCTTATGGCTTTTCTGTGAACTTGAAATAAGTGTATGTCAAATTTCATTGCTTGGTTCTTGATTTAAATGCAAAATTCAGTTTTACATTACCTATCTAATAATTTAGAATTTCATCTATAGGCATTTTGTGTAATCAATCAATTCCAGTTTCACTTACTCGATTGTATATCTTAAAATAGAAAATAATTTGATTTTATAATTCTAAGTAGCTCAAATACATTTTTTTAAATATTTTATACATATTTCTTATTTACTTTATGTATACCTATGAAATTTGCATATTTAAATTTGTTATAATTTAAATGAATTAATTATCTATTAATTCTGATAAGGTACAAATTATCAGACTAATATATTTTTAAATTTTATTCAGACATAATAGATATACATACCTATTAAAGACAACAATACATTTAGGTACCTATTTTATTAGATGTATATTATTATGTACACTTATTTAATTACCTGTATATTATATCTAAATCAATTCTGAGACCTAAGTATATTTCTAATATAGATGTAAGTAATGTTAAATATATATTCCTAATTTTGTTTTTCAAGATTTTGTTGTGGTATTTAAATTTAATAATTGAGCAATAGGTAAATATAAAAAAAACATTTGACTTGTTGATTGATAAAAAAATTTTTAATTGTATTTTTAAGGCTAAACAAGTAATTGGATTTACACCCAATTTGTAAAAGCATGGAAGTTCTGGTTATGGTAAGTTAATTTAAATGATTAAATCTATGTCACAAAGTACCTTTTTTTTAGATTTGTTTTTTAAATCGATAGTACTTTTAATAATAAAAATTTAATGCACATTATAAATTGGCAAAATTTTTGTCAAACACTTGGTTAGAAAGTTATAGACATTTAAAGGTTGTATGTTGTTTTATATTTTAAAATAAAGAACAGGCTGGTAGCCTGATGGTTAAAACTTCAAAGAAGAATTGAAAATCATAGTAATCAAAAGAATACAAAAAGATAAAGTTAAGACGAAGATAAGATTTAACATAAGCAATTTGCTTCAATTTTTTAAGGGGCTGATTAGTAGCATAGATAGTCGAACATACTGGGATAGGGTTTACGCAAAGAAAATTAAGGTATTTCAAAGTCAGCAAACTAAAGGAGGTATGGAGTAACTTATTTAGAAAATCTAAATTTACTTGAATTTTTCTGTCAACTAGCAAAAACAACTGTAGGAAAGCAAGAGTGGGGGGATAATATCTCAGAGGTGCCCTCATTTCAATCTATATCCAGCAAAGAACAAAAACCTTCTGGTCATATTGTTTAGTGTGCTTGCGCTTATATCAGTATTTCATGCATCCTTTAATATCTTTAACTTCTAAACTAAGTCTGTCAGACTACTTAAACATTTTTGGAAATTTTTAATTAGTATTTAAAATATTATTAATTGAAAAAATAATCAAAAAATAAGGTACCCGGTGAAGTAGCTTTATACTAATTTAAATATAAAATCATATATTTGAACAATTTATTGATGAATAATCATTATTTCAGTGAAATGGCCGCAAACAGCGATGGTACTACCCAGCTGGTTACAACCATTGTCACGTGTGAAGGGGACCTGAATGACCCTCAATTTGACCAAAAGTTTAATAAGATTGTAAAGGATCTGAATAAACTTCTATTTCAAGGTAAATTTTCTACTACACATTTATATTTACAAGCCTATGATAACTTATTAAGTTTAATGTTTTTGTTTTTTTTTTTTTTTTTTTGTTTCTTTTTTTTTATTAGGAACTATACAAGCACCTGTAGATTATTTTAAAAACCCATAGCATGCAATGTAGACTAGACATGAATGGTACTTACTTTAAATAAATAATATTTCAAAATAATAACATGCTATATTTTTGGTTTTTCGAAAATATACTAATTTAGTTTTTATTATTTTATTAATTACCTTTTTGTAGGTTCTGCTGAAGAGAAAGGGATTTATGTAAACAAACTTGAGCCATGGAATTCTGTAAGGGTCACTATTACTGTGCCAAGAGAAGCTGCTTCAAAGCTTCAACAGTTGGCACAACAAGGGGATGCAGCTCTTTCCAGGCTCGGAATTCTGTCTGTTCAAGTCGAGGGCGATCAGGTTTGTTATTTAAAAAATGTATGCTGTAATTTATTCTATAAAATATTTTGTGTTTAGATGATTTCCTTAAAATTTGTTGGCAATCGGTTTGGTGGAGAAAGCCAAGAACTAGTGTTGAGAACGGCAGGTCCATCAAATGCCAATCAACAAACTACTTCAGACGAAACCGCTGCTGTAAATTCATTGATCAAAGCTATGGCTTCAGCAACGTCTGTTTTACAGTCTCCATCACCTCAATTGTCGACGCCTCAGTTCAAAAGCCCCAACGTGGTGGCTGTCGATTCTACTCCATTGCCTCCGATACCCCCTTTGCCCTCTACGGCAGAACCATCCCCACGACCCCACATATGGCCGTTTGTAAGCATGAACCAAGCTGCTCAGACCATACACAACCGAGAGTCCATGCATACAGCTCCTCCTCCTCCACCACCATATCCAGGATCTCAAAATGGAGTGTATAAAACCCAAAGATCGGGGGATGCAAATGCATCTGTGCACTCAAGTCCATTGTTGGTTAATTTGCTACAAAATGAAGGCGCTGGAAAAATGCCCCCACCAATGGACAAACACAAGAAGCCATTAATACCTTCTCCAAATGTGGTGAAAAATCAAGATGGTTTTTCTGGTTCAGAGTTTACCCAATCTGCGTTTGCCAATGTTGCATCAGACATACAAGTTGTTCAAAGGCTACAGAAGCTACCAGATTCAGTTACCAACAGTACTCAGAATCGAGTAGATTCCATCGGATCTCCTAATGGACCAACTTCTAGGTTGGTCAACAAACACATTGTGCCTTCCCAAGAGCTTTCGCAGGCTTCAAAGATTATTGGTTCTCCAAATGTACAAACTTCATATGCTGTGAGGCACGCCTTCTTGTCAAGCTCACAAATAACTCAAAACCGTTTACAAAATGTTCCCCAAAATGTCACTGTCACTACTACCAATCAATTAAAAGTAAATCAAGGTTATATTAATCAAATTAGACAAGGCCCAAATCAGCTAATGGCTAAGACAAATTTAACTCAACAATTCAGCCAGCCTCAACTTAGGTTACAGGCAGCACAATATAGCTCAGTAGGATCACAAAAACCTACTCAGACCAATGCCATATTGCAACAAAGGACCGACTTAATGTCTGCTCAAATGACCAATATGGGTAATCATGATTCTACCCTAATACATAAAGGTCAATCAGTTACAAATCAGAATCAATCCCAAAATATCACTTCCATTAATTCATTCCATTCTGTGTCTAATAATAATCAGATAATGAATGTTTCTCAAATCCCTTGTACATATAATGAAACGTCCCAACAAAATTATAATAATCATATACAGGGTACTAATCAGGCGTTAACTACTACTGTAAATAAAAAACCTGATATATCATCTAATGAAAACGGTTTACAACAAAGGTTAATTAATACTTCAAAACCTTCTGAATATGCATCTAAAGATTGTAAAAAAAGTGTGGTAACTAGTCAGTCGATAAAATCTCCACCTTTAACTTCTTCTGGTAAGCAGCGACAGTTTCTTATAAATCCTTTGACTGGAGATATGGAACCTATGTCAAGTGACAGTAGTTCAGAAAGTGATACAGAAGAAAAACTTAAAACTTTACCAACAGTAGATGACAGTTTTTATAATTTTTCTTCTCCTATTACTAATGATAGGTCTAATTCTGTATTTTCGGATGATGATGATACTGGTTCTCCTACCTCTCGTCGTAATGATACAACAACAGACCAATCTGATTCTGAAGCAACCGTAAGATCAACTAATAGTGAAGCATCCTCTCGTCACCGATCCAGTCCTTTACCTGCTCCTGCTGAAAAAATAAAGTTAAGATTGAAAATTGAAAAGAAAGTTGATGTTTTGACTATTGCTAGTAATTCTTTATGTAAAGGAGATAAGAGGTTTGGAAGCCCATCTACTTCAATGCCTGTGTCTTCTGCAGAAGGGCTTCGTGTACCACCTCTACACATTTCTTTACGTGGAAGAAATGCTGCTGTCGTTTCAAGAAAAGAGAAAAAATGGAAGGACTCTGATGATGAATGTAAAAAGTCATCAATAGGGTGTAAAGTAAAATCGACCATAAATCATTTAAAAACAAAAAGTTCAAACCAGGACTTGTTAAAAATTTGTTCTAAACAAATTAAGTTAGAAAATACCGAAGAAGACGATTCCAGAGTAAAATTAAAAAGAATTGAAGAAATTGAAGAGCCTGTATCTTCATCAGTAGATTCAAATGAACCCACTAGTAGTTACAATCCTGTTTTACCTCCTGGCAGAATATATCCGACTGAAGCTGAAGTGGCCTCAATTTTAAGATCCATGCCTAGTGATAAACATAACAAAATGAGCTTGAGTTTTAATAAAGTAAAGAAGAGAGAGTCTAAAAAAAAATGTTTGCCAAGAGAAAGGACAGTGTCCATTGACAGTCCTAATTTACATAGGATTGTTGAAAGGAACCACTCTAAAACAAAAATAAATAAAAGCAATACAGTTTCTATGTTTAAAAATGTTGTAAAATCATCTGTAGTTAAAGAAGCAAGAATGATCGCTGCTGCTACATTTGGAAATAGAAACAACTTTCATGACAAACAACGGGCTCTGAACAATGGACTTGACAATGTAACTCTGCCTAGTGGATCACAGTCAAATAATCAAAGAAGAACTAGTATAGACATACCTTTCTCAGGTAATACAAACTTTTTTTTTAATGAATAACAATTTAGTAACGATATTTAATTTGTTTAGGTACGCATACATTGAATTCTTCGATTCCAAAATTGAATAGGCCTCTAAGTAGCCAGTCTCAAGATACATATCTACCGTCTAGCCATTTTTCCAACCATATTTTACCTGGTCAAAAATTACAGGGGCCTAATACTTTTCACAAAGACATGAATAAAAAACCATTAAATATAGTCAGTCGAAAGGTAACTAATTCAAAAAGTAAAGATAGTAGAAATTCTAAACTCGAAAGTGGAGTGAAACGGAAAGATTTTCAATTAACTACAAAACGTAATGATCATTTTGTACAAAAATTTGATATTGATAAACCTTCTAGTTGTGTAACTGTTGGTTGTGTTCAAGTAGAAAAACGTGATGAACATTTATCATTGCCGATGACTGATATTGATGTATCTGAAAAAAATGTAAAACAAAGGTTACTTGAAGATACTGTGCCGCAAATAAGAAATATTATGAGAATGGAAACCCCGATAATTGAAGATATCAAATGTGAAAGAGTTCAAACAGATGCTAAAAATATGAATGGAAATGAAAGTCCTGCTGGTCACAGTAATACTCAAGGTGAAGACTCTGGTATTGAGTCTATGGATGCATTGTCAGAAAAAAGTCCAAATCAAGGGGAAAGTCCTTGTCGAAAAGATGATCAAACTGGTCAAAAACCTACTGTACCAATAAAACAAGAAGAAACTAAATTGCCAATTACATCTGTAGACCAACAGAATATGGCAGATTCTCCAGATTTAGATGATATACAACCTTTTCGAGTAACACCAGCTTTGTATACGTATTCTAATCCTGAAAAACTTAGAGATGATTCACCTCCTGTTTCGCCAAAATTGGATATTGAAGATATTCTAGATCCAATAGAATCACACATGGTTTCTTCAACAGAAACTGATGGAGATTTACCCTCTGTCAAGCTAAAGAAGAGGAAACGTATGGATTCTGAAGACAGTAAGACTGATAGTGAAGCTCCTGTGGCCAAAAAACCAAGTAAGTCTAAAATGTAGAAATAAATAACATTTATTTACCATATTTGTAACATTATCATGTATCCATTTCATTAATCTGTTTCCATATTTATAATTAGGACTCATAGTTTTCATATTTTTTTTCTGGTTGATTGTATTGTTAATGTTAGATAGGTAAGCAAAAATAAGTTTTGTAATCATAGTAAACACATTCGTTAAGTACATATGATTAGTATACTTATCATTTAACTATCATACTTGTTTTACAGATATTTTAATAATAAAATGTGATATTCTGAGCAAAATATCTTTATTCTTGTAAGCTTCTCAACTTCTAATTTTACAGCAATTTGCTATAAGTAATTTAAATGTATGTTACAGTAAAGATGTAATTAAAAAAAATTCTCATGTTGGTAATCTGAACATCAAGTTGCAACAACAAAATTCCTACAAGCGCCAACATTTTAATATCACAATTACTTTTTAAATGTATTAATTTAACATAGTTTTCAATTTATAAGAAGACAAATATGCCTGAATCCCATCCTATACAATATAGTGTTGAATAATACAAATTAACCAACATGTTTATACTATAGACTATAGTCATACTAATAATAATTTAATAATATTGTTTTTTTTAAATTGTAATTATTAATTCAATATTAAATCTAAACAAAATATTTGAGATATTTGTATTTGCTCAGAATAAAAACAAATTATTCACTTAAGTATAATAATTTTATTTTTCAGTATTTTTATTGTTGTAGGGCCGTTACACACATCAATCTTTTATTGTATAATTCATTTATCGCATGTTACAGTTTAATGTTTGAAATAACATGGTTATATATAGTGCTGTTCATATGATCACAATTAAAAAATACATATATTTTCTGGTAACAATTTTTTAGTAAACTAAAAAATAAATTTAGTACAGTTTTATTTTCCAATGATTATAACTGCTCAAATTTGAACTGCATAATAATACTCAAATAAACTGAATAACACAATGTTATTGTTTGATTGGATATCAGTCATGTGGCCTGTCAACCAACACTATCATACAATAAATAAATTTTACAATGAAATATTGCTTGTGTGTATCAGCGCTTAGAGCTATCCTCTACCATTTATACTTTTCTATTTAATTAAACTGTTCATTATATATACATAAACAGTAGGATCTGCTTAATGGGGATACATAGGGCTGTAATCTATTTGTCCTCATTGTCCGACTGTCCCTATTAGCTGAAAACCGGAACATCTTGGCTTTGCAGATTTTCCGATTGTCAACAGCTTTTTTTTTTTTTTATCTGTGCCTACCATATTACAACATAAAACTGTTATACAACCATAACACAGCTTTTTTTGATTTTTCAAGTATTTCATGTTTATAGCACAATAAACCAAGTTAATATGTTAATACACCCATCTGAAAGTATAGACAGGTATACTATAGAATGTGAACTACCGCCGATGATAGTAATTGATGAAGTAATTTTGTACGTAGGCCAGTTGACACTTATTTTTGAGAAATATATGAATAGTAGGAGAAAAAAAATGATAAACAAAAATAAAATTTCTAAAATTTAAAATTTAATAGATACTAAGATTAGATAATTACAGTTTCAATAAGAAAACGAATACATTCGTTTAGGATTTGGCCAATGTTTTTCTATTAAGCGAAATCTACTGTATATGTATGTATATTTAAAAAAAAAAAACAAATTAAACACTAATACAAATTAAAAAATGAGCCTATTAAAAACTTTTAAATTAAAACCGGTCTTAATTACTCTAGATTGTTTTTTCATAGTATTTTTATAATTTGTTTTATATTTCATATAATATTATAGCTGGCTTCTTTATCCGTGTACGATATTGAATTAAAAAAGGCTGCTATATTTAGCACCATGGGTGGACAACTATTGTATGTGATAAGTTAGGTAGATAGTATGTAGAGGGAAATTTAATTTATATCTGTACACAACAATTGAACCGTTAGTAACGAAAAATAATTTAAAGCGATGTTTCTTTTATACATATATTTTATTTTTAATAACACGAGCATTTGCCCTTTAGTTTACATATATCATTTGTACATTTAATAAAATATGTTATTTAGATAATATAAATTAACTTAATTATTTACCAAAGGTGGAGCCTAATAGGATTGTTTTTTAAATAATTTGTGGAGAAATGAGAAATATAGAAGGAAATGGTGGTTCTTGTTGCTCGCTGGGGTACCATAAAACCTAAAAGTGACAATTTATCAGGTGAATTAATATTGCCATCCAATAGACCACTTATAAATTTAATTTCAGCAATATATATGTAAATTTTCTCAATAACTAAAAACTGTTTGGAAAATCAAAAAATGACTTCCTTAAAGTACTACCTAGATAAAATTTCTCTTCAAAAAGTTAATATTAAAAATGTTTGTAAGATATCTAGTAGTAAAAAAATAAACAATACATTCCTCAATACGTTCCAAATTTAAAATTTAAAATTGTCCTGTTTTTATTTGGTTTCATCTTGAGCCTCAACGATTATCCTCTTGCACAATTAGGGTCATTCTCACCAACGAAAAAAAAAATGTTCATTATCTTATAAACTCAGTTTAAAAATCAACATTTACATTTGTAAGAACAGGTCTAAATCTTCCAATATCCCTGCTAGCTGCTCTGACTTTTCAGTATGGATCTCCATTTAGACATTGTACTTCTCTTTACCATGTTATTTTTTCTGAAATTGGTAACAAAGAGATTTTTTTCCTTCTAGGTTCTCTACTATTACCTTGAAAAATAGTGGATTTTGATTATGCCTACCTTCACACTGGCTTATTTCTAATGTGTTTGGTTTTTAAAAGAGTTTCTCCAATTTTTTTTTTTTATTATTATTCCTCATCATGAGTTCCTCCTCTTTTACTGGACTAAAGATTTTTCATAGAATTTTTCTCTCTCCAAAATGATCAGTTTCTCTTTTTCTGCATTTTTTTCAATGTATATGTTTCTGTTCCAAATTTAATTATAGAATGTAATAGCTGAATATATAATTGTATCTTTATTTCTCTCAGGGATCGTGACCTGATTGTCTTTATGAATCTGAGTCATTAATTGTTTCCTGATAGAATTTTTATTGCTATTTTCAAATTTCATTTCATTTTTATGTTTTTTTTTTTTTCATCATTAATTTCACTTTTAAGAAAGTATACATTCCCATAATATCTCTTCTCTTCATGGCCATATTATATTTTCTTTTATCTTCATTTATTTTTAAACTCACTTTCTTCGTGATTTCCTCCAATCAGTATCATCATGTGATTTATCTATGAGGCCCAAAGTGTCAATATATGCCAAAAATGCCATAGAAGATTTGTGAAATGACACTTCCTCTTAGGGCCGATATCAATTTTCCTTATAACTTTTTCTAATGTTAGATTAAATAAAACAGTCGACAAAGAGGAGTTCCCTATTGTATGCTTCAATTCACCAATATTGATTTTATTTGTTTTAATACAGATAAAATTGTTTGACTGATCATAAATGCTTGAAAGTTTAATACGAAATTGATTAAAAGTTATTCTTAATGGTCAAAAAAAAAAAAATAAGTTATGTAAACCAAACGTTCAACAGAACCGAACTTCATTCAAAATTATTTTTCATTAGGTTTATCTTGGCATATAGGTATAAATTAAATGACTCCATGTATTCTATCTTCCCAATTTCCACCAATCCCCAGTATCAGCTCTTTTTACTTTTATTTGATTTATATTAAATAGTTAACTTTATCATCTATTTTATTTTTATTATTTTTATTTATTATAGACATAGAAAATGATATACTTGGAAAATCTGAAATGGCCACTTTAAATGTCATCTCGGAAAATAAATCTTTATTGGAACAACTTTTAATTGACATACCAGCTGATTCAGATGCTTCAAAAAAATTGTCAGTAGTTTCTACAAGAAGTACTCGTTCTCATAGGTATTGTATATTTTAAATTATAATAATATCAGCTTATCATTTTCAATGAATATATTTGTAATATTTAATAGAACAAATTCTCGAATATCGGTACCGGTTTCATCCTCAGGAACCCCGTCTCAACCAAGCTTACCATCACCTACACGTCGTTCTAATCGGAACACACATCCCCCAAACAGGACATGTGGTGGAAAGTCTTGTGATAGGTCTACACCCAATAAAACAATTGAAAAAAAGGAAAAGACCTCAATTTCTACACCCACCAAACTCGATAAAACACCCCTGAGACCTCAATCAACAGCTGTTACAATCAACACCAGGGCTGCAAGTGCTTCCAAACAAACTGTACCAGTAACCTCACCATCAACAGAGCCTATAACTGCTGAAGGTGATAAACAGACAACTAGGCGGAAAACACGGAGCACATTGCCCAATAGTAAGTAAGAATTTCGATTGTTCATTTTATTATTTTAAGATAGATAAAGTAAATTAGCCGGTCTTTGTTCCTAGAATAGCATAAATAATGTTAAGTAAAATATTCTTTTAATAGTAATTTACTACAATATAGAGGTGAAAATTTAGAATTATGATTATTAAAAAATCCCATTATTTAATTATAATAGATTATGTATACTGTATGTTATTTAAGTTCTTGTTTTTTTACTTTCATTAGATTTTGCATATCTTTATAAAACACTCATAATATATTATCCATCAAAAATATTTTACTTAACATTTGAAAAAATGTATTGATTTTAAGATGGTTGAATGAATTGTCTTCTATCAAATTGGATCTATATTTACAAATGAGAGTGTGTGACTGAACAAACTTCATGATTCATCCAAAAATGAAAAACAAACCCAAAAAATGGGTCATTGATATTATTTAAAAATAATATCAAAATTAAATTATTTCCTAAATGGGTTGTACTATTAAAATTTTGGGAATCTCTGAAGTGGAGTATTAATTAAAATACATTTTGGTGTTGACATTTTTTCCATCTATCCATTGACATGATATTCCACTTTCATATATTGATGGGAGGATTTCTAGTGTTGCATTTTTAAAATGTTGCATGCCGTGTCGCCACACAAATGATGCTTCACTACTCTTGCCCGACCCAACTTAAAAGTAAAATATCTCTTCAACAGATTGACAGAAATTAATAATTTCAACACCAATATAAAAAAAATTCGCAAAAGGAAATAAAATACTTTAAAAAAAAAAAAACCTAATTATGCAAAAATTTCAAATATTTAAAATTAATTTTTTTTTACGATTGTAAAATATTAGAAGTCCTCTGCCTTAGTTCTTACATAACTCATAATCACTGATCATAAGAAATTATCTTCTCTTATAATTATACAGTATAAACTACTACTAAACTGTATATGTAGGTGTAGGTGTTTGACTTCTCCTTTTTCTCTACTCCCCAAAACCCGCTCTAAAGATCCCAATTAATCATTTTAGCCTAATCTTGTAACATACAGTATTTAAATTACTTTTTAGTGATGGTAATTCATTAGTTTTAAAGTTTTCTTTTTCAACTTTATTCTTGATAATTTTAAATATCCAAAAATGGTTTTATAAGCATGACACAATATATTTATATCAGCATTCTAGTTCTGTCTTAGATCATATACGACCTATTTAATAAAATATCTACTCGTATATAACTATGTAAAATGTACATCCGAATAACCAATATAGGTTTTAACAATATTATAAAGAATGTGGTGCATATGCAGTAGCTACACACCCCTTTTGATATGTTGACAACATATTTGTTTCACATGAGATATAGCTGTAGCTCTATCTATTGTATATAATCTAAGAGTTCTGTGAATGTTACCATATTTGTTTTTCATCTAATATTATCAACACATTTATAATGTATTATAAATTCTGTAATATAAGTATACTTGATTGTATTATTATAATGTATAATGACCATCAAAAAGCAGAGAAAGGCAATATGGGGGGGTATTTTGAAAACAAGTACTATTACCGATATCTATTATCTTTTTTTTATCATGATGAACTATTTAACATAGAAATAAATGTTGTAAGTAATATATATTTATATCATGTTAACATACATGAGAATATTTTACAAAGTTCATGCTTTAGTCATCTATTTTTGGTTGTTTTTTAATTATCTATATGATGTAGTTAAATGTTTGAAAATATTGACACATGGGTTTATGTATAGTATTAAGTTTATGGGTTTTTTAAATTATATCATATATAGATTATATAAGAATATAACAGTGTAGATTTAATATTTAGTGTCTATAATATAGTATATAATTTTCAAACTAAAAACGAATTAGTACAGTACATTGTTTTTAAAGTTTTAATAATTTAAGAATAAAAAAAAAATTAGATTGTTTCATTACCTTATTTATTACCATAAATATAACTATTTTAATATTTTTATTAGCGGACCCAGAGAATATAGCGAGACGCCGGAGAGCGTCACGTGACGGCAAATGACATACACAACCGGTGCCGACGCCGACGACACATAACACTGCGTCATCTCCGGCCATCGTCGTCGGACCCGGGTAATTTTTATTAGGTTTTTTTTTTTATGTTATAAAATATTTTATTTGCCCCCCCTTGTTCATTAATATAATAAATATATGTATTATATGCTTTCTGTTAGATATATATATTTATATTATATATTATACAAATTTATTTAATTATAAGGGGGTGTAATAGAATTATCTGTCATTTAATCCAACTTCTCATATAATTTATTTTATTTTTTATTTTAAATTTATTTTATAATTAATAGTTATTTGTTATTTTTATCATTGCCGTCTTTATATATAAACACTGTTGGTTGTTGCCTTAGAAATATTATTAGAGTTCAAAAACAATATTAAGATAATAATTAAATTAATTTTTATTTACAACAATTTGCTTAAAATATTATATATATTTTTCTTTTTTACGTCAATGTTTCTTGTTATGTAAATACTATATGTAAAATAATGTTGGAAATTTTGTTGCGTTTTCAAAAATTAAAATAAATAAAAAAAAAAAAGTATGTAAGTGTAATATATATATATATATATAAACATATACATATATATATATATATAATAACTCATAAATTTCAAATTTACACATGATTTTTGTAAAATGTGTCATAGGTGTCTTGTGCATTTTGTTGTCCCTTAAACATTTTATGTAAATAATTTCATGTAAACTTAAGTTCAACATTCTTGTAAAATTTTAGTAAACCTTGTTACTCGTGTTTTTTTCTTTTTTTTTTTTTAATGGGTGAAAATAATGTGTTTCTTCTTGAGCTTTATTATTATTATTATTATTATTATATTATATGATTATTATTATTATTATTATTATTATTATCATTATTATTATTATTATTATTTTATTATTATCATTTTATTTTTTTTTATATATATATATATATATACAACCTGATCGTTATTGACGATTAGTGACAATAAACTTTAATCTAAACAATCTTAACCGTTAAAAAGAAGTAAGTGCAATAATTTTTGTGTGTGTAAATAATATATCTTTTTTTTTTATATATATATATATATATATATTTATATATATATATATAGTGATAATTATTATGATTAGCTACACATTTTTAAAACAAATTTCGTTAAATTTTTCTTTTTCTGTCATTGGTGCAATTATCACACGTACACTTCTGGCAGCTTTATTATACATATATATATAAAATATTATTTCAAAAAAATGATTTTTTGAATTTATTACATTTTTTAATTACATATTTTGTTTTTGCATTACACATTCTTATGATTAAAAAAAAAACTAGTAAATAAAAAATTTGTAATTGTTTAATTTTTATATAGTAATTATTATAATATATATATGGTATTGTAGATTCTATTTATAAATAACTAAACGAAATTGATGTATAAATCAATATACATATAAATATGTTTATATAATATGTATGTATGTATATACATATATTATATGTATGATTATATATTTGAGACGACATATATACATTTTATTATTGTAAATAGTTGTTCAGTTTTAAGAAATATATATGTTTCAGGTAATTTTTATTTTACTTTTAATTATGATCAAAGAATTTTTGTTAATACAAATGGTAACCTATCATTTCTATTTATGAACTATTATGAAATCCCAAATAAGAATATATTATTTAGTTTTAATTATTTAATTTTATTCATAATTCGAAAATTATGTTACAATATATGGCATACTAATATATTGTTAAAGAAAACTGTTACAACAAACAATATGAAATTAGTTTTTATAACAAGTATTCAACTGAATTGTGATTTTATTTATGTCCGCACTTGCAGTGAAAATATTTTATTGAAAATAATTAATATTATATTTAATAGAAATTTATCATTTTCAGTCTTTCTAAAAATGAACAATCAAAGATTTTTTTCTAATATAATAATAATTGACACTGTGACTGCATATTAGAGGATAATAACTAAATTATTAAACATTCATAAGTGTAACCAAATGAGAGATGTCAATTTCTACTTAAAATCTATGGCATTTCAGATAATTTACACTCGTAGTTAAGTGAATTAAAATTTGATGATTTGTATTAAGTAAGTTTGACTAGGAGGTAATTGTCATGATAATGCACTATTGTTTCAGAATTCGGTTTGTTACTATCAACCGACTTTCCACATGGATTGTAGTCCTAGCTTATGTACCTTGGCTTATTTTTTCTTTAATCAAGCGCACCAAAATTATTAAGGAAAACAGAGTTGAATATCCATATACAGTTCAACAGAGTTGTCAATATTAATTTTGTAATAAGATTTATAATGATATAGTTTTTTTAAAATCTTCTACTCTAAATACATTTAACTTTTTGATCAGGCCAAGGTAATGTTTGGATTACCTACTTTTTTTATGGTATTTCATCTACATAATAATCCTAATTACATATTGAGGTTATAGATTCAAAATCTTAAATTAACTGTTATTTATTTTAAATAATTGGTAAGGAATAAAAGCAAATTATTAAATTAATAAAATGTATGTGGTGAAATTTGTTACCCAAATGAAATGCGGAAAGCCCTAGAAATCTACATATGTGACATTGCACTATAATGACAATAATGTGGCGATGGTTACTTATTTAATATCTAATCCTTATCACAAGAAATACAGATGTTTGAGGGGATTAGTATTAGCAATTGCTAATTGCCAATTAGCAATGAAATGGAGCGCAAAATATTGCCATCCATAGTAGATATTAACCCAAATGTATTGTCCCAACTATCAAGAAATTCATATCGAAACTAAAATCTAACAGGCTATAGAAGAACTATAAACTATATTCGATACAGCAATTATTTACATGAATATTTGTTAAGTATGGCACATCTGGCTTTTTCAAGTATGCAAAATAAGATCTATATAATATTAAATACATTTCATATGATCCAAACAAAAGTCATGAAATAATATATAACAAAAAATATTTGTTGGAAGAAATGATTGTATTTCAATTCAATAGTGTAGTACGTTGTATCCCGCCTTCATCGATTTACTTCAAAACTATCCTACAATATAGAACCTATTGTTATTATGTTAAAAATAATTTTTTAATTAAAACATTTTTAATCATAATTTAGTAATTATTTTTTTATAATTTGTATATTTTATATTATTACTTAAATCGACATTTAACATTTTGACATCATTCTGTATTTATGTTAAGTATAAAATTGTACTTGGAACATAATTTTATTACTCAATTAAATATTATAGTAATATGGTACACTATCTTAATTCTTATCTATATATGTTTCATTTTTTTATACTTTGCCATTTTTCGCTCTGGCTATTTAGGTATCCCATTTTTATCGACTACCAAAATATACTGCACGAGACTACTGATATAAGTGGGGTAAATTTTTAGATTCTGAGCGTAAACAATTCGACTTATTAGTTTGACAAATGTCAAAGATGTTGTTATATTTTAGTTTTTAAATCAGATAAGAATGTACCACAGTACCTTGATACATAGGTACTACATGCCATATACTATGGTAATACACGCCTACACACCAGGCGTAATACCCCAATGGACACAAAGAATATCTTATAAACCCATAAATATTACGTTATTATCCATTAATATTCGAGTTTGGAAGTACTAGTTTGCAGTGATTATGTTAGGTTAAGTGACTTCATTACTACCATCTAGGTAGGTACTATATTAATTAATTTTTCACCCAACATGAACGTGTTGGAACTATTTGGATAACCCTGAACTATTGTGTTGCTATTGCACTTGATGAAGGCAGAAAAAAAACGTCTACGTGTACATTGGGTTTGTCAATTAAATACTCAACGATTGACATGGATGGATTTCTATGTTTATACTTACTTATTCTAAATTACGATAGTATATAGATCGGTTATAATTATTATCGTACGTACTTTGTCCGTTAAATCATCTGATGAATTGGTAAATTTAATGAAGTATTGAGGTCAAGCATATAAAAAAAAAAAAAAAAAACTACATTTAGGCTTTCCATTAGCGAAGAACTTTTAACTGTACCATTGAGCTACGAATGATTTACGATAAGTAGGTATCTATTAAATTCATAGACGCAAATAGACTACCAATTTTGGGGGGTATTAAAATTATGGACACATCAAAAATTCCACGGACGTCATGTTCCCGCAAACCCTTTTACAAGATTCTTACAATAAGCAACCACATATTTCGTTAACAATTTTGTACATAGACATTTATCATAACTATTTTAACATTATTCTTCATACATGTGTATAATACAAAAATCTTAAAGGTGGTAGATTCATATTTAATGTATTTTTTGTTCTTCAAATTTATAATAAATATTTTTTTCAAAAAAAAAAAAAAAATTACACGTAATCATGGATTGTCAGTAAGAAATTTGTATTTTATGTTCTGTTCATTAATTATGAAATTCACAAATATACGGATAGAATATTTAATCATTAATATGATAAAGCTCATTGATTTTTTTGGGGAGTTCTAGTTTTTTAACTCGGGGATGCCAAAGCCCCCTATCATCCTCCTAGTTGCGCCTATAACTGAGTTATGATCCATAAGGACGCGTTTTAAAGCTTCGCACCAGGCGCAATAGGTATTTGGTTATGTTTTATTACGATGGTTTCTAGTAGTTTTAGATTCGCGTAGCGAGGGATCGGTGAATTTTATTTATTATGATCTGTATTTTGTTTTTCTGTCTGTAAACAACTTTTCGAAAATAAAACTCGTTTTGGTGTATCAAGTGTATCACCTTTTTGTAAAGAAATTTTATCTAATTGGTGCATTAAGCATTGGCCCGTAAACGATCGATACATCATTATCAAGTCACGTAGCCCGTAATCAATTATCAAATACTAAAAGTAAACCAGTAACACAATATTATCGACAGCGCGTCGATAAAAATCAAACATTTTCAATTTGTCCAATATGTTGATCAGTCCTTCCATACAGCCTATACACGATCAATATTATTGCCAATATCAAATATTGATCGCGTTAGAGGTCCTTTAGAGAGGTCATTTTTTTGATTTTCAATAAGTTTTTATATTATTTGGGAAAACCTAAAAAATTAACAAATTTACGGCGAACGATTTTATTATTTTCAATGTTTTGTTATAAGAATTTTAATATCACATTTTAACAAATGGTAAATTTTATACGGTCATTCATAACATGTACACAACCGAACTACTGGTGTACAGGACGCAGATTATATACCTAGATGAGTATAGATGATCAGATTATAGAGCTGTAGATTATAGACCTCGATCTTCGCTAAATATTTTAAATATTAGGTAATGCATTAAAGTATTAAATATATAAAATATCTTCTTATAAAAAAAAAATATAGTATAAGTAGCGTGTAGTACAAATATATTATATGGATGCGATAAATGATAATACGTTTGTAATTACTAACATTATCCGTTTGACTCAAAGTTTTATTTCAATTTAATTTTGTCGTATATAAACAGCCTAATTCAGTGTATTGATCATTGTAAACGTCATTGTTGGCGTAAAAAGTGTGATAGTGACTTAAAAGATTACATTACATTTACATTAAAATTGTATGATTTTAATAGTACTTGAAAATTATAGAAAATAATAACTTTTTAAATTCGTAAATAAACTATAACATTATTTTTTACTTAAAAGAATAAGTTGTGTTAATAGTTCAAACTTGTTTTTGTTACATTACGGGATTTACGGCCGTCCCGATTACATTTCAGTGTTATCTATTTCAGTGATGTAACATAATTTTCATTGTGTCCCGGATACTACTCCATGAAAATACTAGAGATACCACACAAAATAAACATTCGTGATTTGCAAATTTTAAAGACAAGGCAATTGGTACAACAAAGTATAAGTTCAAAAGTTGTATTGAGCGAATAGAATTTAATCACCATCTAGTTTTTGTGCGTTTGTTTTCAGTAAACTCGAGTTTAACGAATAAATGTAAGTGGTATATATTTTCTCGAAAAACGAATTCGCATTCATTGTGATACTTTGAACGTTATTTTATAAGCCTAAATTAAATTAAACGATATTATTTTGTAGTTCTCAAGATGATGGACAATTTGGAACCATTGACTACTGATGGTGGTCGTATAGTGAAGATGGAAGTAGACTATAGTACTACGTGCGATGAGAAAATTGCTGTAGCTGAAAGTCTCGCGGCCAGTGGTAAACTACAAGAAGCGTTAGATACCTTGTTGATGTTGGAAAAACAAACTAGAACTGTGAGTACTTAAAATAATATGTATTTTGTATTTATAAATCTCTACTCAAAAAAATTATTTTAAACTTGGTAAACTGTCGTTGACAAAATCTCTTATTTGAATAATTCAATACTGTTTACATGTGTTGTAAACCTATGAACATTTATTTATATGATTTACTTTTACCTAATAAGTTTTTGCGTGTTTTAATTTATTAGGGATCTGATATGGCTTCAACGAGTCGTGTTTTAGTTGCTATTGTACAACTATGTTTTCGTAATAAGGAATGGGCATTACTTAATGAACACATAGTTATGTTAACTAAAAGAAGGTCACAGTTGAAGCTAGCAGTTGCTGCTATGGTCAGAGAATGTTGTACATTCATTGATCAAACTCCAGATAAAGAAACCAAATTGAAATTAATTGAATCCCTTAGAAATGTTACTGAAGGAAAGGTAAACCATTTATTTTTGTATGCAGTTTTATTTAGAAAAATAACTAACATGACTGAATTTACATATTGATTTAGCTTATTATGACTTAACAAATTTTTTTTATAATATTACATATTTAACATTATATTAGATATATGTAGAAGTAGAGCGAGCCCGACTTACGCAGAAATTGGCTCAAATTAAAGAAGATGAAGGTGATGTAACCGGTGCTGCAAATATTATTCAAGAACTACAAGTGGAAACTTATGGTTCAATGAAAAAACAAGAGAAAGTTGAACTGATCTTGGAACAAATGCGATTATGTTTGGCTAAAAAGGATTATATTCGCACACAGATTATCTCTAAGAAAATTAACACTAAATTTTTTGATGATGATAAGCCCGAAATACAACAGCTTAAATTGAAATATTATAAGTAAGTGTATATCTTTTATAATATTTAAATCGATTTTATGACATTATTTTTTTAGATTAATGATTGAGTTGGGAGAACATGATGGTTTATATTTAGATATTTGTCGCCATTATAAAGCTATTCAAGCTACTCCTGAAATTGAAACTGATGAAACAAAACGTAATGCTGCTTTGCAAAATGCTATTTTATACCTAATTTTAGCACCATACGATAATCATCAATCTGATTTAACACACCGTATTCTTCAGGATGAAGCTTTGCAAAAAATACCCAAATATAAGTATGCACTTTTTTTGATAATAAATATTTGTTTTATTATTTTTTTGATTTTACATCAATAGATCATTTTTGCAATTATTCACCACCATGGAATTAATTCAGTGGAAGGAGCTGAGCAAGGATTATGAAACAGAATTGAAATCTGGGACTTTCGCTACAGATGTATTTTCAGCAAATACAGAAAAAGGAAGTAAACGTTGGGCTGATCTTAAAAATAGAGTTGCTGAACATGTATGTATAAAAATATTGTTTGATAAAAAATCAATGTATCTATTATTTTTTTAAATAAAAATTTCATATACTATATTAAGTTTTCCATGTGATGTTAATTAAACAAATAAAATACCTTGCAATATGTATTGTTTTTGTTATAAAGTATACCTTATAAATAGATAATGATACCTATTATTTTTCTAACTTATTTTGTAAATTTATTACCAAATAATATTGATTTATATTTGGCATTGAATGCCAAACATATTGTTTATTTGAAAATGTGATAGTTAAATTAAATTTTAATTGATATATTATTTAAATTTTTAGAATGTACGTGTAATGGCCAATTATTATCAAAGAATCAAGGTAGTTCGGATGTCTCAATTATTAGATATGACTTTAGAAGTAAGACAAACTTAGTTTATTTTTATAGTTAAAAATATGTTTAATGATACTATACAATTTACAATTTAATGTATTACATAGGACACCGAGCAACTGTTATCAAATATGGTGGTGGATAAATCAGTAAAGGCAAAAATTGATCGTCCTTCAGGCATTGTTGAGTTCTCGGAAGTTAAATCTGTCAATGAAGTATTGAATGAATGGTCATTTGGACTCAATGATCTTATGAAGCTGGTTAACAATACTACTCATCTTATTAACAAAGAACAAATGGTTCATAAACATTTACTGTCTCATTAAAAAAAAAAAAAAAATGTAAAGATTAGTATTTGTAAACTAAACATATTTCAAAACTTCAATTTACAATAAATATTAATTTGTTATTTTTAATTACAATTAATATTACTCATCCAAAATTTGACTTGATTTTAATAATTTAGTTTAAAACTATTCATTTTTATATTTTAAATACAGTACACCATTGGGTGAAAAATCTATATATTTTGAAGTATTAAAGTACGGTAAGACAAATCAAAGTTTATTTACTAATTATTTCTTTGCAATACTCAGAGAATCTAATATTAAATAGTAATTTATTATTATGCTATAAAATAGTATTCTTATAGAACTATACTATAATCTGTAATAACTGATTCTTATTAAGGAATGAATTCTAAAATTTCTTTTTAGAGAAACTAATGAAGAAAGTGATTCTATAATTTTATAAAGAAATAGAAATTTGAATTGATTTCTTTATTTTTAGTAAAAGGAATGTAAATGTTGAAACACCTTAGTTCTTTTAAAAAATGTGTTTTTAACACATTTTAAGAGAATAAGTTTGTTAACCTAGTTTTTAATTGAGACATTTCCAACCATTTTACTTTAACACAAGTTATTATATCAGATTACGATATTTTTTAAATCATTTCTTATAATTAAGTGTTGTATCACAAATTATATCAAAACTGTTACTGAATGAAAAATCAATAGCAATAACAAAGTAGGACCTAATTATTAATTTACATACTTATGACAGAATAATTACATATGATTATAAACTAGTTTTTGAAAGGAATAAGAAAAAGAACGAATTTATTTTTATATACTAAAGGAATTGAGAATTAAATGGATTTCCATATAAAAGTATGATTAAAAATGTTAAGAAAGTGGTTGGAGTAGTAGTCAAAATAAATGCATTAAAAAAAATTAGTATTGTAGTTTAATTAACAAATAATAAAATAAAACTGCAGTGAGAAGTGGTTGTAACAACATTAAAGGGACCAATAAAATATCGAGTGGTCATTTATTAGAAAGACTCATTATGTCATTAGGTATTCCTCTTTTGGAAATAAAACCAGGAACCAAGTATCTACAACCATAATCTGTTCAGTATTCTACTGTTTTTTTCCTGCGTCTGCAAAATTATCGAACTTAAATATAGTATATTTATTTCTGTAACTAGATTCAAAATTTAGTTAAGTGAGATTGTTATTTGAAAATCATAAATCAGTAAGTAGTGATTCCACAACCAAACACAAAAGCAAACAAAATTAAGACAAACTATCTTGCTCTGAAAGAAAAAAACTTAATAATACATTTAATACTTTATTATAAATTTTATGGTAATCTGGGTTTTATGAGAAATTGATCTTCCCTATGTTTTAGGAAATATATAAAAAGAAAGAACTTGAGTAGAAATGTCATCTAGTAAGATGTAATAAGAAAGTATTAACTTATAAATCTGTAGACAATGTGTCTAATAGATCATATAAATCAATTTGTTGACTAACAAAAGTTGTTTTTCTTGACATTTGTTTTTTCATAAGTGATAATTATTAATTTAACTTTTATATAAATTTTAAATTATCATTCTTGTTATTTTCTAAGAATATTTTACCAGTGACTTGCTATATCTGCCCATTCATAAACATATAAATAAGTCTAATAATTAGTTTTATATTTAAATATAATCGTATTCTCAAATTAGAGAATCTAATTTATCATTGTTTGATAATATATCAATTTGCTCTGGCATAAATAGTTAAGGCATAATACTTCTATTCAGAATAAAAGAACACTTGTTTATACATGCACACTGAGATTTCAAAACTGCTGAATCAGCTGAAACTCCACTGCCAAACGTTGATCGTTCACATTGTCTTAACATAGAGTAGTGAGATTACACGCGTCAATTTTCGTCCAATGCACAAATATGCTCTTATTCTGAATAGTGTACAGCGTTTTTAAAAATATATGAGCCGAAAAAAAATTGAGTGGGTCCTCAACAAATTAAAATTGAATACAAAATTTTTATAACAATATTTGAAGGCAACAATTTAATATACAATGTTAGAATTGCTGTTTTGTGTATCAATTATAATTTTTAAACTAGACTACTGTTGTACCCAATCAGTAGAATCTAATTTAATTTGCAGGATGGATGGAATATGCATACCTAAAGAGTGATCATTAAATATTAACAAAATGAAAACAGAATTTATGAATGTTATATAGGAAAATTCAATAACAGTTAATAATAAGTGCTTGTTAAGTCTAAGTACAGCTGGCTTCAGAATTATTGAAAATATTATAATCCTGCAACAATTGTTGTGGGATCTTCAATGGCTTCTTTAATTTTCCGTAAAAACAAGACAGCCTCACGACCATCTACAAGTCTGTGATCATATGTTAAGGCAACATACATCATTGGTCGAATGACAACCTAAAAATAATGGAAAAATAGAATATTTAAATAAATGTGACCCCTGTTAGCTTATCAATATGAGAAAGAATATAAACTATTTACTTGTCCATTTAAAGCAATAGGCCTTTCAAAAGTTCCGTGCATGCCCAATATGGCAGATTGTGGTGGATTGATGATTGGTGTTCCCATAAGGGACTTAAATACACCTCCGTTACTGACAGTAAAAGTACCACCGTCCATGTCTTCTACATCAATGGCACCTTTTCTAGCTTTTTCACTAAGAGCAGCAATTGATTTTTCAATGTCTGCATAAGTCATATCTTGTACATTGCGTACAACGGGCACTAATAAACCCTAATTAAAAATATGCTATCAAATGTATTGTCAAATTGTGACCATAATATTATAATGTATACTTTGGGAGTGGCTACAGCTACAGAGATGTCCACATAATCTCTATACACAATTTCATTGCCTTCTATAACAGCGTTAACGACAGGTTGGTCTTGTAAAGCATAAGCAGAAGCCTTTAAAAATGCTGACATGAAACCTAATTTTAAACCATGTTTCTTTTGGAAAGCATCAAGATGAGTTTTACGGAAATTCATGATGAAACTAAAATAATATTAATTGAAACGTAAATAATAATACATTTTGTTTAAACAGTATTAAATAATCAATAAATAAATAAATAAATAAATAATCATTTTTAATTATAAAATTACCTCATATCAATTTCATTGAAAGTAGTTAACATGGCATTTGTGTTCTGAGCATCCTTCAAACGTTGAGCAATACGTAATCGCATACGGTTCATTTTAACACGGTATTCTGTTCTTGTACCGGATATCTCTTTAGACGGATCAGTTGGTGGTAACTTAACAGTGGCTGCTTGTTGTGGAGCTGCAGGTGGTGCAGCAGCTCTGGAAACTGGAGGTGGTGCAGCAGCTCTTGGTGCTGTAGGCGGTGGTGGTGGTGGTGATTGTGATGGTGGTGGTGGTGGTGGTGGTGTTGAAGGAGCAGCGACAGTTGCATCTGAGGGCTTTGATTCTGTAGCTTTTGGAGCATCTTCTACTTTTGGTGCTGCTTTAGCTGGAGCGGGACCCCCTTCTGAAGTTTAAAAAAAAATTAACTAACAATTGCAAATGTGTAAATAAAGATTTGTGCCAAATTAAGTTATACCTGTGATTGTAATCGAGCACAATTCTTGACCAGCTGTCACAGTAGCACCATCTTCAACTAGTCTATTTTCAATAACTCCATTGACTGGTGAAGGGACAGGAACTGAAGTCTTAAATAAAACAAAAAATATTAAAATAATAATTTGAATTAATTAAAATATTTGCAAATTAAACACAAAATATATAGTTTTCTTACTTTATCTGTTTCTATTTCACAAACGACTTCATCTACTGCTACTGTGTCACCAATATCTGTGTAATTTCATTATGCTTAAAATTTAATAACTATATAGATTACATTTAGAACGTAGTGTCTATTACATCATATTGGATTAGTAAGAAATTCTTCCCCTCCTACAATATTTACATGTTTAGAAATTTAAGGTTATTTAGACTATTTAGAGGTTTAATTGGTGTATAAAATAAATATTTCAGATACTTTTAAGGAGCAATTTTGTACAAATTATTTTTAATATAATTTAAATGGTCAGATTTATTCATGTATTATTTTTAATATTTGTGTGTCTATATAAGATTGTAAATAATTATGCAACAAAATTATCAGAGTACTTATAAGTCATATAGTGCATAATTCAATTTAACACAATTGATCAAATCAATTAAACCTTTTAGCAAAGGTCAATATTTATCAATAAATAATGAAAAATTAACAATTGGCATTTGAATATTTTTAACACGAATAAAAAAATTCATCATGACAGAAAAAGTAATTTTACTAAGTATTAGTAATCATGTATATATACATCTATTATTTGATATTGTATACCTAAAATCAAGGCATTTTAAGGCTTTGTAACTATTATCATTATACTTACTTTTTTCCCACCTTATATCACCTTCAGATACTGAATCGGCAAAAGCAGGTGTCTTTAAAACATGTGAATCACCTAACAAAAAAGAAAATTGTTAAATTTTTTCATTAAAAAAAAATTGTATACAATAGTAAAGTAAATTGATTTATAGATTTGTTTTATTCTTACAGAGAATGACAGAAGTCTGAAAATAGCGACATTGTTCAAAACACCTTTGACTAGAAGAAATTTTGAGTGATTTTCTACAAATTAATTAAAATGTTAAACAACATAGTTAAAAATCTTTTAGTACATAATGCTTATTGTACCAGGTAATCCATTTAATTGGGTACACTTAAAGTAAATGAAGTATTACCTTTTTCTAGAATTTATTTTCTAGAATATTTAAGAAATAAGTAGCTGCTTCAAAATTGTATATTTATGTTATTTTTGTCACCTTTATTTTTGGGGGTAGAACCTACTTTTGATTTTCAAATGACAACCTATATTTAAAATTCCATAAATAGAGTATTAGTTAAAATAAGTTTTAGTGTTGAAATATTTCACTTTTAAGTTTGGGTTGTAGGAGAGTAGTGGTGCATTATTAACATGTGTGTGGTATGTCGCCACACAAATATTCCATATAAGTACTCTAGTACTTTCCTCCAACTCAACACGAATAGGTAATGGTTTTATCCCCCAAAATAAGGGTGACAAAAAAAAAACATAGGTAAAAATTGTAGAGCTGCTGGTTTCTTAAATGTTCTAGAAAATTAATTCTGAAAAAAGTTAATACTTTCTGATATAAACAGTGTACCCACTTAAATGAATTACCTAGTATGTCAATTATACAGTAGAGATGACCAAAAAAATGGTTGTGTATTGGATTTATAATTTGAGCACAAAATGTCTGGATAATAATTTGATTTTTGAGAAATGAAAACATTTAACTTGTATGACTTACAGATAAACCAAGTTAGTGGCTGTTGAAAATTCTTTTTTAGTTTTATTCACTTGACAGCCGCCGCAAAGTTTGTTTGTTTCCTATGGTGACAAAATAACTTAATTAAGTAAAATACGTCGTCCTCACACAATTGCGTCGACCTTCACACTGACCTCGTTTATCCTGAAATAAGTTTGTTTGGGCGTCTTCAGGGCGTTTTTGGGCAGACCCTTGAGGACGCGTAATATGCAGGCCATTTGACGTAGTGCGATTTACACTTCACCAGTTGTGATTATCACGTACTTACCTAGAAAAAACGAGTAAGAATTATCGAAGAAACACGACCTGACCCGGATGGTAGATAAGGCGAAAGTGTCGGCGAAGACAACTGAAACAGAGAGAGAAAAAAAAACATAAATACAATTACCTAATACGAATCGATGTTTATTTTTTTTCAATATTTTTATTCTCGTAGTCGTCGGGTTATCCGGAAAAACAACTTTTGTACTCTCTCTGCGGCTGGGTTGTATGGGTGTTGAGGTGCGAAAGGTCAGTCGGCTATCGTGCCATAGAAACATATAATATAGATAGCTGAGAGCTGAATTAAGCACTTGACTAGGGCACGATCATAGATAACAGACGATAACATTTTTTATGTGATAAAAATAAAACGATAAACATATGTTTTCGCGAAATATTTTTACTGACACTACTGCACTACATGGCACTACTGAAATTCGATTGCCTAAAAGAGAAGGCCAAAAGGGAAGGGGAACGCGCCGATGAATAATACTGTAACCACCTAGCATTTAAGGGGTTGCGTACAGGCAATTCGAATGACATTTTCGAAAAAAACACCAATACACGATAATTATTTTTAACAGAGAAATGTCAACATTTAACGAAAAAATTTTTTAAAGTTTGCGCAACGTTGTTTTTATTATTTTATTTTGTAAAACGGGCCTCGGCCCAAGTGCAGAAAAACTTACACGCTAGCTCACAGATAGATATATAATACCAGTATATCACTTAAGCAGATTAACCGAGTATTACAGGATTATAATATTAATTAAACAGAAATGACGGGTCCTCGTTGGCAATGCGCATTCATCCTATAAAAAAAAATAATGGCAATCGTTTGGTTGCGCGAGTGGTGCAGAATACTTTGCGGCGCAAGTATACAATCGATGCGACATTTAATATTGGACTGCCCACTGAAGAGATACGACGGTGACTTGGAGTATTTCACCAAAATAACTCCTGAGGCAATAGCCTGGTTGGATTCTCTGGATGTTGATGTTTAGTTTATTTTAATTTAATTTAATGTTATACTTAATATGCGATTTTTGCTTAAACCTTAAAATGTTTATTTCTGTTAATTTATATAATAATTTGATCTGTTACCTAATAAGGAATTTAACTTAGTACTATCGTCCATTGAAATGTTAAACGAATAAATAAATAAATAAGTGGTGCAGTGTTTAATGGCGAAAGGATATCGTGATCGGGATTATTTCGGTACTAAGAATTCATAAGAACAACTAGACAACCAACTTTGGGGTTGCTAAAATTATGAACATATTAAAAACAATGAGGGATATTCATCCACCCCCCCCCCGCCACAACATACTCCTTTCTACGACTCTTACAATAGGCAACTACACATATGCATACATACATACACATATCTGTATGGGATATCTTTATTTTATTCTGCTCATTAGTTATGAAGTACAACTATAAAATATTTATTCATTATTATGAGAAAGTTGAAAACGTTTTTTTTTTTTAGGCATGCTAATTTTATACTTGGAAGTGCTAAAGACCTCCTAGCATCCCCCTAATTGCGCTTATAACTACGAATTCACAAGGTACTACGAAAAGAATTGTTTGTGTTTGAAAAACACTATAAAGTAAAATACAATATAGGTCTAAACCTAAAATACTATAATTTTGTATCAAACTTGTTTGTGTTTCGTGACATCCAAAAATTAAACCAACACAGTAAAGTTTTGTTTTCATGGTGAACAAAATTTCAAAGCAAAAAAAAAATAATCTCTAATAATCTCCTCAAAAATAAAACTTTTTCAGTTTTTTTTATTTTATTGCAGCTAAATTACTACTCAGTGACATAATTATATAATCCCCCCCCCAGAACTTTTCCTTCCCGTCTGTTAGCAAAGTAAATTTAAATAATTTAATAATTCAATTTTTATAATATTTATAATTGTATACACAATTTTGTTTTGCTTGTATATGTTTATTATTACACTATCTTGTACTATAAATATAATTATTACCTTGTTTATGTATTGTGTACCTGCACGTGTTGGTACCACATTATTATAATGATATAAAATACCCACAACGATAAGTCTCATTAGTTTACTATGTCCTTACATGAGATGTGGTAACTGAATTAAAATCCATCAGAAGTAATTGTACCAATGAATTTAAAAAAATATTTTCTCAAATACAGGTAAAAAGTTTTGTAATTACAAAAAGTAAATAGTGTTTAAAGTTCAATTTTATTAATTAATAAACATATACGTATATTGTTTATTATTTTTATTAAAAGAATACAATTTTAAATAAATATTTTTAGAGAATGGCTGAAAAACTTGAATTAGAATTGACAGTAAAAGGACTATGTAAAAGACAATAAAATCGTGCAGATCCATCAACAGATAAAAATGAAACATGAGATGCTGAAAATTATTATAGGATAAACATTTTTTTACCATATCTTGAATATTTCATAAACAAACTCCAACAAAGATTTTTATCTCATTCAAAAATGTTTAATGATAATATATAAATTGAAATTTATTATCAATAACAAATGTAATTTCTTACAGGGTTTGAATGTTTATTTTCAAAGGATCCTGTTATGACTGATAATGAAAAATTATCATTTAAAGACAAGTTTGGATTAATTTATGGTCGCACAGTTGAATACAAAAAATGAAAAATAATTTTACTGTTAATAGGAATTTAAAAATGATTATTTTAATGTTAAAATATTAAATATTGTTTATGTTTATGCTTTATTATTAATTATAATAAGTGCCTACCTGGTTACTTATTAAATTCCAGGAAAAAAAGCTTAAGGCTACTTTAAAGAAGTTTATCAAAAAATGGATGCCAACTTCTATGCATAAATGAAAAAGATGATAGAAGGACACAGCTTGGTGGGATATTTACCAAAAAGTAATCTGTAAAAAGATATTTTTCATTTTTATTATAATAAAAATATGTGTTTTTTGTTTATACTGTTTAACACATTTATTTACTTCCATGTAGCCAATATATTTGAAAAGTTCTCGAACTTCTAGCCAGACAAAATCATTAATGTTACCACAATTTACTGTATAACAATCTTCTAACATGTTTTAAATGTATGCGATTAATTAATATTTATTAAATTAGTGATAACAATGTATTGTAATAATAGGTGACAGACCAAGTAATGTAGATACCATGCACAAAACTCTGTTGCTGTCGTACTATGTTAATTATATCATGCCAGTAATCAAATATCAAATATTATAATCTGATAAAAATAGGTATGTAATTATAATAAAATCCATTCTCTAGTAATAAATTCTGTGTACATACCTACTTATATATATGTACATGCACTCATTTGAGCTAATTATATTTCTGAATTGCGATCATTGTTTTTAAGTGTATTTTTTTTTGAATATTCATAATATACAAAAAGAGCAGATAAAAAATGCTTTTGAAGATCGCTATTTGATGTTTTTAATATAATTAATTTGTTTTAATAATTTTTCATACTCAATATTAAATTTAAAATATTTTGCAGCGTTATTTATTTTATTTTAAATTTGAAATGTATTTTTTTTTTTTTTAAATCAATAATCTTGTAAATTAAAAGACAAAATTAATATTATGTTGCAAGTGATTACTTGCAAACGAAACTGTATTTTAATTACATAATATTATGATAGTGATGTATTATATTTTATTTATTAATGGTAAAATAAAACATATAATATATTATTAAAATAATAAAAACGTCGATACAAATAAGATAGAAATAATACTAGTAAAAAAATAAATAATAACATTCATAGTAATCTTTAAAAAAGTAGCAAATTAAAAATGTAAAAAAAAAAAAACATACAATGACAAATATATTTGTTAACTGCTTCTATACAGATTATTAAATAGGTATGTAGAAATAATATTATGTTCTATTTTAAGTTTTTAAGTTATGAATATCTTTTGTAGATAATTTATATATTATTTTAACACGTTTTAACATCAATTTTGAATTTAGGTTTTTTTTTTTTTAAATAATATATTATTGAATACGTGTATACTGTTACTGTATAGATACTCTCACATTTTGAATTTTCACCATATATTACATTTATTAGATGGATTCATCGGTGTTCCTATTTGGCAGTTAAAAACTTCAGAAAATTCTCTAAAATTGCTCAACGGACCATTTACTCTAAACTGAGATGGTGAATGTAAATCTTTTTCTATTTGTAATTTAAGGGATTCCTCTGTACTTGATGAACACCAAACCTGAAAATTAATAAATTAGTTAATGTTTTTTTTTTAAATTCTCGGTGGAACAATTTGTTTTTGTTTATTTTGTAAACTTACTTGGGCAAAACTCACGAAAAACAATTGTTGAGTGGTAAGATGAACAGCAGGAAGACGATTTGGTTGAACCATTTTTTCATCAAGTAACTTTATGTAAGCACGGTACGCAGCTTTAAGTCCTCCATTGTCAGCAATATTTTCTCCTGAAATATAATAATGTCTATCACAGAAATTGCTTTCATTTATAATTAATTTGATTTCATTGTAAATACCTAATGTGCGTTTTCCATTTATGTTGTAATTGTTAACTTTGTAATTTGAATATTGTTTAATCATGCAGTCTGTTTCTTTCTTAAATCTGTCAATGGTATTATTATTCCACCACTGGTGTAAATTTCCAAAACGATCAAATTCTCGACCTTGCAATTTTAAAAAATATACACATATTAATATTATATAGGTAAGAATACTTTTAAAAACCAAAAAATCTTAAATTTGTTTAGAATTTATTTTTCAAATTCACTTTTTTTTGTTTTGATGGAAAGTGATCATAAATTACCTTGATCGTCAAAGGCGTGGGTGAGTTCATGTCCCATGACTACTCCCATAGCACCATAGTTTATGGAGGACTGTTGCTTTTGATCAAAAAATGGAGCTTGTAGAATACCAGCTGGGAAAACAATTTGATTTTTGGTTGGCGTGTAATATGCATTTACTGTTTGAGGAGTCATACTCCACCTGAAAAAAAATCAATTAGTATACTTATGTTAACTAATACATGTTTATTATTTAAATATTCTTACTTAGTACGGTTGACTGGTTGATCGAGTTTGTTTAAGTATTGTAGTAAGTTGAATTTTATAGCTCGTATGTTATTACTAAAATATTCATCATTACGTATAGTTAAATTTCTGTATTTTTCATCCAATTGATCAGAGTCCATTATAAAATCAGGGAAACCTAAAATATTTTTTAGATAAGCACCTATGTTATATTTGAACTATAAAATGTGTAATATCCTATTTAACATTTACTGATTATTTACCAATCATATCTGTTATAGCATCAGCTTTTTGTTCGGCTTCGATCAGTGTTTCTTTATCCATCCAATGCAAGTTTTTAAAGTTGTCTTTAAATGCAGTTTTTATTTCGTTTATCATTTCTTCAGCCTGCAAAAATATATAAAATTATCGATAATGTACTTATCACATTTTTTAATAAAGAGTGCTATGCAAATTTTTACTAGTTTTTTTGATTGTCCGTGGAAAACTTCCCGAACGTATAATGCTCCTAATGCAAATCCTAAAACATTATTTGTATCGCTAATACAGTAACGCCAGGGTTCTTCGCCGCCTTCAGATCCCAATAGTGCCTTTCGTAGTCCCTTATACGCGTCTCGAAAAACTTTTGATAAATAAGGAGTAACCGTCCTGACAGTTTGCCATACCAAATAGTTGTTAATCACTCTATATATAATAATTTAATACAATGTCAATAAAACAATAAATTGTAGATATAATAGTAGTGTAAAAGTTATTTTTTTACGTTTTATTTTCTGGAGATTTACTATATTCATTGATTAATTGAGTAAGATTTGTAAGAAAAGAAGGAGAGTATACAACAACATTTTCCTTTGGAAAAATCTTTCTATTAACTTTTCTGAAAGCTGAATTGAAGTATTCATTCCATTTAATCTGAAAATATAATGTCCATTACTGACTTATGAATTTGAGAGAATAATTTATTTCAATTTATATTTAAAAAATAGAATTTAAGATTAAAAAAAAAAATAATAATAAATGTATACTACTGTGTGATAAACATACAAATGGAGCTAAAATTTGTAATTCGGTGATGGACATAATATGATAGGCCTTTTCTTCGTCTCGCTTATCTTCTTCGGGTTCCGTAAACCTAGCCAAGCGCGTTTCAAATTCAATAACATGTTTCATTTGAATTCTCGTTGAATTTGGTTCACCACCCAATAATGTTCCAATCTAAAACCTCAAAAATAAGGATTTTTATTTTAAATAGTTATAATATGTAAGTAATATTTCTCAAATGTTACATAGTTTTCAATTATTATGTGTGTATGAAACATACAAAATTACAGAAACGATAGAAAATTCATTATTACTACAAGATAGGCTTTATTTAAATGCATATGAATATAATATAAGAGCTCACCGTCGTCATATAATCTAAATATGTATCTAATAGTTTTTGATTTGCTGTAACATTCAAGTATAAATCTCGTGTTGGTAATGTCAGAGCCCCTTCGTCAATCTATGAACCATACAAAAAAAAAAAAAACAGGATTGTTTACTTTTATTTAGTAATTTAGTGAGATATTTGTATAAATTGTTCATGTAGAATGCTAACCTGAATAATATGCCTGCTCGAATTTCTGTCATCCTCACCAACCATCCATGAAAACAATCCAACCATATTATAATTATTGTGGACTATTTCTAAAGTGGTTTGAAGATTCCATTTAGTTGAATTCCACAATCCGGATATGTTCCATCCGCCAATTTGGTCAATCAGGTCAATCAAAGGTTGAGCACCCAATGTTTCGATTGTGTTATTAGGATCCATACAAGCAGTGAAATACATCTTAGCTTTGAGTTCGGCTTTGATACTAGTATTCAAAGGAGTAGCCTCTGTAAAAGAAAGTATAAGTACTCAAGGCTAAAAAAATGTTGGGTTATAGATGATTAAATTCTGTATGTGTTATTTTTTTTAATGATTTTTAAAAGAATAAGTATTATGCAATTTTATTTTTATTCTTGTTTCACTATTTAGCCATAAAGAGTAAAAAATATAATATTACAGTAAAACCTCCTTTTAACAGAATCGCTCAGTACTAACTGATTTTTCCGTTATAAAGAAATTTCCAGGGGTTTGTTATAAGGAGGTTTTACTGTATATATATTTTAATATTTGGTACAGGTATCATTATTATATAAGATTTAGAAATGTTGAATATAAAAAATAAATATGTCACACCTAGTGCATTTTTAACTATAAGCTGATTTTTCATTTCCAATTCGTTAAACATGCCCCACATAGATCGTCCATCCGGCACTGGATTCGATTTTATCCACTGGCCACAAGCATATTTGTAGAAATCGTGGCAAGGATCGGATTTTGTGTCCATACTTTTAATAATAGTGGCTGCCGTTGTCACGCACGACTCCTTCATACAATACTCTGTGGACAAAAATAACAATTCCATCAAAATATACTCAAAATACAGTAAATTAAATTTTACAGATGCAATACATTGTTAATATTATATCATGTGTAGGTGCCGATTTCATGGAGAGATTTAAAGATTTTAATCCTCCTCAAAAAGTACTTAAATACTCTTATTTTAGATTTTGAGTGGAATGTAATTCATATTATTTATTTTCATTTTTATTACACATAATATGTGCTTCTTGATTTGTTTTGTTTTTTTTTTTTTTGTTTATTTGAGAACTAATTTTCAGCCAGGAAACTTCATAGGTAAGAATTTTCTTGTAAGCATTTTGTACTTAATTGGTTCATTGTACTTTACCTAATACCTACTAATGGGAAAACATATAATGTTGCTTAATGGTTTTTTTTTTAAATGTTTGAACAATGTTTAACAATACTCTACAGTTGAAACTTAATCAAATGTTCAACATAAACTTTTAAAAGACAACTTAGGATAATGGGGACGGCAGACGGCTGTAGCCACTGTTATAGATAATTGAATATATAACTGTAATCAATGATGAACAATTGCTTACGAAAAAACGATTCTCAGCAGAGTTTAATTGATAGTGATGCTTTGTCAACAATATATATGTCATTTTATAGTAAAATAATAAAATAGGATTTATATATTTCCTTTAATAATATTTGTTTAATATTATAACGATTTTCCCATTTTTCCCACGTTTTTCTAAGTTCTTCACATTTTCGGAGAAAAATCTTGAGAAAATCAAAAAATGACCTCTTTAAAGTACCTTCTAAGTAAAATTTCCTTTTAGAAACATTGCTATCATTATAAATTGGAGCCAAATTGCTTTTAGAAAAGTTGTTCACAGGAATAAAGACCGTAATATATTTTTTAACTAATACCTACATTTTATATTTTCTCGTTTTTCCTTAGTTTTATTTTGGTTTTTCAAATTTGATGAGAAAACTCTTAAGAAAATCGAAAAAATGACAGTATTAATGTACCTTTACACACCGATTTTCTTTCAGATAAGGTGCTACACTTACAAATATGAGCAAATCTTCTGGTAGAAAAGTTGTGCACAGATAAAAAAATAATACAATAAAATCTTTGTAAAACCATAAGCTTCTTTGCTTTACTCGGAATCTAAACAAATATTTAACTGAGCTCCACTCATAATCATATTTTGTTTACAATGCTTAATCGTTGCGTTTTGTATTTACAACGAAATTATACTTACATACTAGAGGTCTCGATTTAAAACGTGAATTAATACGTAAAGCCTAATCAACTACAGTCTACAGTGTGAATATAATAAGTAGAGGATGACCGGCCTTTACGTACTCCCTATGTCGAGTCGATTGGTAAACTGATTATTGTTATTTGTTATTATTATATGTTAGGAATTTAATATACTTGTTAATACTACAATACGTGAATACACGTGTACACGGATATATCAAATCCACGATTTTATATTGACGAATATTAATTTTGCGTGTACACTTGAAATAATGAGCTCTAGTATATAAAGTGATTAATGTATTATATTAATGTATAAAAATATAAGACACTCATAATCTTGGAAAGTATGAACTTTTTTCGGAATTTGTTTTATAGAATATTTAAGAAACAAGCCGCTCTACAATTTTACATTTAAGTATGTTATATTTTGTTATCTTTTTTTGAAGATAAAACCATTATCTATTTAAGTAGGGGGAGAGTAGTAGAACATCATTTATGTAGTGGCACAGCACGTGACGTTATAATAATGCACCACTACTCAAAAAATAACATAAATGTAAAATTGTAGAGCTGCTTGTTTATTAAATATAACTCTAAAACAAATTCCAAAAAAAGTTTATACTTTTCGAGATAATGAGTGTCCTATGATAGATTGATCACCCTGTATACATATATACCTAAGTACTATTATTCAAACTTATACAGTGGTTTACCCATCAACTGTACCAGCCTTTTAGATTTTGAGCGAAGAGAAGTATTGGTTTTACAATGAAGTTTATTTTATTTTATTTTTTGTGTCTGTAAACAACTTTTCTACCATAAATTTTGCTCCTATTTTCAAGTTAATTTTCCCAGGGGTTTTCATAATAAATGGACAGAATGTAGGAAAACGGGAAAATTTATAAAACGTATTTTTTCAAATCATAAATATTGCGGCCTTTAAAAACATGTATAACCGTTCTCCGCTCAGAATCGTTTTTTGCTAGCAATGAATTATCGTTGCGTACAGATATACATTAAATTTCCCCTCTACCGTTTCAACTTCTCACCTACAACAGTGACCCATCCATCATGCGAAGTATGTCCGTTTGTATTTTTAAAATTATTTTCTTTTATAAATTGAAATATGCAAATTCACCTTGCCCGGTATTGACGTACGAATGGGATTCTTCGTATGCGGGTACAGTTGGATATACAACAGTATCACATGATTCCGTACTCATCGGGTTCAAATACATAATTGTGACTATCAGAAAATTGAACACGCACAAACCGATAAGTATCTTTTCCAACTGCGTTCTGTTTTGCCACATAGTCCAAGGATTTTTAGGTTTGCCCTATTGAAAATAATAATTTGATATTATAGGTATAGGTACTAGGTACATCAAAATTGTCATATCAGCATTGATTAAATATTACAATATTTATTTAATTCAATGATTAATCATAAGATATACAGTAAAACCTCTTTATAACGGATTCCCTATAAGGCGGAAATCTCAAAACGGAAAACAACAGTTTCGCATAACCTACTTGTATAAAATCAGTTGATACCGAGTAATTTCGTTATTAGGAGGTTTTGCTGTATATTATTATTATATCACCAATAATAAATGACCGAAAATCGTATTTTTTTTTTTTTGTCTTGGCCATTCTGTTAAGTATTATTATTATTTATTACTGCATAAAAACGGATGTGAGTCGAAGACGCCGTCACTCCTTCAGTCAGATGAACCGAACCCATGCTCGAAGTCTCCTCTTCAAATACTTTGTGCTTGTAATGCGCCATCTATAAAAATTACAACCGATTCATTAATTACAACCAATTTATTATGTTCTACAATAAACAACACAATAATAAAATATTGAATATTTTTTTTTTATTTAAGACAATTGTATAATTATTACATTAAGTAAACATGATATAAAATAAATAAATAATTTGAGTTCGTAAGAAGAAGGAAACCAATTTAATCAATGAACCAACGTGAGTAAAAATATATTGAATAATAATCCTTAAAAACAATGTTTTAATTTATCACAGATTGGATTAACCAACCGATAATATTCGTCCGGCAGAAGTGTTTTTAAAGATTTTAAAGTATTTTAACTTCAAAATATCTGAAAAAGATAAAAAATATACCTACAAATTTAATTAGGTATTTACTTTAAGATAAATAATTTGTAACTTTTTATGTAGATAAAAAAATTATTATTTTGTTCATCACCCATTAAAAAAATTAAGTATACAACTTTAAAAGTATTAAAAAAGTTTCTGTGATTGATGTACTTATTATTACTATTATCTACTATTAACTTAATAATTCGTTTATTAAACTAAACCATTTTCTATTAAAGAAAACTGGTATATATTTTATTTTCTATTTATAAATAATAATAATAATAATAATAATAATAGTTTATTTTTCCAATATAACAATTCGCAGTTCGCCAAAAAGAAATTCTAAGAATATAGTAATTAAACGGTAATAACATTTTACAACTAAAATTACAAAAGAAAAACAATATAACTGAAACTAATAAAGTATTATATAATAACAGTTAACAATAAATGATATAGACTCAATTCTAAAAAACTAAAAGCTTGTTCTAAGAAGTGAGAGTTTCTTATAACATTTTAAATTTATAAAGAAATTACTTATTAAATTGCGTGACTAACATATTATAAATATTAATTAATTAACAAGAAAAAGAAACATTTATAAATCATAACAATAAGTGTGACATTATCAAACTTATTGTGATTAATAATAATAAATCATTTTAAAGAGTTAATTTTATTAAAATTAAAAAGATTTAAATTTAGTTAACAACACAACAGTGTACGTTTATACATAAGACAACAATGAGAGATTGTAGTCTTATAAAATTTAATAGAATTAAGATTATAATAAAATTTATTTATTGTATTACAATTATGCTTTATGTGTAGTATTCAAACAATGTCTGTATTTATATACATGTAAAACCAAAGATTTTTAATATAAAACGTATAAGCGTAGAACAACAAAGTCAATGTATAATTGATTTGTTGGATATAAAAACGGCTTTGAGATAAGGGGTTCGTAAGAAAGTATTAGGGAGTTCATGCAAAAAAAAAGTGTGATGGCGAAAAAGTGAAATTTGTTTATATTTGATTGAAATGATTTGTTATTTGTGAAATATTGTAATGTTATAAATTGGTTTTTCATGATATATGAAAAAGTGTATAATAGGTATAATAAGAGAACAATATATCAATATTCCATCTAATCTGATAGCGTAGTGTTGTCTCGGGGGTTCGTAAAGCGGTGGTGAGAGGTCAAGAGGTAATTGAATGAAAAAAGGTTGAGAAACGCTGATTAAAATAAAAAATATAATTAATATAATCTAAAATATCTATGACCGTGAATAAATAATACGAATTTATAATTTTATAAACAATAAAATCTGCGAACACGAATTACCAACAACAGATTGCTCAAATCGATAACGTCAAAAGATTGAAAATAGTAAAAATAAAACATAAACTCAGATGCCAATCAAAAGCTTTAACGGACTGTAATAATATTTTAACCGCTTTTCATGTAATAAACTGAAAAAACAACTTAATCTTTTTAAAGATAATTATTTATTATAAAATGCTTTAATACACTTAATGCTTTTTATAAATAACACGTCCACAAAAAATAAATTGTTGAGTTTACGATACGATCCCTTTTATTATAATATTATTATTACGTTTAAATATTATGACCAGATAAACTATGTATGTTCGCGTTTAAATTTACGTATTAGCTAATAAATTTGTCTGGCCCAGTTCTTTCCTAATAGTAGCTTGTACCAGCCACTATACCGATGTAAATGAATATATTATATGTAAAAAATTGCATACTGTAAGTATGTTATAATAATATTATAATATTTTTTCTATTATAAGAATTCTATAAATAATACTATTAGAAATTGTTTTTTTCTCTAAATAATACTTATATATGAAAGAAAAATGAAATGTAAAAGAAACTATAGTCGTGGACTGGATTGTGTTTGCTTTTCCTGCGTCGAGTTTTTTGTATTTTGAAATTCATACTTTTATTTTATTTGTAATAATTTTATTTCTACTCGGTTAAGAATTTTTTGCACAACTATTTAATTATAATTGGTGTGGGTATTTACGACCAGTTTCGATTTAAAAATCACCATTAGTTACCTAATAGTACAACAATGGCGAACAATTAAAACGCTTGTGTTGTACTATTAACGAACACGGCCAAGTAATAATAATGTTTGAATAACTCTTACAATGTGTAAAGTTTATATTGTTAAAATATTTGAAGATATTATATTTGTTGATATATTTTTATTGAAACAATGGTACAATAATGTATTAAGAAGGCGCCTACAATATTTAAAATTAATATTGTCACAATATTTAGATATAAATTGTTCAAATATTAAAAAATATTATTATCATATTTTCTTAGCTGTCATGGATTATTGTGACAACATTTAAAATATACTTATACAATATCAAACAAACCAATAAAACACACTGTGTCAATATAATATTGCTATCTGGGTACCGTTGCCGTTTCGACGTAAGATCACTAAGTTGCCGAAAAAAGGGACGTGGCCAAATTCACAGAAAATAAAAGTTAAGAAAGATTATATTTTAGAATTTAAAACTCTAGAAATCAATTAGTTGGAAAATAAAAACTAGAAAATAATCGGCTTCGAATTCATAAATCATGGAAAATAAAAGAGGTAGACTATAAATTGTTTAAAACCCAATTTTATGGAAATCTAAATTATCAGTATCCTATCAATGAATATAATTACGACACCATGATGTTTATATTTTGATACTTTAGAGTTATAAATTGTTAGGATTCCAAAGCTTAGTATTCTGATATTTTAGCGTTCCGAATAGTTAGGATTCAAAAATGTTATTATTCTAGTATATTATTAGTCTTTCTAATTTTAATTTATATTTTTATTTTTCATATTAATTATTTTCTTTATTTTCTACCTATATTAGATTAATTTTTAAAAATATTTGTTTACGAACAGATTATTTTCCGAACATTTATATTTTAATAAATTATTTTTTCCAACGCATTATAGCAGTACCTACAAAAAAGTTCCAGATTAAAAAAAAAATCGATTCTAAGGACGGGTGTGGCCACTGTTATAGATATGTAGTAGGAAAGGTAAGATACATAAATTTATTTAATTTATACCTTTAACCAACAATTAACCATGGTTTATCAATGCATTGTTTACAAAAAACGATCCTGAACGAAGTTCGGTTATATTGAGTGATCCATTAATAAGTGGGCACACTCATTATCTCGGAAAGTATTAACTTTTTCCGGAACTGTTTTCTAGATACATTTATGAAATAAGCTACTCTACAATTTAATATTTATGTTACCTTTTGTCACCCTTATTTTTGGGGGTAAAAAAATTACTTAATTTTGATTTTCAAATGGCAGTCTATATTAAAATATCCATAAATAAATGGAGTATTAGTTAAAATAAATTTGAGTGAAAATTTTGATTTCTGTCAAACAGTTGACGAGATATTCCATTTTTAAGTTTAGGTTGGAGGAGAGCAGTGGTGCATTATTAACACACCGCGCGCCGTACTACCATACAAATGATCCTAAATTAAACTAATTTGGGACAATAAAATCTTTGTGCCGTAATTTAAAAGTAGTATATTTTGCCTTTTTTGGTTTTTTCCAATCATTCTGAAAAATACTTTATATATCAAAACCTACTTTCTCTGTCAGTGACGAAATATTAAAAGGAACAAAATCAATCTATTGTCATTTTTAGATTGGAGCCATATTCGTAGACTTGAAATTTTCTAAGCTATTTACAGAAATTTAAATTTTATGAGTTGTTTACGTAATTTTATTCGGTAAATATCTGTGGATAAAATTATCAGACCAAACACAAATGCTTGAAAATTTAACAGGAGGTTCATTATAAATCGTATTTTGAGGTCGAAAAAAAAAGATAAAATCGAATGCAATAGTTTTTTTTTTTTTTTTTTTTCTATAGAAATTTTAACATCAAATTTTGACGAAAATCGGAAATATTATAGCCTTTCAAACATGTATCACCGAACTCCGCTCAGAATCGTTTGTCATTAGCAATGATTAATTGTTGCTTATAGAAATATATTAAATTACCCACTATATATCTTACCTTCTTAACGTTTCACCTATAACCGTGGTCCACCCATCGTGTGAAATATTTCTGTTCGTTTTTTTATTATTTTCAAAATTAAAAATAACATAATATCAAAAAACCTTACCATAAGAAATCTCTATAACTGTATTCTAAACTTAAAATATTAGTAAATTATAATCATATATTAATACAGGCTGAATGTCATAGGTTTGTTTCAGTATTTTTAACCTGTTACGCGTACACAGATTTGTACTTTTAACACATGCGATATTTACTAACAAATCATAACAAAATGTTGTTAGTGCCGTAGTTATATAGAAACCGCGCACGCACGAATGTGTTGATTTTAGATAGGAATAAAATGCCCGTGTACTCGGCAAAATCAGATAGGTAATGGAAATTTCGTATATAATAATATATACGTAATCGAGGTTTTTTGTATTTATTTGCTTGCCATTTATTATTTATATATCTATAACATGACGCTATGAAAAGTATACAAAAAATGTCCGTAGTTTGAATATAAAAATATTACCGTTTCTTTGTGTTCAGAAAAATACGCGCACGTGCGGGCAGTCAAACTGTTTTAATAGGAATAGTAAAAAACAACGTTCAAATAATACGGGTACTTGGTGATTCTTTTTTATCGTTTATAATATTTCAAGTACCTATTTACGATACGATTTTGAGTATTTATTTTCATTTTTCAGACATTTCATAAAACGTTTGACGAAATATTATCATTTACAATATCTTTTAAATACAATAATTAATTGAATAATTATAATATAAATAAATACAATAATATATCAATTATATTGATTTTCAAATAGCATCTCATATTTTTTGAATATTCGTAGAATACTCGTCTAATTATGTTAGTATGAATAATACTTAATAACATTTGAAATCGAAATATTACCCTTTCCTACTTTCTGGTCAAAATATTAAACTATTATAACTCTATATTATAGGTACTTATAATATCCGATATTAGTATCACAATTTTTACGCATAAAAAATTATTTTATTTTCGAATCAGAATTTAAAATATGAAGGTTACTATTTTGTAAATCTATATAGTTAGTTGTTATCTATTTAATTTTTAGATTCTTATTATACACCTAAACTACATAATATTTGCATATGTAAACTATTAGAACGAGTGCACTTTAAGGTTTGGTATAATAATTTTTGTATTAATTATTTAAATTTTAAATTACTCAAAGTACTCAGTTTCTCTAATTAATGGTTATTCTATTGTAACTGTCTAATAATTAGGACTAAACATAATAAAGCTAAAAAAAATGTTAAATAGATTTTAAAAAACTATTATATTATCATTAAGTATAATTATAGTATTGTAAAATCATTTTAAACTGTATCTATTTTTTTTTTTTCTATAGTAACCTAGTACAATAAAAAATAAACTACCTAGTACCAGTACTATTATAGGTAGGTAGTGAATATAGGTGTTATGTAAGTTCATCTAAGGTGAGGACCTACGATACTCCTCTAAATTAACATGTTCATTAATTCATAGTGGAACTCATTAAATATTTGCTTGATTATTGTTATTTGTATTATCTAAAAAAATAACCCGGTACAAATTGAAATATAATAATATGGTTTGTATATGATTTCAGATTAATCATGAATAATTAATTATAGTGTTACCTGCCGATTTTATCATCACGAGATGATTAATTAATTAAAAATATCGAAATTGAGTACGACTTGTTATATTTTAATTTTAATAGAAAAATGTGTGTCTGTCTGATGAACTTTTCACGCGGGTATTAACCTAATGATGAGTATTGTTAGCAGCAGTCGATGTTATAATGCAATTTTATTAACAATAATATAATAGGTATATAATACATGTTTAAACAGAATGATCAATAAGCCAGTCATTATCTCGGAAAGTATTATATATAAATATATTTAGAAATTATTTAAATTTAAACTTAAGAAACAAGAGCAGCTCTAAATGTTATATTATTTGCTATTTTCTTTCACTCTTATTTTTGGAGTGTGAAACCACTGCTTGTTGACGGAAATTAATTTCAATACCGAAATGTATTTAAATTTCATTTATTCATGAAATTTATAATATAGGTTGCCATTTGAAAATTAAAAATTTCAAAAAAAGTTACTACATTCCAAGATAATTAATGTCTTATTGAGGATTGATCACCACTGTATTAGTATTATAATAATATGATGATGATGATTATACAATTATTTGTCAGTGTATTTGACAGCAATTCTATCAGAAATGTTTTTACATTCGAAAAATGATAAGAATTTTTTTTTTTGATCTTGGACTTAGTTGGTATATACGTATAACTTGATGGTAAAAAAATAAATTTACCCTAATGTAACAAATTATTATTTGCTAGGGACTCTGTGGATAAAATTGTTAGACTAAACAGAAATCCTTGAAAATTTCAACAGGTTGTTCATTATAAGTCATACTTAGTGGTAAAAAGAAAATATTTTGTATTTTTATTTGAGTTTTCGTACCAAATTTTTACAAAAATCATAAATATATGGCCTTTCAAAACATGTGTAACCAAACTATGCTCCGAATCGTTTTTCGTTAGTAATGATTTATTTTTGCTTACAGATTAAAATTATGTAACTTTAAGTATTCTACCTTCCTAATTGCCCACCTATAAAATTTTGGCCCACTCATTCCCAGCTAATATATCAGCTCCTTTTTTTTTTTATTGTTCTTTACCAGTTGTATTTAAATAACTACTGCATATAAAGTAGATTCCATAATAATTTGATTTGCATATTTGGTCTATTATTATCATGTTGTTCACTATATAATGCAATTTAATGCAGAGTGCCTAGTGTATATGAATTACTCGTTCATTATATAGTTCCCAATCAACCGTTTCTCATTAACGTGATTAGGTTAGGTTAGGTTAGGTTAATGGTGTTGTGACAAATAAGGTGCATATCGATTTAAATATTTGTTTAATAATAAGCTTATCCTAACCGTTGATAAAACGAACCAGTACAGTAATAATAATATACCTTTTTCCCTTTAAACGTAATAATTCACAGTTTTTAGTCTTCAAACCGTACAGCAATTATACACACATCGTTGATTATTTTTATCTCAAAATTTAAGTATATAGTGGTATAAATGTGTAGGTACTAGGTAGGTATTATAATAAAATACATGTTTCACATATTTACGATCCTAAAAGTGTGCAAAACACTAAACAATATTTCTGTGTAATGCATGATAATTTGTGGGCACTAAATTATATTTTTATTTATAAATACGCTTTGTTCGTTTGAAAAAATGTGTACATTATTTTACATAGATTTTGCAATAGTTTTAGAATTCGACACCTACAGATTTATGGTGAGTAGCGGAGTAGCGTATTCCTTATCAAAAGTGTACACTTTTATTTTTGAAACGAACATATAAAGATAATTATACTGAAACCGAGACAAAATAAGTAACTATTACCACGGGCTCGGCTGTTAATTAACCGGGACTTGTTCAAACCTAAATTACTTATACTATGGCGTATTTGTAAATTTATAATATATTCAATTTTTTGCGAACAATTATCTTACTCGGCTGAGGAATATTCAATGAAAAAAAAAGAATACGATATGGGAGAGTACCAAACGCAACTGTTGGAATTAAATCCTATCCATACAGTAGTTATGTTATATTAATTACGGTGGTTTTTTTTTAAGTATTAGTTATACATGCTCGTATATCATATTTATTCTATTTATTATTTTATGTATACAGCAATGAGGTATGAGGACGCGTGGTTTAGCGTGTATAGACGGGGTTTAGGTTAGGTTAGGATATATTTTACGCAAAATCGCGATTGTAAATATTATTATAACATTAAAAAATCATTTATTAATTGCAAATAAAAATCACTACTTTATAATATAACTCATGCTCATCAATAATATCTACTGAAACCGAGGCATCCCATATGGGACCTAAAGTTTCTGTTAGAGATGTGAAAATGACGTTGGAAATAGTTAAGAATACTGAACGTCACAGTAGTCGATGATATTTTGATAAAAAAATTCCGATTTTGACCTCCCACGGTCTATGTGGACAACTCTAAATAGAGCAAGAACTGAGCTAGACTGATGGGGAAGTCTCCAGCATAAATGGGGTATGCAAGAATCTTTCCTCTGCTTATGTGGTGACGAATAAACAGTCAAGTATATCAAAGAAGCTTGTCAAAACATTAAGTTTAAAGACGGAATTGGAACGATTACAAAAAGCAGCCTCATACAGTGACATGGATGAAGGATCTGAATACATGACCTACTCTAAACATACCACCTTTAACACCAAGTTACTTTTTACCAAGACGCTTAGTTCATTATTCTAATTACTCTGTGTTAAAATCAAATTCTTATTATTTTATTTTTTAATTTAAGCCGTAAGAAATTATTTCGTTGTGTATATACTTTGTTCTTTATTATCATTGTTATACTATGACCAAAATGTTTATCGACTATCATATGCACAATAAGCAATCATTTAATATACTTTACAGTTACATTCGTAATTTATTTATTTATACATGTTAAGAGGGTAAAAACCCTTTTTTAAAGTATAGTGAGTAAGAATGAATAAAATCGAGAATTCAGTAACATTTCAATTTAATCAATTTAATCAAAGGAATGATTAATTTACGAAAATAGCAGATAAAAGTATTATAAATAAAATTATATTTAAATAATAAAAGCAAATGAGACACTTAATAAATCAAAAAAGAAATAATATAACAATAAAAATAATAATAAATTAATGTACAATTGAATTTAAAACTAAATATACACACTTCAATTGAAAAAAAATACGTGATATAAAGAAAAATTCTACATGATCAATAATGAGGTTTGTAATTTTAAAGTCCTAGAGAAGAAAGAAGAACTATAAATATTTTATATACTCAGAAAATGTATTAACTAACTGAATTACATTGAATTATAAACTGTAGTTCCCTTCAATATTTTAAAAACAAGATAATAAAATAAAATAAATTCAATTTCATAATTCTTCACGATTCCACCCTTACTCGGAGTTAATCGATTCCAAACTGTCATTTTTCTTTTAAAAAGGTTTTCCTTATCTAGGGTAACCAAATTAAATAATAATAAGTTATTTTTTTCTCATTCGGGACACCAAAATTACCCATAAATCAACAAAATAAATTAAATTTTCGTTCCAAAAATATTAAAAGCCCTGATTCAGTCACCCTTTAAATGTTGAATTTCGAGCTATTTTGCTCTTGTTATAAATGTCAAGTTAGCATAGTTACTACGAGATCCGAATAAACTATAGATGTACACAGCGGACAGACAGACAGATAGACAGACATATATTATATATAAGACAGAATTTCAATTTTATAAATTAGATAATAATTAGATTTATAGATTATATTTCACACGCGTTCAAATTAAAACTGATTTTAAACCGATTTGTCAATAAAAAATAATAGTTTTCATTAAAATTTAAGATCTAAATGATTTTTACATTTGCCAGAATATTCGTAAAAAGAATCTGTGTACTTATAAAATAAACACAAAATTTAAATAGATAACTCACGTTTTTTACCAAAATTATTTCTTTTCCTGTTATTTTTATACATTACCTTCTATTCATTATTTATATTATAATTTCCAATGCGAAGTAGGTAAGCACTCTCATCAGCATATTTTAAAATAAAGTTTGGAGAAGTGGAGTAAAATTCTGTACAAAACTCGTCATTCCTGTGCACCTTTTATAAACTTTAAACGTTAATTCATTAAACTGCAGGTGTTTGTACACGAGCAAATAAATATTTTCAAGTCAGAATATATTACAAGAAATTAAGAATAGTGAACAAATATTTAGTTAAAGACAGTAAACTATACAATTTTATTTTTTGTAGTTTACTTACCAAAAATATCGTAGGCATTAAAGCATTACTGCAAATTTTGAAGTGGTGCTCAATTATTACTATTACAGTACAAATATTATAATGTAAAAACATTAATTATATACTTACTATTGTAGGTAATAAATTGCCGAAAAATGAGTAGGTAAAGTGAAGGCCAAACCTTTTAATTATAATATACCTGTATAATCTATAAGTATCTAACTTAAACAGAGTGTCTCAAAAATAGATATCCAATATCTCCTGAAATAATGCTGTTTTTTTTATACTAATTACAGGGATAATAAATATTTATACTTGAATTACATTTTTGTTGAATCATTTTGAAAAATTTGAAGATGATTAAAGTTATTTTATAAAGTTTATTCTTCTGAAAATTTAGAAAATTTCAATTTTTTATTTTCATTAAATTCATGATTTTTAATATTTTTTTAAGTTTAGAGAAAAAAGTGTTTAGTCAATTACCCATAATAATAATAGTCAATTAACAAGTTACGTTATGTTTACTTTCCTACCTATCTTATTGTTTTTATTGTAAAATAATTTTTTTTTTTAACTCATTCCCATTGTAAAAAACCGTTTGGCGTTAACTTTTAAAAATAAATAAACAAATACAATTACAGCCTACTGCATAATTATAGCCATTATAGGTAATCAGAATCATAATTAATATACATATACCTAACATAATTATTATTATAACTAATATTGACTGGAGACTTTTAGATTCTGAGTATAAAAAATATATTAATTTTATAGATGTTTTTGTTTCTTATTTTTTTATATTATGTAGACAAATTCTATCAGAAAGTATTTTTTTAAGCAGTTTTTCTGAAAGGTAATTTTCCTGGGGTAATACTTTAGGGACGCCATTTTTTATATCTAATTTCTCACATAATCGAGGTGGATAACACAGTACATTAGGTTTGCTGATCGAAGTGACATCTAGGCGATAAGATAAAGTCTCATAAATAATAACTTCAGACACAAACGGATAGGTAAATTATACGCTACCGCAGGTTTGCACTTTTGCAGATGTTTCCGATAAAAAATGAATGTGTAATCATTTTATCGTATCGATCGACTCCTCCCGGCCATGCAGAGCAATTCCGACCCGTCAAGCGCTCAAAAATAAATCCGTCTGGAAATTCCCGACCCCAATAGTGGCTATAATATTTATATAGATGAATCTATACAAATTAGATCAATACAATATTAGTTCAGTGGTAGTTATATGAGGGGGAAATAGGTAAATCTCTCATCATTTTAATTTTGTATCTAACTTTTACCCATGTAAAATAATATCAGAAAATGTGTATAGTATAATTTATATATCGTTATGAAAATGAACCAATTTGAATACTTTGTTCTTTTAGATTCTGAGTGTAACGAAGAATGCATTAGTTTTACAAGGTTGTTTATTTCTTTTTTTTTTTATGTGAATATTTTTTCTACCAGAAAGCTTAACCCAATGTATACGATGTAGACTCTTTTCTTAAATTTTCTTGGGGTGGTACTTTAAAGAGGTCATTTTTTGATTTTCCTGGCAGTATTTCCAAAAAAAGGGGAAAAGGTGAAAAAAACGAAAAAATGTTCGAAATGTATTAATAAAATACTATGATTTTTTTTTTCTGCAGACAACTTTTCTATTTTTTTTTTATTTTTCAAATTTTGATCCGATTTATAATGATAGCACTTTTTCTAAAAGGAAATATAACTGAGAAGTCACTTTACGGAAGTAATTTTTTTAAATTCTCATTAATATTCGAGATAATGAGGAAAACCTGGTTCTTTAGGTTAAAAAAGATTGAAAAACTAAAAATAAGGTTGTTATTGGCAACCATTTTTATTTATTTTTAGGTTTTTATTATAGTAATCTTTTTTAAACAATCATTGTTGTCATAGAAATGCACATTGTTGTAATTATTTTACCATAATGTTACATGTATATTGTATATTGTTGACAAAGCAACATTACCAACTAAACTCCGCTCAGAATCGTTTTTAGTAAGAAATGGTTTATTGTTCCTTACAGATATAAATTAATTTCCATTCTATATCTTAACTTCCTTACTTCTCATCAACAACAGTGGCTGCACCCATTGTGCGAAGTATGTACGTCTTTTTTATAAGTAATATTTATATTATATTATGAATTTATGATTATTTTTGGATGATTTACTAATTTGTTTAGGGGAAGGTTTTTTTAAAAATATTCTTTTTTTCGCCCTTCCCGTGTACTTCATATATAACCGTAACAAAAACGAACAAAATAATCAGTTCCCCTCTCGATCTGCACTCCGCATACATATAAATATATAATAATTAATTTTCCTAATAATTTTTAAATTATTTAAGCAATTATTTTTGTTATTTTAACATAATTGTCAATATTGACCACTAGCGTCCAACGCTGTACTACGGGAAAATTTCGACTAAAATAATTATTATATAATAGGTACACAAAAGCGAGATCTGACTGATCCGAAGTGAACTGGAAATTATTTATTAAAATAACACTACTGTTTTTCAGAAAAAAAAAAATACAAAAATATATAGCTTCATTAACACTAATATTAATTAGATATTAATTTAGTTTTTAGTGTATTATATTGAATACTGCTCGTACACTTTAAATGATAATGCATTTTATGCTAATAACTATAATATAAACCTTACATTTACATATTTTAATTAAATTGTCTAATATATTATGTAGAGTAGTGCTGTGTGTAATAATGTTACCTGTATACGCTTTTTTTCAAAATTTAATTATAAAAATTGAATGTTATTTAACATTTTAAACAAAAGAATGCATAGGTGGTACTGTATTATTAGGTGGTGTGGTGCGCGGTCAATTTAAGGGAGGGGGAGAGACACTGAGATTGGAAAGCCCAACAAAGTTATATAACATTTCGTTTTCGTTCCATCGCTTAATATATAGGTACATCTAAAAATACGCAAAGTGAACTAAATACTCTAAATATTCACCTTATGCTCATTTTTGTACATAAGTTACAGGAATTTAAAAATAAACTTATTAATAGGCAGGCATTACCGATATACCAAACAATAAAAAATATTTCATTGTTAGGGGGAAAAAAAAAAATTAAAAAGAGCTGGGGAGAGGTGTGCTACTGTTGTGAATTGTGGTATTTAGGAAATTATAACTTTGAAATAATTTACAGTTTTTTAACCCTTTCAGTGGGCTCATACGTAATTAAAATTAATTTTTTTGAATAGCAACTCAATTGCTTTAATTAAACAACATTTTGTAAGTTAATTTATTGGCATTGAGTTCATTTAATAAACAATATCTTCATTAAACACCATAGGTTCTAAAATATTATTTTCTCCAATATTATTATTTTTTGGTTCATTTATTAGAATCAGAATATCTAAATTTTCTTTTTTGTTTACTTGTCATAGATAGTATCATACATAATGTATTATTGAAAATGTTTCAAATAATGAATTAGTATCGCCGACATAAAATCATCTGCATCTTTTAAATATAGGACCTATGTATATACGGTGCAATGGATGTTTTGAGAGATTCTTAATACCAAAAACTGCTTACCCTTTTGGTAATTCTTATAGTAAAACTAATATACGTACAGTTTCCTCGTTATATACCTACTTAGAATCTAATAATAAAATACTGTTTATCATCCTCGAAATACGATTTTCGGTTTACGGTATTCTAATAATTTATGAATCGTAATAATAATACACGGTGGCTTGAAATAACATCGTTTCGGTAAATTGGTTAATAATAGCGACCGTCTAAATATCGAATACCATCACCATTGGTTATAAACATTTCACATACTTGTATTTATAATGTGCTGTTTACAAAAAAAAAACTATAAAAAAAAAAATTACGAATCTGCTTAAGCCAAACCAATTGAATGTTTTACGGGCACGATTTTTTTATATGGATTTTTTCAAGGAAATAACAGACAAAATGTTTTTGGTATTTTCGCACGTAATTTATAATATTATATTTAAACTGGGGAGGGGAAGATACAAAATAGGATATACGCCATTGGTGAGGTGTTACAGAAATAATATTTGTTTCGACTAAAAAAGATGTATGTGCAGAAGAATTAATAAAACATACTTCTTTTAGTATCTACTTAAATTATATATTTAAGACGCCGCCAAAAGATGAGTTTTTTCTCGGAAAACAATATTAGGGCTAGTGAAATACTGTGATTTTTCCATATCACACCATAAAAATATGCAGATTTTTCGCTTGATAGTACTTTGTACTAATTCTACAACTTCACTCATCCAAATTGTTTTTTTTGTTTGCTGCAATAATTCATCTTAGCATATTACAATGTATAAACTTAATTAATTAATTTATTCATTACGGTAATATTGTCGGGGTACAAAGAATAAGTTCTTACATTTTTTTTTTTCCATTGAAAAATGATACCAATGTATATATTATAGATCTTATTTCCTCGTATATTCCGGACGGTTACAAGGCAATGTTTAGAATGTACATGAATACCGAAAAGTCTAACCTAACAAAGTGAATTCGTAATCGTCCATTTGTTTACAACATCAATATAAATTAACGCGCTATCAGCAAGTGATAGCAGCATAAAAGAAATGAAAAAAAAACAAAAATTGTTTTTGATTTTGCTCACAGATTACAATAAGCAATATCAAAATGGGTTTAAGTGCATCAGAAAAAAATAGCATATGTAAGAAAAGAAAAACGCAGATCAATGCGTTAGAACGCATATACACATATGTAGTGTTGTTCAATAGCACTGCGTATGATATCAGCAAGTTGGAAGCTAGACTTGAAAGGTTATCGTACATCAGAGAAGCATTTGAAAAACTTCAAATACAATTTGAAGAAGAAGAAGAAATAGGTGTAGCATTTGAAGAGTCAATGTTTACTGTTTTAGCAAAAACAAAAATGTACATATGAAAAACAAATACATCAACAGCTGTTACTGGGACACAAGGTAGACTCTGCAAGAAAGATTTACTTAAATATGATGGTGGTATTAAAGAATGACCAAATTTTAAGGATCTCTTTTTTACACTAGTCCATAAAAATGAAAAAACATCAACAGTTCAAAAGTTCATATTCCTAAATATCACATTAAACAGTCATGCACTCAGCATAATTCAATCCATTCCGGTTACAGACAGCAACTACCAAGCAGTACGGCAATAATTAAATGACAAGTACGACAATCTACAGACCTTAGTGTCTAGTCACCTCAAAATGATTTGCCAAAAATCCATAGTAAAAAGGATGCACAGATGAGTTTAGAAAATTGATAACTGAATTAAATCAAAACATGAGAGAATTACAAGAGTTGGGTGTACATGTAATACATTGGGATACAATAATAACTTATTTAACAAATCATCGACTTTACCAGGATTTGAGAAAAAAATTGTGTTGAAGTGCAACCAACCACAAATTAAAGCAAGGCAAGTGGCCAACATTTAAACAATTTATTATATTTTTGGAAACAGAGTGTTGTGCATTAGTCTGCCAAGATTGATCAACGTATTGTAGCACAAGTTAAAATACAGATGCATTCAAACAGCCATGTAGCTACTAAAAGTAACAACTCACACAATTGTAGTGTATATCAGGACACTTCACACAAAATATTTTACTGTCCACAATTTCTAAAAATGACTGTCAAAGGTAGAGCAAAAGTAATAAAAAAGAATGGACTGTTTCAATTGCCTAAAATCAGAATGTCACTCATTCAAATCTATAAGCCGTTCAAATGTTCAAGACAATGACATTGTCAAATTGCTGTTACACTCTGATCCAGCAGTCATTGGAGACTCATTTCAAGAAGCATTAGAGCAATTCAGACCGATTGAAAAACGTTTACAAAAGGATGTCACATTACAAACCAATTACAATGATTTCATGAAGGAATATTTATCTCTCGGTCACATGTAAATGGTTGACACAGCATAGTCAAAAGAAGTCTGTTATTTCCTATCACACCATCCTGTTCTCTGTGAAGCAAGTACTATAACAAAACTCGGAGTAGTATTCGATATGTCAATGAAAACTGATGGAGGTAAGGGCTTATCGCTAAACCATATATTTCTATTTGGCCCGGTTGTCCAAGATGATTTATTTTATGTAATCATTCGTTTCTGAATGTACAGTATAGTATTCACTGCAGACATAATCAAAATTTACAGACAAATTTAAGTTCACAAAGAAAATACAAGCTTACAATTATTATTATGGCGCTCATCTCTACATTAAGAAATCAAGGTTTATAAATTAAACACTGTCACATATGGCATAATTGCTGCACCATACTTAGCGACCAGAACATAAAACCAATTAGCAGTTGATTTTAAAGACAAGTATCCTAACGCAGAAAGCGTTATAAAGGATTTCTATGTGGATGACATTCTTAGTGGAGCCACCACTGTTGAAGAAGCCCAAAAAATCATTTCTGAATTGAACTCCATGCTCGCAAGATGATTTCAACTCAGTAAGTGAGCTTCTAACCACAAATCGTTAAGTTTAACAACAAACAACAAGTCAAGTAATCATCAGACAGCATCATAGTTCTTGGACTAACTTGGAATACAAGCAACGATCTTCAGTGTACAAAACCACCTGTTGAATCTACTTATGTAAATCAAACCAAAAGAGAAGTGCTTTCACTCATTGCAAGGTTATATAATCTATTAGGACTCATTGAATTCATTGTAATAATTGCAAAAATGTTGATTCAAAAACTGTGGAAACTGAAAATAGATTGGGACTTATCATTGCCACAGATACACAGGCAACTTGGAATAAGTTTGTTGATGGATTACTAAATTTAAATAAATTACAAATTCTTTGACAAGTAACTTTCGCAAATTTTGACATTCAAGAATTTGCAGATGCTTCAGAATGAGCCTATGGAACTGTGGTATACATTAGGTCTACAGGTCAGTGGCTACAATCAAACAAGACTATTAGCAGCCGAGTAGTACCTATGCGCACATTAAGTATACCTAGGATAGAACTCTGCAGCGCTCTACTTTCACAGTAAGTAAATTCAATAGTTTCAGCATTAAAAGTAAAACCAAAAACAAATTTTTCATGATCTGATTCTAACGTAACATTAGCCTGGACTCCAACCTGTCCGTCAAAATGGAAGCAGTTTGTTGCTAATAGAGTTAGCTAAATACAAAAATTAACACCAAATGCATAATGGAATTACATAAATCAGAAAACAATCCAACAGATCTAATTTCAAAAGGAGTTTAACCTTCAATATTGATTGAAGCATCTCTATGGTGGTCAAGTCCAACATGGTTGAGTCTCTCAAGTAAAAATTGGCCAGTAACCATTACTACACCTACATCAGAAACAGTAACAAATTCGAAAGATACAAGCACTTGTAATGTCAAGTATTCAATTTCAAAATCATTCGTCATGGTTCAAATTAATTTGAATAATTGCATATGTATTTCCTCGATTCATGCATAACACTCAAGCTTGATCTCAAAACATGGAAAAATGAATTAGTCATCTTACTACTGAAGAGTTTCAACAAGCAACATTGCATTGTTGCAAATCAGTTCAAAGAGACCTTTGAAAAAGTCGCTACTCTTCTTTCTCAGATTGAAGCCTGTCTTAAATAAAAACCAATTACATCATAGTACAATGATCCAAATGATGAGAGACCATTGAGTCCAGCACACATTTTGGTTGGTAATTCTATTATCTTACCCATTGAGCAAGACCACACTGATGTTTAGATGAACAAATTACAAAGATGAAGCAGGGTGCAATCAATGATTAAGTTATTTTGGAAACATTTTGTCACTCCAACAACGAGGGAAATGGCACAGACAATATCCTAATGTCAATATTAGTGACTTAGTCATTATCAAGGAAAACAACTCTCAACCGTCTCACTGAAGGGTCAGCCGAGTCATTCTCCTCCACCCAACGACTGATGGAGTAGGGCGTCAAGACTGCGTAAGCAACTCTTAAACGTCCCGTCGTTAAATTAAGTAAGATTCCTATCAATTAACACTATTATTATTATTTGTTTATTAATGCAATGATAGATACTATTATTATTATTATGTTTTATGTCATATCAAATTTTGAACTATTATTATTAAGAACACTTATTACATTGAATTACAAGTTGAAAACATCCTTCAATAGGGGGAATATATTTAAACTAAATCATATGTATCTGTTTCTGTGTTGGCAGCACTGATAAACTTGTATATAATATTTCTCTTTCTTTCATGATCGAGACAGTTACAAAGTTTTTGTCATTGCGACATCATCGCTCTCAAAATGTAAAAAAAATATACAGTCCGCTTTATCAATTAAGTTGTTTGTGTTCATTTTTTAAGTATTTTACATCACTATAGTCTATGTAATCTTATAATGCTTCCCCATTGCTCACCTACTGGCCACCAAAGTGGTCTACCCATGAGCAGTGTCGTAAAAATGGTGAGAAAACAACACCTCAGAATCGGTTGTTTTTTTTTTTTAATAAACATAAATATTGATTCTACACTTCCCTCCTTAAAACATTTCTGGATCTGACCCTGATTAAATGTGTCACCGTTCGAAAAAATTAAAAATATCGGTAAACCGGAAATCATATAAAAATTTAAAACCCGTATATGGGTTTGTATTGAATAGCGTACTATTGTAGACGTTCGGACGGTCGGAATAATAAGTACTTATTAATTATTATAATGTTTACAGACCCGAATATAGTTTTCGGGAGGGGGAGCTTTTTGTTGTGTTTTAAAGCAAACACAAAAAAAAAAGCCGAACAAAGGTATTTCACATCATGGCCATGGCCATTGTTGTAGGTGGAAATTTTGCTAGGTATATTAGTATAATTTAGTTTATAGAAGTACTGAAAATAATAATAACCCGGAAATCGTCGAAAATAAAATCAATGTATCATTTGCGGTCCGATTTTTAAATTTGTTTCAAAAATAACACGCGGGAGCCTAGACATTTGTTTCAAATTATGTGCCTCCCGGTTAAAAATCCCTAATATCCTTATTCCAGAGCATTTAAAGCAAAATAACTCGTACAATTTTCGTTCAAATTTCGACTACAATACGTCAACAAGCAGGTTGGTAACACCAAAGTAAGTACTTACGACTTACCTATCACCACCATCGTTACTCCTTAACGCTTAAGTGCCGTGAAAAGTATCTTAGTATTCGAACATATCGTCCAACGAGAGCACGTTTAAAAAAATCTCCTTGTACATTTATTGTTTTTATAATTTATTTACTATGTTCAAATAACGGCAAACGTAATTGAGAATAACGCGTATAGCGGTAAAATGAAAAAAAAGATATTGTACTTCACGCCGTAGAAACGTCCAGACACTTCGTGTCAAATGCGCGATTTATTTTGTTTTTCCTTCCACCCCGTCCATCATCGGCCGTATCTATATGGGTGGGTGACCATCAACAAGTTCGCGGTAACCAGGGTCGCGGTATGCGCACGGTTACACAATATTATAATATTATAATAGATTATAATAACGATACAGGTGGCATTTGTCGGCGTCGCACAAGTATACGACAATAATAATAATAATAATTCACGGACACGCAAATCGATGATAATAATTATGGTAATAATATTAGTACTGCAGCAACAATACATGACAATTAAAATTGTAACCGTGTATGGTAATAATAATTATGGTCGGAACATTATATTGCCGCAGTTATTGATTCGTTTGCGCGTGACGGAAATAAATAACAGCATATAATACACAACCGAAATGCCATTTACACGACCGCGGCGCGTTCCATATGGCGTCGTAATTTTCTGCGCAAAATGTATGCTAATATTATGTTTCGCGAGTTTCGTGTAGGGGAGATACAAAACGTAAAAACCACTTGTAAAAAAGCGAATTTCCGTCGGCCGATAGCAGAAAAAAAAATCGCCCGCTAATATTATTCAAATGCGAGAGGTTGGCGTTTAAAAATCCGGGCTCAATATATGCAGTTTCGTCGCATGCGCGTACCCATGTCTATGCGGACGGACCGAGTTAGGACAGTTGCGATTAGGTTTTCGGTAAGGCCGAGTTTCGAAAACTATACGACTAACCTTTTCTTCAAAATAATCGACTAAACGACCGATCTGCCGGAAGATTAAATATTATGATGGCATCGCGAGCTTGTCCCTGGCGTAAATTTAAATCGCGACAAATTAGTACGAAAAGTACTGATAAGAATTAATAACAATTCGAAAATCGGTAAGATTAGACGCCGGACTCTGTGGGCTAGTTGATAACGTTGAATTTTTAATCATAGTTCGAACGTAACGGACGGACAATAATTGCGGTACGAGAGGGGAAGGGGTGGTAGTTAATTCTACCCATGCGTTCCCCCGCCATAGGCGATTCGGCGACAGGTTAGGATGAAGAAACGCCGCGGATTGTACGACGGACGCGCGGTAACGAGCTAATAACGTTATAATACATTTTTTTTTTTGTGTGTTAATGTTACCTTGGAGGTGATTATAGTATTTCGCGTTCGGTGTTCTCGTCAGGTAGATCCGGAAAAGCGCGGAAAGTGGCCGCGACTGTGTGTCACCGTCGGACACCGCACAGTCAACTGCAGCGACGATTCGCCGTTGACATAGAGCTACGGGCCGGTTGCTGAGCGATCAGGTGGCGGCGTGGACGGCGACCGTTGTCGTCGTCGTCATAGCTGCCGGCGGCGCGTTCCCGTCCGCGAATTCACGTCGGTACGTACAACAACGCCTCGGCGGCTAGCGGTGCCGTCGGGACTGTAAATTCGCTTTTTCGTTATTTGTTGTCGTCGCCGCCGTTGTCGTTGGCGAAAAACGGAGAGTAGATTATTATTATGTATGGAAAATGCCGGCGTAGGTATCGTTCACCGCGGACCGCTACAGACTGCGCGCGCGCCCGTACCCGTTTCGCGGGACGACGTTTTTCGGCGGCGGCTGCGATGCGTGGTGCGTGCGTGCGATATCATCGGCGGCGGCGGCAGCGGTGCTGGCGTTCGGCACACCGCGGCCGCGCGATCCGTCACCGGACGATATTGATCCGCGAGCGCTCGCCGCCGCCTTTGGCCCGTTTATTCCCCAACTGAGACCACGGCTGCCGCGTCGCGGCCTCCGCCACTCGTCGACCGTCGGATCGGCGCGTGCAGCGGCGGCGGCGGAGTGGAGTGTGTAGTGTGTACGTATTTAACGCTAGTCGGCTGCGTCCTAGGGAGTCTCGGCCCGACTGTTTTTTTTTCTCGTACCGTTTCCGTCCCGTATGAAAAAAAAGATACATACACGCGCAGTCTCACAGTTTAATCGTTTATGATACATTATATATGTATATAGCCTGCACGTCGAATAGGAAATATGACGCCCCTCTTGATTTGATTTACACCGTATAAAGATCCAATGGAACGTCCTCAAGACCTTGGCCTATATAACGTAGTGTTCGATCACCTATATATAATAATATAACCCGCCGAACGGTATAATTTCGATTCGACACCCTCGAGTTTTTGTCGTGCACGTGCCGGTTATAAATGTTATAATACGGTCTGAGGGTAAAATATAGGTAAACATGCAAACGCGAATACGTGATATAGGTACGGAATAACAAACGGGGTTGGTATTATCGAACTGACACCGTCGTCGTATTCGCATTTACCTATATATACTCGTATAAACACATATATTTACCTGCACTCGGATTAAAAGATAAATAGAATGCACAGGTCTTTCAAATTTCACGTAACGTTCAAATTGACAACGAATTACTTATTTTTTCAACAAGTACTTTTTATAATCATGCATTCTAAATTGTTACGATATTGTCATTATTTTTGTCACCCTTATCACTCTCGGTTAATTGGATTCTTATTTTCGATTTTAAAATAGTGTAACCTATATTGATAATTACATAAATAAACGGAGTATTAGTTTAAATACATTTCGGTGTTGAAGTAATTTTTTTTCGTCAACCCACTAACAAGATATTTCACTTTTAAGTGTTTAGGTAGAAGAAGCGAAGCATTATACAAACGCCACTCGCTGTGGCGCCACACAAATGATGCACTCCTACTTTCCTTCTACTCAAACTTAAAATTAGAATATCTCGTCAACGAGTTGACGAAAATCAACAATTTAAACGTAAAATAAATAAATAAGTAATCGCTTCAACTCCTACAAAAATAAGAACGATTTTAGAATATATAATTTCTAAAAAATTGTTTATAAGTAATGGAAAATTGAACTTTAACATGAAATTTGGAAGACCCTATATACTTCAATACTTACTTATACTTGCGTACCATCTACCTCGAATCCAAGTGTGATGAACGAATGTTCTGAAATCGACTTATTTGAACCAGAGCGGATACAAGGAGAGCAATAGTGGCAATTGCCTCCCCCGTGTAAAAAAAAAAAAAAAAAAAAAGTGGTATCAAATATTCCATTTATAATTAATTGTAACAAAAATTTTGTTCATGCAAATTATCAAGAAAATGTTGTTATTGTATTTACCACATGAACATTTATTCATTTTTCCATTGAAAATTGTCCATTTTTACTTAATACTTATAATGCTATTAATACTAAAATATTCTCCCAGCTCTCTTTCATGCTATTCTCATTATTTATTAACGGTATAAAAGATTTCTCAAAGAAAAGCAAATTTCTGTTGTTTACGGATGATCTGAAGCTGTACATAAAAGTTAATTCGAATTATGATTGTATTTGTTTGAATAATGATCTTAATATAATTGCACAATGGACTTTGACCATGGGTTTGTCACTTAATATCCAAAAATGCAGATCTATTTTGTATTATCGATCACGTTATCCGATTGTCTTTGACTATTATATCAATGGACATAAGGTTATAAGAGTTGAAAACACACTAAAAAACTTCGTATAAAACTAACATTTTCACCACATATACAATTTTCTAGTTGTAAAGCACTAAAAATACTTTGATATGTCAAACGTGTTTTTACTCAGTTCAAATTATTATACTATGCCTTGGTTCGCAATGTGCTTGAATACGAATCTGTATTGTGGGAACCTTGTGTAATTCGTCTCTTTGAGTACGTACAGCATGTTTTTGTATTTTGCTAGACATGTATTAAAAATAGAGGACCTGCTTCTCTAGTCCTTTTTAATCTGTAATTGTCTTCATTGGCTGACAGGAAAGTAGAAGTTAATTTATCTTTTCTTTCTGATTTACTGTCAGGTAAAATATTGACTTCCTTAATGTCCTCTCGTGCTTTAATTTCAAGCTCCCTTCGTTGACCATATGTAATAACTATCCGTTTTATATCTCTGTGTCTTTTCTGAAAGGAAATTTCCTCTGGGTGGTACTTTAAAGAGGTAATTTTTTGAAACTCTCATCAATATTTGAAATAATGAGGAAAATCTGGTTCTATAGGTAAAAAAAAGTTAAAAATAAGGTTGTCATTGACAAAAATTTATATTTATTTTTTGTTATTATTAAGTTTTTATTATATTAATATTTTTTAAACAACCATTGTTGTCATGGAAACGCACATTGTTGTAATAATTTTACCATAAAATGACATATACCATATACTATATAGTTGACAAAACAACACTATCAACTGAACTCCGCTCAGAATAGGTTTTTCGTTAGAAATGGTTTATCGTTGCTTACAGATATACATTAAATTTTCCCTCTACCTTTCCTACGTTTTTTCCCACATATGTGCTTTTATTTAAAAAATGGCGTTGAAAATTAAAAAATGACATATTTAAAGTACAATCTAGACACCTTGAACTTTCAAAAAAGTTGCTATGCATAAAAATCAGAGCAAGTTTACTTGGTAAAAACGTGTCCACAGACTAGAAGAAAGAAAAAAAAATAAACATCTTAGTAAAATCAATACATTCTTCTCTACGCTCAGAATCTAATAATATTACTTTGTTAATTATTTATTTTCTTTCTTGATGTTGCCAATTCGTTGATATTTGGTTTATAATTAGTAACTTTTAATAAAGTACATGCGGCACTGCATTCTCACTTAGACGGTTTCTTAAATCAGATTTTATAAAATTAATTTCTGAAAATAATGACTCACACGAATAAATTGAAAAAAAATAGACAAAACACTTAATGCTACTATTTTTAAAGTGTAATAATCTTGTGAAATTGCATTCCACACTTTCAAAATTTTGTTTCCTATGTATACGATTATTCAATTTTATCTACAGATACTATATAATATTGCGTTTAGTATGTTATCTACCTTTATTGAGAGTAAGCTGCCAAAATGTGTATATATATATAAATGTACGTATTATTATTTTATCTACAGATAAAATTGAATAATCGTGATTAACATAATATATATGACAAAAATATTTTAATTTTTCGTGTGCCCTCAAAATCTTTTCGCGTGCCACCTGCTATGGACTATAGATAATTACTTTTACTATAGTATATACTAAACATATTTGATTTATATGATAATAATTAACATGACTTAAGATTAAAACCAATGCACTACCTTTTTTTCTGAGAAAATCGAAACTACCAAAAAACTTCAAACAAATGCATAAAAAAAAAAAGTTCATCGGGGGATATGACACCCTCATCCTCCCCTCCCGTGAGTACGCCTCTGCAAACGGGAATTTAATTAATCTGTAGATCTGTAAGCAACGATAAACCATTACTAACGAAAACACGATTCTGAACGGAGTTCAGTTGATAGTGTTGCGTTGTTAACAATATACATGTAATATCATGGTAAAATGATTACAACAATGTGCATTTCCATGGCAACAATAATTATTTAAAAAAAATTAATATAATAAAAACTTAATAACAAAAAAATTAATAAAAACGGTTCCCAATAACAACCTTTTAACTTTGTTTATTGTGGCCATGCCATTTGAGGTTATGACACATTTCAATGACTAAGTATTTACAAGATTTTACTATTTTTAATGATGTTAGATATGTACAAGATTTTGGATTTGAGCAGTCGTGTTCGTGAATATGCAGGCTGGTTATATCTGGTTGGTTTGAATTAGTTATATAGTATGTTAATAAATAAGTTTTATCTAAATTTAAGAATAGGTTATTTGCGCATAACCAACTAATGATTTTTCTCAGGTCATCTTGTATGTATGAAAATACCTCGTCCCAAGAGTTACCATTAACAAAAAGAACAGTGTCATCAGCATAATAAACTAGTTTACTATGTATCTTTAGATCGTTTATTTGATTAATTTGAATATTAAATATGGTGGGATAGTACCTTGAGGTACTCCACATATTGATAGTGTTTATAGACTTGAGGAATTATTTATTCAAACTCTTTGTTTCCTATTTTATAAATACGAGCTTAATAAGTCGTAGGTTGGACCTCTTATACCAAATTTATTAAAATTATTTAATACTATTAAATGGTCCATTATACTATGATGTGTATAATATATTTATTGAGAAATATCTATATTATGTGGTACTATACTATTTCTCTGATTATATTATTATTATTTTGGTTTTTTTTTCCGGGATTCTAAATACATTCCTCTATCCATTCAGAATCTAAAATCATATAAAACATTGATATGATAAAACTTTTTTTTTTATATAGGTACTGCCTAATATTATTTATTATGAATGTTTTATTCCGATAAGAGTCTATTTATATTATAATATACTACCACAATCCACTCCCACATTTATAACGTATACTCGAGATAACTTGTCTTATTAATACCCTGTATTCTGAATCGTAAATTCAGTCAACTTCAAGGCTCGCGAAAAAAATTCTATACTATTTATAAACCTTTTAAACACAATTATACTCATAATATTATATTTTTATTTTAAAATCGTTTCTTTGGATTACTGCATATTTAAACAAGATATTCGGAATAGTTATCATTCGTCATCTCAATTTACGGGATTTTTGACGACGATTCTGCAAACTTAATAACTTTGTTCGTTTTAACAAAAATTGTACATCTTTTTACATATAATTTACACTTTTCATTACATTTTTTGATAAGGAATGCATTACTCACACAGTCACACCAGTCACACCATCAGATTAAATTTATACTATAATGTAAATTCTTTGTAAATTTTGTACACTTATTGTTAAAACGAATAAGCTAAATGTATAGAAACGAGATAATGATAATATTATGTTAGCCGTACCTCGTTCGTCTGTCTCCCTGGTAACTGACATCTTTACTGCACCATAGTAACGGGGACAGGTGCACCACTGCACTACCCATATTCTCCGTAAATTCGCCTACATAAGAATGTTATTGTGTATAATATATTATATTATGTACATGCATTGTTATTGTTGTTTGAAATTCCGATCCGTTTTGCGGAAAAGGTAGTGGGTACAAATAGTGGATATGGTGGCGCCGAAAGAGGTCGTTGTTCAAACGATTTTAGCTCATAGCTGTACATTATTCTTGTCAATCGATAGCGACCCCAGACTTTTCAATATTATTATTATTATTATTATTATTATTACCCACATACATGATTTATTCCAATGAGTTTTAAAAAAATAATATAATAATTGTAATTCATCACTCTGGTGAATTTAATGTTTTCTCATATTTAAGTGGTAGTAAATAAGGGATAATGCGTTGGGATTTCGTGATTTATATTAAATTACACTATTCGTATATTATAGAAATAACTGCAGGCATAGCATTATGTATTCGTTTAATTGTGACTTTTGATTCGATATAGACAATACCCACTTATTTAATTCCGTATAGTTTCCAAAATAAAATAAATAATTTAAAATAATAAATTATTATTAAATAAATACATATTTCTTTCAACTTTAGCAAGACCACTCAGACTTAAAACCTAATACTCGCGTATAATTAATTATATTCTTAAAACGTATACCTATTATTAGGACTGTGAATTTAATGCAGTGAAAAACCTTAAAAATGTATAAAACATGCACAAAAAATGCAATAAAATGTGCATTTAAGGTCTCAAAGAATGCGATAAAAAATGCACTTAAAATGGCTTTTAATTTAATTTTTATATTTATTTTGATATTACTGATATCGATGCATCGCAACTCACAAATAATTAATCTAAGCAATAATATTGCCTTATTTTTACCTAACCCGTATACAGCTTGTGTAAAATATGTTTCTATAAAATATAAATTTTACGTGTATACAGCCTAGGAAAACAAAATAAAAATAAATGTGTGTAAAGATGCTAATTGACAGAATTTGATTAAAAATACCGGAAAATGAACTCAAAAGAAAAATATGACTTAAAAAGTCCAAAAATGACCTTAAAAATAAAAAACAACAAAAAATACAAAAAAAAAAAAAAAAATGTAAAAAAATAAAGTTTCATAAATTAATTTGTTGTTCCATAATTCAAATTATGTATTTTGAAAACTATATTTCACAATCAGCCTAAAAAAATGCACTTTCATACAAATGCACAGCCTTATTCATTAATTGTATGATTAAAATTAAGATTTTTTTAAATTAAATGTCCCCCTTCCTTTTTTCCATATTTTTGAACATTTAGTCCATATTTTAAGATTTTCAATAGCATAATTCTTGTGAATGTGATTACTAGATTATCAAAAAAATATTTTGAACCCATAATAAGGGGTCGCATATTAGCAAATTTAACGACATTTTAGAAAAAATGTGTGATTGATCTTGTGAATCTTGTAATTGAATCTTAAAAATATTGTCTTCTAATGAATTTTCAATAGTTATGATGTCTTTGCTCGAAAACAAGCAAACCATTATCATTTCTTTAATAAAAAATATTCATATATTATATTTAATTTTTTTAATCCAAAATAACATTTAAATATTCAAATTCCACCATAATAATACAATTTTTTATTGATTTTAAATGTTACAAAATTATAATAATAGGTTGTTACATAGTTAATAAAATGTTACAATTATCGTGTTTTGTTGTTTTCGTCTCTATTGTGAAATAAATATTTTTGAATAACATTCATTAGATTGTCCAGTTTTATTGTTCTGTCCAAGTCATTGACAATTCCCAACGATTTGATTAGTTCATTCTGTTAAACAAATAAATAATGCATACATATATAAACAACGTCCTAGAATAATGGAGTCGAGTGCAACCTCTGTTATAAGTAATTTAATATCCACCTGTAAGCAACGATAAACCATTGCTAACGAAAAAACGATTCTGAATGAAGTTCAGTTGATAGTGCTGCTTTGTCAACAATATAGATGTGATTTTACGATAAAATTCCAATTACTCAAGTTCCAAAATTAAAATGAATCCCGTTTTTCTTCCGTTTTTTTCTTCCGGTTTTTCATATTTATTGAGAGAATTGAAAAATAACCTTTCTAAAGTACCTCTCCAGTCAAATTTCCTTTTAGAAAAATTGCTATCATTATAAGTTGGATCAAAATTGCTGATAGAAAAGTTGTCCGCAGAAAAAAAAATAAACATCTTTGTAAAACCATACGCTTCTTCGCTCCATTTAGAATTCAAAAATTATCAAGTTCAAAAAACGCTGAACGATCATACTCAAAGTTGAAAATAATAAAAAATTATTTAAGAAGCATCCAAGAACAAGAATGTTTCGGTGATTTACCAATTTTAGCAATCGAAGCCAATGAATCAGAAAAAATGAGCACAAAAAAACTTACGAAAAGGTTTGCTGAGCTGAAAGCTTGATAAAATTCTTTGAACAGATAGATACGCTTTTTACATATTTTATAAAATAAATCATTTAGAACTTTTTTAGCAAAACATTTTTTCTAATTATATTCAATTTTATTTTATAAGTTTAGCGTTATTGTAATGAATTGTAAGTATAGTGTAAAATTACATAAACAAAGTGTGTGCTTTATCACACAAAAATAAGTATTCATGGGAGAGAGGCCATAAATTTGTCATCCTTATCTTCTAAAATGTATATCTTCATATAGCTATATATCATAATACATTTTTATTACAACTAAATAGATACCTACTGGAAATTATTTATTTTACCATTATTATTGATTAACTATTTGTATGCATACATAACGAGTTATAAATTATAACGGTCATTAAAATGTTTAAAATGGCTATTGCTAATTCCAAATGCTGCAAATCTTTATGGCGAAAACATTTTTACATAATATAAAGTTTATAGAAATTTAACGTTCTATCCCAAATTTCATTTTGTTGTTAACATTGAAACTACCCACTGCATTATTAGAATTATAAATGATTCTAAATGATTGAAGATCATAATAACAATAATAACATACCTGCACTCATCTGATAAAAGTTGATTGCTATGAACAATACACTCTTAATGTGCATTTACAATTATTTAGGAAACTGGGTGCACTATGAAACTAAGTTGCTATGCAGTCATAATTATTAACAAATTTTAAACAAATGGCCAATGGGACTTGATCATACAGCCTTAGAAAATAGTCTCTACTTTAAACTAGGTGGGTACATTTAAATTGAACGCCACAATTGATGTAGTAGTCTGCATGTTTTTCAATAATCATTCAATAACTAAGTTTTATAGACATTAGTTTCATAAATTCTTAAAGTTTAAATTTAAAGTTAAATTTGTTTTATTTTGCATTTTTAACTCTTTTTCTATATAATACATCGTTATATTTGTATTTTAAGTTTATTTTTCACATATTATACAATATTTTAAACGTTTTTTTTTTTAATCAAAAAAAAAATATGGATAACTGATTAAATATTATTTAATATTTTTACAAATCATAAAATACGTATTTATCGTGTGTTTTCCCCAATTATTTATATTAATGTAACATTCTAACATACATATAATCTCGGTCGATACGGAATATAATCAGATGTTAGTTTGAAAACAATCGAAAAATATTATTAAAACACTAGTAACAATACATTTTCATTTGGGTAATAGTTTTATAATTATTAAAATAAAAAATACAATTTATATTTACGATTGAAATTTATTGTTGTTTTTTCTTGTGTTTAAAGGCAAATTTAAAAAGGAAGAAGGATTGTATGGAAAAAGAAATACATTTTCAATTTAATTTTTAATTTGTTTGGTTTTTTATTGAGAAAATGAAATATTTTTAAGTCCACATTAAAATATTTTTGCATATTTGTAGAGCTTATTTGATAAATTTGTAATACACAGGTGCGTGCATTTTTAAGGTTTTTCAGAGCATGAAGTTTCAAGCCCTAATCATAATTAATGTATTGAGAAGTTTATAATAATAAATTTTAATCATTTTGAAATTCAGATAACAAGTTTGATATGGTTACAAATACATTCTTCTTCTCCTTTACCTTCATCTCAACTATTTTGAGTCAGTCACCCTCGTTTTAAACTTTCATTTGATTCTCCACATCATTAGGATCTAGAACACCTCGCCATAATCGTCTCTCCGCTAACCAACTCACCGCAGTGTACCGACTAACTCTTTAACTTAACTGACGAATTATTTTTAACATTAACTAATTTAAACTCGACTTGTTTAGTTTTAATAAATAAACTTAATATTTACATTTAATATTTTCATAAATATCCAGTATCAATAAGGAAAGTGGTTATGGTAAATGATTGTCTGTTTTTTGAGAATTTTTTATTTATAATATTACTCACTTAACCTATAAAGTTATAAGAAGTTATACCTAGTTACCTATACATAATTGGCTACATGCAAACTCCTACAAAAATGACCTTTTTACTTACCTAAAATAGATGGTATAATCTCCTACACAGATCTTTTTACATTTTTAAGTTTGGGTTAAGTAATGACTTATTTCATATTACAACACTTCTTACATACTTCGGTAAGTACTTTTAATTTGTATATTATACTGTAAGTTTTCATTATTTTGGAGATAATATAATAAAATCGTTATTTTAAAATAATAACAAAAATAAAATTTAGTAAATATATTAATATAATTGTATCAGAAATTCTCGAACATTCCGATAACGCTATTTGGATACCTACGTTATTTCCGTGTATGGAAATACAACAATATCTTCCCCTTTTTTCCGTCACTCAGAGATAAAAAGCTTATTAAATGCTTATAGCATCCATACCAGTAATAGCAGAACAAATTGGATAACTGTATTATTCCTGACTATTTACTAATTTTACTTGTTTAAAAAAATCTATCTTTTATTGAAGTTAACACTATGTCAATATAGGAGATTACCAACTTCTGTAGGAGTTTACCATCCCCCACATAATTGCATAGTTCACTTTGTCTAATAAACTATTACGTGTTGAATACTGAATTATTTTTTAAACATTAATCTGAACAAATAAATTACTTTTTACCTTCTTTGACGTGCCGATGCATTTTACAAACGTATCGTACTCTTCTTTGGTGAGTTCACCACTGTTATCCTTGTCGGCGGCCTGCGAGTAGAAAAATATTCGTTAAGATAAATTCGAGATGGGTATAGTAACATTGCCTAATTTCCACAATAATGCATTATTATATATTAAGAAATAGTAATTATAATTATAATATGCACTTCAATATATTGGTAAAATTATTCGATTTGATTTCACACAGTGGCGTGCTAAACCCTTTGGCTATATGAGGCAAGATTTTTTAATATTCTCCCACTCCTACATAAAAATCTAACAGTACACAATTCCATGAAATTACTATGTCTTGTTTTTACAAACAAGAAACTCATCTACACACCTATTCATTCACCTACTCAAATTTTCCTGGAGTAAATTGCCTCGAAAAATCTCTGCCTGAAATTATTTTATAACTGTGGTACTAGCAGACACCTACGAATAATGGACAAAGTTTTAGTGATCGCGAATGTCTTAATAGTTTACACTTACCCGTATTTGAGTCTGAAAGTAAGGAAGTATAAAGGAGATTGATTAAATTGATTCAAGGATCAAAATAAGAAATTTCCAGGAAAGTTAAAATTATTTTTGACAGAAGACTGAGTAGGCATCAATTGAGACCTAAACAGTCGGTTCCTTCTACCGTCAGTGCTGTTAGAGTATATTATAGTCAGAGTTCAAAATATTTTGTTATGAACATGTGTATTTTTAGTCTTAATGATTATACAAGTATGAATTCGAAATTTGCATACCTTAAGTTATAATATAAAATTTTAATTTTAGTACCTAATTAGTAATTATTAGTTTGAGTACTCATGTATGCAAATAACCGGCGAAAACGTTAAAAATTAATTTATTACCTAGATAATAGAATTTCCTTAAATAAATATTCTAATTAATATTACAAAGAGCTGCATGAGCAAAATAGTCCCACACTAATCGATATTTTATAAATATCTCGTGGCATAAAAATAACTCCTCTCGTATATTAGAAAATCGTTGGGTGGAAAAATAGCATCCATATCATACGAGTATTATAATATAAATATTGTTTGGCGTATACAAGTCGTGAGTTAAATAATGAACTGTCAGAAGTGATGGCATTAAGACAACCTAATGTGCACACATGGTAATAATATATTTGCTTCTTATCATTTGTATCTTTTGGGTAGATCTACTTAAAAATCTCTTCAGTTTTTACGACAAAAAATGTTCATTATGTTATTAAAAATATATTGTAACTATTTACCTTGAACAGATAAGGCAAAAGTTGAACGGCTTCATCCTGTAGACTCTCGTTTTTTTTCACGTACTGAATATATCTTAAGTATTTCTCTACAGTAACATAATCAAACGGATCAATACATCCCCAATGTTTCTGCCATAAGTTCTGTAACAACACAATAAGTAAGTCAGGTAAATGACGTAAATCACATTTAAAACATTTTTAAATTCATCATAAATATAAAATATAATTTGATTTTGACGTTATAATAGTCTCGTACTTCCATGACTTTACTGAACATTACAGTTTCCTCTTCCGTCATGTTATTGTTTTCGGAAAATCTTTTGGTGAGTTCCTTCAAATCGTCGATGGATACAACACCGTCGTTATTTATGTCCAACAGTTCGTGGACAATACTCAACTTTGATGCCTCTGTGCTGTCCAATTCCTATGCAAACGAATCGAATAATTGTATTATTAAATAATAATAATACTAAATACTCATACTAATACTTGTGTATGAACACAATACACACACTTAGGTATCTTTATTTTTAATAATAGGCCAATTCACTCTATTATTGAAAATATCAGCACAAAGTTGTTCCTGCTGAACCAAACTTTGCTGTCGTACATTTGTAAACAACATGTGAGGGTATCACATCTTCTTAACAATCATAATTCTGTGCAAACTTCATCAATAATAATAACACGTATTACATTTAAAAATATTTTTATATAATATAGTTTTTTTACGGAATAAATAATCAATAAAAATAAAGGTAAATAATAAATGATACAATCGAATAATAATAATAAAATATGTATATATATAGGTACTCACGTTTTTATTGTTACAAAACTCCGTTCGATCGTTTTCGAATAGTTTTCTGCTTATTACAAATTTATTAGTATTGTGAACATATTTCACACTCCTCAAATTGGCAGGTTTCTATAATATAGTGGTAAAAAAATTCATAATGGTGTAAATAACAATTTTATGTCTCCAAAATTTTTTTTGAATTTTGATTTTCAAACAGTAATAATAACCCATGCTTTTGAGCTCAGATTCGAAAAGAAATTCTTTTCTAGACATTTTGACAATACTGTTAATACTTTTATCCATAACCGATTTATCAAATATTCTAGTGATACTATGAAACTAACCAGAATCAAATTTCGTAGATATAATCACTGGTTATTCATCATAAAACATCACTGTGTAGAATAGTAGTAGCTCCCGGTATCTATATTATGAGTTATCTGTTAATATTAATTATTATACGAGTAACGGTGATTGGTAAAAATAGTTATCACATTTTAATCTTGAAAAAAAACTTAAGTATTGCTTAATTCGAAGACTATTATATTTGAATTTAATTATTCGCAAATTGATAAAATATTATGTCCGTCTATTATTTTTAAAAAGCTGACGGTCACCACCCTTCACATTATTTCAGGTTGACGTGATAAATCCATTTGCTGACAACAATAAGAAAAAAACAAATTAATAAATTAAAGACGTCCCTCAAAGTCTCGGCGGTTTTTCGAGTGTTTAATATCCGGCCATAACCTGTCACGCCGGATATAACGAATAAATCCCATTTTAAACGATAATGGAGTTTCAATGAAATAATAAAAAAAAAACAATTTAAAAAAAGCGGATATAATAATGTATCAGTCAATGTCAAAAAAATCGACAGTATAGTAAACTATAATATGGGAAATATTTATTACTGTTTAAAAAAAGAACATCTGTGCTTCTAAATGACTGTACTTTTGAGTGAAATTAACATTCAACTTTATTTAATGTATTATGGTGTTATTTAATATGCGCATTTAATAAATGTTATTATTTGAATTGTGTAAGAAAATTAGATATCTGATACCTTATACCATTGCCATAAAACAATATAAAATATTATAACATGTACAATCTAGCATAGCCTTTTTTATTATACCTATAATTATTAGTAGGTATTAATTGATTCACATAACTAATACAATTCATTATTTTTGCTGTTAGCTAGAGAAATAATTAACTACAATAGTTGAATTTCCAATTTTTACCGTGTTAGTCAGCTGTAATTTATTAATGCAAATGATCCCCAATTTTCATTGCCGATATTTTATAATAATAAGTTGATACTGCTCGCGGATAGGCTACTGCAGATGTAGGTGGTTAGTTAAGAAGATAGGATATTAGGGTAACAAAATAATTTACTTTGTATACAAGTTTATATGTGTAATGAATAACGATAAATCATTGTTAGTGAAAACGTTTCTGAACAAAGTAGTAACTATTAGTTATCGTTTCCCCTAATTACCAATAAGATACCTAACATAGAATTAACGAAAATAAAACAAATAAAATGTGAATTACTAAATGTTTCGATAAATATATCCAAGAACGGTACACTAATAAATTGAAATGAAGAATCCATTTAAATTTCTGGACTCAATTCAATAAAAGTCTATTTAAATAAAATACGAACATAATTCACGTTTCTAATATTATGCATTTTGGACTTTGAACGGATTAACTAGTTCATCTACCAGCTATCAAATGACCATGAGTCATTGAAGTGCGCTTATTTTTATATATTTTTTTTAAGTAGTTATCACAATTTAAATTATTTATAATCTGTTCATATAATACGCATTGTTAAATATTAAATTATATTTAATGGAAAAAGTTCATAATGGGATATTTATCCCCCTTATAACATTCCCTCTCTCCGTTTAACAGACCCTTTATATAAAATTATTATTCCGAGTTCTCGTACTCAGCGACAAATAAGTATTATGTTAAAATCTATTCGTTTCATAAATTATATTATTATTATAATATTCTCGTGTGTAATCATATAATTCCATAATGCGTCCTGTACTCGCCCCCGAAAGATAATAGAATATAATGTTCATATTATAGGCGACGTTGGCATTAAACGTTAAATTATACGAAATTATTTGGGCACTAAAGCGTTATAATAATGACAACGATAATAACATGTAATATTTTATAAAAGACAATATACGATAAGTACCAGCTACTTAAAGTAAAAAATCGTACTTTAGCAAAGCTGCAACAAGCCGTTGTGAACGCAGCAGTGAGCAGAGATTTAACGAGTAAGTCGAAACTATAGAATTATATTATTATTTGATAATATATATTTTACAAGCATGTTTAATATACATTGTGTGTTAAATATACATTTATATTTATACTTATATATATATATATATTTATTTAAGTATATATATTTATTTATTTAAGTACATATAAAATTAATATACCTACAGAACAATTGAATGAAAATTATTAACTTGTTTAAAATAAGTTATAAATTATATAGTTAATAAGTTTTTCCTTCGTCTTTCCCATTTTATCTTGGTTTTTCACATTTGTTGAGAATACTCTTGAGAAAATCGAAAAATTACCTCTATAAAGTACCTCTTCAGTCAGATTTCCTTTTAGAAAAAATGCTATCATTGTAAATCGTAGTAATATTGCTGATAGAAAGTTGTCTAAAGAAGAAAAAAATCGTAATATTTTACTAATATTTTTTGTACATTTTTCCCTTTTTTATCAGTTTTTTCACGATTTTTTCCATTTATTTCCTTTTTTAGGTTAAAGGAAAAAAAATGCAATCAATTTTGTTTGAAACCTGGGTTTGAACTCGGGCCCCTAAAATGATAATAGGCATCTAGAACCATTAGTCATTAAATAACAACAAATATTCTTTTAGAGAGACAATATAGAGTTATAATATAACTATATAATAACTTATAACTTATATAATTGTTTAATATAACATATAATATCAGAACTTCAAATGGCTATGATTTCGAAACTTAGTCCGCTGAATTCTGATTTCACCATTGTTCTCAAATCGGTATTATACATATATGTCCAAAAAAAAAAAAAAATTGATAAATTAGATTTGTTCTATATAATTTTTTATTCAAACGATTTTCGTCAAAATTTGATATTAAATTTCCCTTATAAAAAAAATACTACATTAAAAAAATTTGTTTTTTTTGACCACAAAATAAGGCTTTATGAACCTCCTGTTAAATTTTTAAGCATTTCTATTAAGTCTAACAATTTTACCACAGAGTACCTACCGAATAAAAATTACGTACAAAACTCGCAAAATTAAAATAAATAGCTATAAATCTATAAATAGCTCAAATTTATTGAAAATTTTACCACGTCTAAAAAAGACAAATTCTGTCCAAATTTTAAGTCTACGAATATATTTTACTGAATTACAATTAACAAAATTTAAAAATGATTAAAGCATTATTTTCGTAAACTTCCCGTTTTTTTCTTAAGTTTTATCATGGTTTTTCCCAGATATTATGAAAACCGCATGGAAAATCAAAAAAATGACCTTCCAAAAGTACCATGTAGACAACATACCCTTTCAGAAATGATACCACGTGTATATATCGGAGCAAGATTTCTGGTAGAATTTTTGTACAAAGTAAAAAAAATAATAAAAAATAATAATAATAAACACCTTAGTAAAACTAATACATCCTTCGCTACACTTAGAATTTAAAATAATGAAAAAATTATTTTTATACATTTTTCTGTTCTTTCAATGTATTTTCCGGATTTCTTAATTATTAATAAAACTACAGTTAAAATAAAAAAAATATTTGTCTAACCTAATCTCACCTAGATTAAAAATGCAACAAAGATATATCTATTGTCGTTTTTCTTTTGGAGCAATAAGTACGCCGTAAAAATTTAAAATAATGAAATCGGTAATGCCGTGACGCGCCATAATATATTTGCCGTTTAACCTATGATTTTATTTTGATTTTTTCCCAATTTTTTGGAAAACTCCTTAGACAGTTAAAAAATCACAAAAGGTACTACACTCTATATATTGAAGGAAGACTTCTGGTAAGTAGAAAAGTTGTTCACAGACACAAAAAATACAAAAACACACATCATTATAAAACCAATAGATCCCTCGCTACACTCCATATCTAAATTAATCTAAATAAATCATCTTAACGATTAAAGAAGTAACATTTTCAAAACTTAAATGATTTTATTGTTTTTTTTCTTTGTAACTTAACAGAAATATCTAAGGCAGTTATATTTTCAAGTCGATGAGAGATCTATCATAATACCCCTATCCTCCTCCATATTATGCGCGCACCAGTAAATGAACTCGTTAAATTTAAAAGCTTTACCTAAACGTTCCTATTTTAAAATTATAAAATAACTATAATACTACATATATAGATTACAGGTAGGTACTACGTTTTCATTACCTTCCTACAACTGTTTGATATTTATACTAATGTAATAATATATAACTCGGAAATTTAAATAGCCTTCAAAATTGTATTAAATATCTACAATTTCGACATATATATATTTTCAAATTGAGATATCTATTTATTTTTATATAACTTACCAGGTGCGAAAATACGAGTCTGATTCCACTGAACATGTTATTAAATTTAAATACCTCTGTATTATATTAAAATTGACGAACACAAACTAGTGCTATATGATCATAGATTGAGTATTTTTTGCGCGAGACAGTGGTTAAAATAGATAAGTAGGTTTATTACAAATGACCAAAAGGTAAACAAATAAGTCACAGGTTAGCTTGTCATTTGACAACCAGAGACGAAATGTATAAACGATATGACTGTATTTTTATTGAAACTATAGGTTATGACGTCTTTCTAGTCCGTAAAAAAATATGTCAAAGTACATTTTTTATTTACCGATAACATTTGTTATTTTGTTTATTAAGAAGAACCCTGGACGTATTTTATTAGATAGGTATAGCCGGTATAGGTACCTATACTTACGCAAAATACAATAAACTAATTCATTATATCTAGACATTTATAATATTTTAAATGGTAAATTAATTAATAGTAGGTATATGTAATTTGAATAATACAATAATATTAATCGTCCAGGGACAAAACTGGTTATCTACGCCCCGGATATTTAAATGAAGGGACAAGAATTTCTTTTTGCCTCCCACTCTGTTATAAGTTACAATGAAATCTAATTAAAAATAAAAATAAAAAAATACAATGCATGCATTCAATAGAATATTATTAAAACCGTGAAAAAACGGGAAAATGTACGAAATGTAGGTATTAGTAAAAGAATATTACCACCTTTTTTTTCCTTTGACCAATTTCTCTACCAACGATTTTGCTCCGATTTACAATGATAGCACTTTTTCTAAAAGGAAATCTGACTGAGGTGGACTTTGGGCAAGTAATTTTTTGATTTTCTTAGGTGTTTTTCCAATAAATGGAAAAAACCGGAAAGAACATGGAAAACCGAGATAAAACGTAGGAAAATGGGAAAATAGGTACAATATTAAACAAATATTTTTAAAGTAAATATAATATTATTATTTTATCATAATGTGACATAATATATTGCTGACACAGCTCTCAGATTCCGAGGGCTCCTTCCCACTCTATATATAAAAAAAAAAATTGTACACTTTTATATATTATAATGGTATAACTACTTTATATTTTTGATAGATATACGATTGATGAATGTTTAATAAATAATCATTTTGTATCAGAATGTTATCATTTTTGTATTTAATTATCATATCTATATTGTAACTATTATATTTTGCATTTAAACGTATAAAAACTCGAATACGTTTTTCTTTGATTAAAAGAAAAACTGAATAAATTCTTTATCGTTACCGACAATCAACTGTTTGAAAACATTATTGCTGAATTTGCAAAAAAAAAGTTTTTAGAAATTAAATTTTAAAAAAAGTGTGATTTACGGATATAAATTAAATATAATTTAAGGTATTTGATATAATCTACCTCCTAAATATATTTTATTTTCGTTTTTAATTTTTGCCAATTTCTTGTTTAATTCAAATAGGGCCCCAAATTAAGTAGTGCACAAGGCCTACATTTCTTTAAATCAGGCCAAGCCTAAAGGAACGTCATTATCTGTCTCAGTTTCTAGACCCAGCGGTTTGAACTGTGCCCTTTAACGAAAGAATGAGTCAAGACTACGTGTTATTTTCTTTATAAAACTAATTCTATTTTTTATGCCGATAATAATAATGTCTATAACACAGTATAAGAATATTGTAATACGATGTACATTGTACATTAAGTACTATAACAATATTATTGTTTGTTGATTAAATGATTCAATTGATTCTATGGCGTAACTATTGTATAATATTATTGACTCATATATACCTATATGCTTAACTACCTATAATTATTATTATATTATTATCTATACATTTTTTTTAATCTACCTACTTGTTATTTTTTAGATTCTTAGCGAACAAATTGGTTGCGCAAATTTGTAATTTTTTTTTTCATGTCCGTTATCCATTTTTCGCTACCTAGGTGAAAATCTTCCAAAACTTTCTTGCCGTGGGTAGGTACCTATAGGTACTTCAATTTTCATTCAACTTACTGAGCTTGAAACAGCTAGGTATTGAATATCAGATAATACCGATATTGAAATAAATTGAAAAAAAAAAAACGAATGTTGACCAGTTGCCCTCAGCGGCTATCTGTTTTCGGTATTTAAAAAATATACCAGTTGCCGTCAACCAATTATACAAGTTGCTCTCAACTAAATGTCCTCTATTGCCTTCACCGTATAAAATAGCGCGTGCACAGTACAAAGAGGGGAATATCACCAAAATCGGTGATTTTAGACACTAGAGAAAATTGTGTAACTACGATAAATAATGGCAAGTATAATAATTCTCGATGACCGATGGGTACCTAATAATAATAAATTCGGTAAACTTTATCGCACTACGCGTGTTTTCGTCATCGTGTATCATTTACATTATTAAAATTTTTTTTTTCCGACTAAATACAATGAAAGCCAATTATTTCATACTTTATTATTTTGTATTAAATATTTGTCTAATTGATATATTTTACAATATTTTCACTACCTGTTTCAATTTTTTTACCGATAAAATACAATTTATGCCTATTGCCAATTATTATTATCATTGAAATTATTGTATTTAGTATCGTAACCCTTAGATAAACGGCAACTAGTAACATTTTATTTCTAAGTAGTTTGAAGGGAACTAGTTTAAGAATGATACTTTTGAGAGCAACTAGTACATGCCCAAAACAAACCTTATACCAGTATTATTAATTAAAACCAAAACTGAACAAAAATGTTTTCAAAATCGAAAACAAGATTTGTTTATCAATTTCAAGTCCTGGTTTATTTGAAACATTTTTTCGATTCCCAGCTGTTCCTTGGGAGGAAAAAAACCTTTTTAAAACAACATATAGATTACAAAAACTAGATTCATTAGTTCATGGAATCTATTAAGCAGATTTGCAATTTTGAACATGGACGAACGGACGTAAGTCCGACAATATCTCGCAGCCAGATATTTTAGTTTTACTTTCCGTATGCTTTTTGCGTTTAAATAAATAAAAAATTATTATTGTAAATCATAATTGCAAAACTTGTTAGGTTTCGCGAATTCATGACTCACAACAGAGTATAATAATATTAGATATATTGAGATCTGTACTAAGTACAACGGTCATGTGTCGACCACGACCAATTAGAAATTAAACACAATATATTATTGTTCTTGCAGAACACACAAACGCAAAACATGCAAATACAAAGTAGGAACCTAATATATTATATATATATTTTAATAAATATACCTAATACCCAATATATTTATTATAGCATTGTACTATTGTCCACCATAGTTTATTCAACAAAACAATAGTTACAATATCAGAGTTGGTGTATGAACCACCTATTTGAGAAACGACATACCTACGTCCAAAAAAGGTTACCTATCAAAATAACTAAAAATCAATTTTTATTCTACTAATGATATCTGATTATGTAATGGAGAGGCTTAATAGAAAATACTTCATAAGATACCCAAAAAATTTGAAAAAAATAAAAAAATGCCCCAAAGACATAAAAATGTTTGGATTGGAAGGCGTGTCGGTGGTAATAGGAAAATATCACACACTATATTTAATATTATTCCACTGCCAATTATTATTTTATAGTTTCTTCCATTTTTTCATCAATTCATCATATTATATTACAATTACAGTGTACATTTGTAAAATAATTTAAATACAGGTTGAAAAAGAAGAATACTAAATTCCTGTCCTGAATTGAAGTGTTTAAAAAGTAAAGAGCAGGTAATTGGCAAGCAATTATTTTCCATTACATAAAGCAATACATTTAAAACACAAATTGAAATAAATGGATTTACTGATATAAGTTTGTACATTTTGAGATATGATTCTGAATTTTAACTCGTGTTGATATTTTCCAGGATATGTTTTAAGTATAATTAAAATATTTTTATATACTGTTATTCTGTATTAAATGCCCAATGGCATGTTTCTCATGCTTAATAAACTATTATGTATGTCCTAAATTGGATTAAACAGGATCCATAAGGCATAAACAGCAAAACAAAATTGATTGGCAATATAAAATAAAATTTAATATAATATGTAGTTATGTATATAAAATATATATATATATATATATTTTTTTTTTTTTTGGTAGTTTTAATAAAAATAATAATACGTATAAACTTTAGAAAATATATAGTTTTAACAGTCTAAATAATATCAGAAAGAACTTAGGCCATTTCGTGTAACCTAATCTCAATAGAGATAGCCATAAGTCAATGTAAATATTTTTAATCATATATTGATGAATATAAAAATAATGAACATATTAGGTAGTTAAACATTTGAATTCGCATACAAATATATATAATAAATAAAATAATAATAACTTTAATTTTACTATGGTATAAGTAAATAAAATAAAAATAATGTATAAATATTTTTAATGAGATTGTCTTATATTAAAAAAAAAAAATTGGATAACAAGAGTAACTTAATGGGACGGCCCAAAAGCCAAATATTATTTATATTATAAATCATAAATATATGTAAAGTAAATAATTTGTTTACAAAAAACATAAAATTTAATTAAAAACATAAATTTACCTAAAACTCATAACAAATTTCTATAAAGATTAAACAAAACATGCTTTATTAAATTTGCATAACATAAAAAATTAGATAATTAACATTTATAATAAAAAAAAATACATTACAGTTTTTCTAAAGACAATTAACAAACTGACATTAACAAACTAAAAAATTGATTTGAAAATGAAAAAAAAAATTCTATACAATACAAATTGAATGCTGCTATAAACTTTGTTCCATGTATAAGTAATATAATTTTGTTTCAAAATTGCAATATAATAAAAAAAAAAAATGTTATACATTCTAAAGTCATATTTGATCGTTGCAAAAGAAGCTTAGTGTCAAATAAAAAAATAACATTTAATTGATATCAAATCATATAAAACATAATAATAATATGTAAAAAAATATTTTATCGGTTATGAACATGTATTTAATAATATCACAGACATGTAAAATAACCAATGTATAAATATGGATATTTCATGTTTACTTATAAGTGCCAGATTAAATATATATTTGTAATCAAATTTGATCGATTTTGTACTTCCTAGAAAACTTTTAACATCCAGTTGATTGATTTTTGTATTTAATTTAATACTTTTTGTTTAATATTAATTGACGAAATTCCACGAAACTTAGCAATTTAAATTTTTTAAGTAATAACAAACTTAAAGTCTTTAATCCTGGAAATAACCTAATAAATGAATAAGTAGTTACTTTATTTTAATATGATCAATTCCTGTTTCAAATAAACCAAATAACATTATAATAAATTCGTTGTTTTTCAATTGAACTATTTGTAAGTATGATATGTAGTTTCAAATTTATTAATAATGAACTTAAAATTTACGTTCTCTTCTACTCTCTGATTTTTGAAATAAAAACTGTGTATAATAAAATAAAATAACTGATACATTTATTTAATGATATTAATGCAGTTATATAATTTTATATACCATGGAACAGGGTGAAGTGAACCATATGGATTTCTTTCATCAAAAATATTATGTAACTAAACTGAAAGTTGTCATACTTAGTGATCTTTTCAAAATGAATTATATACCGTTTAATTAAATAATAAAATGTTTTGATAAGTGCACTCCCTAATAATATGCTTCCAATATACATTGTGTGAAATTTGAAAAATATACTGAATAAAGTTGTTTTCTAGTTTCAATTATGATGTTCTTTATAACAAGTTCATTAATTGATTCACTTCACCTAGAGAGTTGAAGAACAATATAGAATGATTTTTAACAAAAACAAAGCACTTTTTAATTCCAAATTAAAAATGTTTCCACAAATCATTAGGTATACATACAGAGTGATCCATTAAGTGTGCTCACCCCATTTTTTTGATTAAATTTTGTGTATATTCAAATTCTGATTTTTGGAATTTGTTAGTGTAGTTAAAGCCGTTATTTTTGAATACTTAGATGTTTTGAGTAGTACCCTGTAGTGAAACCAACTTTAATTTTTCAATTCAGAACCTACATTAAAAATTTTATAAATATACTGAGTATTATTTTAAATAAATTTTGGTGTCAACATTTTTGATTTCGTCAATCCGTTAATGAGATATTTCACTTTCAAGTTTAGGTAGGGGAAGAGTAGTGGAGTGTTTGTGGAGCAATTTGTGTTTGGCGGCACGGTGCCTGACGTTTTATTAGTGGTTCACTACTCTCCTCTTACCTTACCGTAAAAGTGAAATATCTCATCATCGGGTTGATGGAGATCAACAATTTTGACACCAAAATGTATTTTAAGTAAAACTCAGTCTATTTATGGAATTTTAAATATAGGTTCTCAATTGAAAAACCAAAGTTGGTATCATCAAAGGATATTCCTTAAATGTTGTGAAAAATCTAAGTATTTAAAAATATCTGATTTTAACTACACTTAAAAATTCCAAAAATCAGAATTTGAATACATACAAAATTTAACCAAAGAAGTGGGGCAAGCACACTTAGTGAACCATCCTGTATACATATATGTAAAGATTATATATTTCATGTTTCATTCATTTCAATCATATAAATATGGAATTTAAAAAAATGAACAAAAAAAAACTTCACCATCATACAGTATAGTTACAATATGAAAGCCCAGAATTCAAGAACTAGAATTTAAAAGCACAAATTGATATCAAAGATATGTAAACATCAAAAGCAACAAAGTTACTCAATTATTGCTTAAACTTACTCTTAAAATATGTGACAAGTTCAGCAATTTGTGATTTACAATTAAGCACCCTATAAAACATTTAATTTACCATATTTTGTCGACCAAATCGTCGTTCTTGTTCGGCACTTTTCCTAGACATTGACAAAGCAGCTGTTTTCAAAAAATCAACAGTTTTGTATGGGTATGCTCTATCAATAATGGAATAGTCATGTTTAGGCTTTAAAGTGAATTGGTCATTTACATTATGAATTTTTTTCTTCGCCATTGATTTAGCTGCTGTTCGATTACTAACTGAGTATTGTTTGTCACAAGATTCAAATTCAAGATCTAAATATTGGATATCATTAAAACGACTGGCTTCAGCAAGATAACGAGAATTTGAAGAAATCTTATTGATTTGATATGAAGATACCTATAAATAAACATTATATAAAATTACTAAATATACAAGAATTTTTCGACACAGTTGCAGTCAGATTACTTAAGATAATACTATAAAATAATGGTAATCAAAACATGAATCATTAAGTCTACTTAGTACAAATAATAAACATTTATAAATGCTACTAAATTAAAACTCATTAAAGCTATCTGATTGCAACTGAACAAGATATTGTTATAAAGATAAATTATTCAACAGTATTTCACATCATACTTTTTTTTATCTATTGACATAGTATATTAAATAAAAATAATGTATTATGTGTAGGTATTAGATAAAATTTAAATTATTATCATATTTATCTATTTAAATTTGTTTTTAATATATATAAAAATAGATTAATAAATAATAGTATATAAAAATATTTACTAAAAAAAAAATTTGGATAATATTTCCTATAAATATTTTTTTATAATGATAAAATAAAATAACCCAAAATAATATTATAGAGTAAATATCTGCAATAACAATAGTGTATTGATCTTTGTAATTTAATATTTGACTTTATAGTTTATAACAACAACATAATCAATTCTTAAAAAACAAACAAATACACTTATTCAAATCTGGATTTTCAAGTGTTTTGTTTTTGAAATGTATTGAATTACTGTTTTTAATATAATCCAAATTATTAATAGCTATAAGCTAAATATGTATGGAAATATGATTTAAAACAGTACTATCTAATTATTTGTTATGCGTGTTTAATACACACATAATTATATAACATACATTATAAACATTAAAATATTTTTAATACATAAAACATTACTTTGTCTGAAGCTAATCGATCATCAGATGCTGAATGTCGTCTATGTATACGACTTAAAGGTTCAAAATTTGTAGGAACAATGTTAGGTCCAATGCGTGATTTCTGACGACTCAAACTTCCTATTGGAGGAGGACAAAGTGTAAGAGTACTAGAAATACCTAAAAATAATTTAAGACATATTAGCATAGTTGAATATTTTATATAACATTGCATATTGTATATTTACCATTAAAAGAATCTTGGTTTTTTTTATTTTGTAATGGTTTAAGCCTTCGATTTACAATTGGTGGATTGGTTAATGGCGGTAATGGTGAAAGTTCAGCCGAAGTATCAGAAAACTTTCTGTTAGGCTTTGGCTTTAACTGACGGTTAACAGCAGGAGGAGTTTGTTCTAATGAAGCTGAACTTGCGTTAACAAATGCAGAAGGGGAATTTATGGAATTTGGAGATTCTAATTCCGCAGTCTTACCTTCTTCAACTTTTGGAGCCCCATCTTCAACAAAGTCATATGTAAAAATATTACCAGAAACTTGACCTGGTGCTGCATTCGTATAACAATGTCTACGCTGAGTTCTAGGCTGTGCTTGAGGTGGTGTCATTTGATGGGATCTCGGAAAGTCGTAAGTTTCATCAGAAGTTAATGGTTCAACTAATTTGTCTGTTTTCGCCGATGTTTCCAACAAATGAGATGGTTTTGGTGGTCTCGGAGGTGCTGTCAAAGAACCTTCTGGTAATATTTTGGTAAATCTTCTATTAACAGCTACAGGCAAATCTGGTGAGTCTTGAGATAAACGAGGAAAGGTTTGCCAATTTACAGATGGTCGACTGAGTGTACTACCATTAATTGATTCATCATCGGTAAAAACAGATTCTGAACCAGGGCTTGGCGGAGGTGATTCTGAAAGACGCGGAGGTGGTCGTATGCGCCGTGGTGAATCATAAGACTCTTCAATGGTTTCTATGGTAGAACGAGGAAGAATTGGAAGTAATGGCTTTCCAGATATGCACTCACTAATAGGTATGTAATGGCTAGAGGACGTGCTGGTGGGTGAATCTGGAGATGAATGATCTTCGTCATGTTCTTCAACACTTACAGGGAACGGTCTACACATGTTATTGATAGATGGACATTCAAAATCTAAATTAAATGTATAGTTAATTAGATAAAAAAATGAACACATTTAATTTTAACTATATATTATATTTATATGGTAAATATTATTTACCAGCATTCTCATCAACAGTGAATGGTTTTAGACCACAAACATGGCACACAAAATCAACCCATTTGTTCATATCATCTTCTGATTCTGCTGCCAAATAATATGTTCTTTTTGGTGTTTTGATATCAAACATGTAATGATATTTTGACTTGCGATCTTCAAATCTTAACCCAGCATCAACCTAATAAATAAATACATTTTTAAATAAATATCCATCTAGTAGAAAATACATTATTCAGTTGTAAAAATGAAAATGAAAATAATTGTCAACTAAGTAATAAGTATACTTGTTGATCATTTAGAGCAATAGATAGGAAGATACATAATATACAAATACCAATATATAATAATTGATACATAATGTATTTATTATCTTACTTGTTCACATTGATCTAAATCTATCCGACCCTTCATTTTTCTACGACTTTTATCCGTATAATAAGCGAGGAAATATTGGCCAGGTAATTCACCGGAATGGCGCAATACAAACCATCTTCTGCGCCATTTCTAAAATAAAATATTACATACAAAACAGAACAATCTGATAGGTAAATACATAAAATAGTTTTATTATAAAATAATTAACTTTTAATAATATGTAATGCATATACCTAGGTATTAGACATTTTAAATCAAATTCTTATTATTTTATAAAGGTCAGATATATTTAAATACTTAATAATAATAATAATTATCTAGTTAATATTTATATGATTTCAGAAATTAATAATTTTGTATTAAATTTAAAATGTCATTTGTTCAAATTAATCTAAGTAAAACATGATAATATAATTTTTTTCACGAATAATAATTTGAACAATAGAAACCAATTAACATTTTCTACAAGGTAAACAATAAAAATGTAAATATGACTTTTGAATTACCGTGTAGAACAGCAAAACAATATCATGTTAAACGAAATAATGAACTATTCACAGGTAAACACTACTATACATTATAATCTAATCGATTGTTAGAAATTATCAAGAAATAACACAATGGAATCGTCACAACACATATTACAAAATATAATATACCTAATAACTACAATAAAAATTAAAGTGAATTAATAATTGGACTTACTAATTTTACACTGACAGCTTTCAGAACTCTTTTTGAAGGAGGTGATTTTGTCAACCATCCTTCGTGTACAATCTCCAAGTTTTCAGAAGACATGGTCAATGGAGACCGTTGGCGTTTAGATACATTTGTCACTTAAACATATTAACGACATGTTGTGGTTGACATCATTATAGGATGTCACAATTATTTTAACGCATAGAACGCAAAATATGATTAAAAAAAAAAAAACACTTCTGGGAAACTTCTGATGGTATCAATATTGACGTTGGTCACAATGTTAAAACACAGTGCAGTCTGATCAGCTGACTATAGATAACAAAATAGAGTTTGGTGACAATGTATTATCCATGGCCATATTTTCGGGTACAGGGTCATAGAGTGAGTTTTACTCTATGTACAGAGTAGTTGTCAGGAAATTGATAAAGATAGATACAATATAGAGAGATACAATAATATTTTATTAGGGGTGTTACTAATGTAGAAAAAATAATTTGCTGATGCAATAATTTAACGCTTAATGATCGTAAACCTTGTATAATAAATTATGTATTCACTAGTGAATAGTTAATCCACCTCTGTAATTTATGGTTATTAATGATTCAGATTCACAATGGGTTCGAGTTAATACTTTAGTGCAATCATCACAAATTAATTTAGTTGTTAATTTACAAACAATGAAGACAGCAATATGTTCAATATTATCATCAATTACTTGCTGTAAAAAAGTAAATTTAATTTTTTTTCTTAAATACTCGTAAATTAATGTCTTTGTAATTGCTTGGATAGATGAGAAAAACCATTATAGATATTTTGGCTTTATAAATCCTAACCTAACAACATGTAATCGTGATCAATCAAATATTGAAATGTTCCATTGTACAAAAATTATTACAATATATATAATTTATTTTAAAAAGAAAATTGACGCACTAAAAAATAAATGCATTATTGATACTTTTTTTTTTGATAATGAAAATGTCTACGCAAATATTTTGTTGTTCAACTATGGCCTTATTTCAAATTGAATCAGAAAAAAATCTCTTATCAATTTTCTGACAACTGCGAATATCCCGATATTTTCAATAATAACAATATTATTGTTCAGTAGTTTTCTTTATCTATGATTCAGTCAAGTCGGGAGCAGTTGTCCAACAAATGATAACACTGGATACGAAAAATACCGCCAAACGTGTTGTTTAACCTAAATTTATCCAACATTTTATGAAATTGATTTTTTATTACACACCGTTTACTAATAATTTATATGTGATAGTCGATAGGTTCATTTTATGCTTCTTGATTATATTATTATTATTATTGTATACTATGAACAAGGATTAATCCACCTTGACCCTGAAGAGTAGAATAATTTCTATTTCTATATGAATTCTAGTATATATATCCTATAATATGATATTATAAATGATTTAAATTTTTTAATGGGAGTTTTTGATTTTGAACTAACAATATTTTTTCGGGAGTTTGGAAGTTATCGTTGAAATTTACAACTTAATTTTAAACAAATATGAATTAATTTCTTTAAGTCTACATTAATATTTATTAAACCTCTCTTTCAAACTCCACTATGTGTAATATATTTCCAACCAACAGCCAATGAGGTCTAGTAATTTTAAATTGATACTAATATTTAAGTGCTCATGTTGTTATAAACAATACTATTTTAATCTACATAGTGATATTTTAAGTAATTTCGTTGGCAACGTTTGGCAGTATTTTCATTTCCAGATTGTTATCATTCCACAGATCCTTATATTTTACCGACAACTGCAGCAGATGATAACCCGTTTAGTGTTTTATTTGCACTTCAGAATATGCAGAATTGTGTATTTTGCATTTGTGCCAAGGTCAAAGATTATAACGAAATATAATAAATGTGCTTATGATTTTATTTTCGAAAAAGCCATATTTCTGGATCTGGAATAAAATAGGTTATAGTGTATAAAGAAAAATAAAATCCTACAAAATCTAAATTTAATTTTAGAAGCAGGCTCGACTTTGAGGGACGCAAGAGATCGGAGTACCTTGGCTAATTTTTCAGATATCTACTATTTTTTAAGTGGAACGGATGGGACGGTATTTTTTTTTAAATTTTTTATTAAAATGTATTTTTACATTAAAATTTAAGCACGCATCGTAGTAAAACCAATTCATTCTTACAGCTATTCTCAAAATCTAAAAAAAGCATTTCACAACAATTGTTTCTACACGGTTGGTGTATTTCAAGGTTTAAAAATTATAATAATTATTATAATTATTTGTGACGTAGCAAAGCCCATTACATTTTATATTATTTCAGAGCACGTTTATCGTGTTTTAGTGGTTTTCAACTTTCGTCGGACCGCGGCGCTCTCTCTTGTTAGATAACAGTGGACAAGTCAAAAGGGGCATTGTTCCGTTTAATTTTGACAGATGGCAGTTGCCCCTCCTCGTAGTTCCCCCCTCTAGTTGACGCTTATAGTTCTGAGCTTAGTTTAGTTGTACATATTTTGCCGTAATGTTTACGATTTTCAAAATTTGATATTTTATTATTATATATAAAAAAAAAAAAATACTACATTAAACCCAATGTTTTCTTATTTGCCTTTAAGTACAACTTTAATGAATATCCTATACAATTTTCAAGTATTTCTGTTTGGTCTAATAATTGTATCCTTAAAGAAACACCAAAAGAGAAATCTGTGGATGTTTTGAGGATACGATCGTTTTCGTGTGCGATAGAGAAAACACTCCACTACCAGATGGCGGTAATAACTCAGTGGCGATCCTTGACAAATTCCTAGGAGGGGAGGGTCGAAATATTTTTCCCATCAAATACAATTCTTACAAATAGAAGCCATAAAAAAAAATAGTTTGTCAAATTTTAAAAATTTATTTGATGTAATATTACAAAATAAAAGTCCTTTTTCGTTTTTTTTGTTTTACAAATTAGTTTGTAATATTTTAGTTCCCCCGGTTCCCGCCACATTGTCATGGCCATATGATATGGCCCACATCACAGAATAGATAAAACCTAGTTTTGCCAAAAAATATTAAAAACATTGATTTTTTCTCACTTTTTTACCATAATAATTAATCATACAATAATGTAAAATACAGATATATTATCAGGTTTTTGTTGTAATATAATAGAAGCCAAGGGGGGGGGCTTATTTTTCCTACGACAAGGCTTTTTTTTCTTATATGGTTTTTGGTCAGGGGTTTTTTTATCATCAATTCAGTACAATTGTTTATATTTAAATTATTTTATTTATGTTTATATTTTTGTTTATTTTTACTGAAAAAATACACAAAAATGTACCATTGCCGCAACAGCAACGCCCTCCACTTCTCTCTGTCTCTTGACACTTCCTTCAAATTTCCTGAGGTCTTCCTTTGTATAGTTATTATAAAATTTAAATTTCATGAAATATTTAAACAAATTAATTTATAAGTTGAATGGTTGATTCAATAAATTATTGGTTAGCTATCTTTGTTTTCTTATCTTTAATATAATATACTGGAAAGCACCAATCGCGACGAATATACATAATTCGTGTAAATGCACGTGCAAATTTCACTGTATTATATTTAGAGAAAATACTAAGGACGCGATCGGGATACTTATTTGGTTTTAAAACCACTGAAAACGGTATTTTCTACCTACTTTGCACGAGCCGCAATCGGCATATGAAAAAGGAAAAAGGTCACTCAGGACTTTGGGCCGCAATCAGGCGACGCTCCTTAAAGTTACAGTATTATTATTATCATCTAAGCATATTAAACGTATGATATTATATCAGTATTTTATAAACTTGACTTCTATCCAACGAAAGTATACGCGTTTAAAATATTATTACGATGCAAGGCATGTGTTCGTTTCATAGTGCTGTAAACGCAGTAGGTGTCTACCATAGAGTAATATGTATACCTACCTAATATATTATTATGTACCTATAACCGTATTATGGGTGCACATTGCACGAAAAACTAATTATTACGTTAATATAATACTTATTAGTTATTGTTGGTAGGTACGTATAGCTTTACTGTAATCAGTTTTATAACCTCAATCGATCAGTCGGAATAAAACAAATTGATAAATATCGTACGATGAAATATAATACCTGTAATATATTAGTTTGACTTCACTCCACACAGGTAAGAAATGAATACATTTACAAAATAAATAAGTATATAATGTTATTATAAATAATAGTATTTAGATAATTTTTTTATACCATTTTAAGTGTACCTGACTATACCTACCGTGTATTCCGGTGGTGGGGTAAATATATTATCTATTTTTTTCAAATGTGAACAAATTTTGCTAACATTTAATATTATCTATTTTTTTTTTTGCGCAAACATTAAAAATGTTTCGTTACATTTTTTTTTTTAAATTTGTATGTAAACAGTTACTATTACAGCTGTAGAAGTTAACATTTTTAATGCAGTGATATATTAAAATATTACCTACGTATGTATTTGTATTTTATAGATTATATTACTTATTTAGATTAAACAGTGCCGCAATTAAACATCATCATTAGAGTGTTCAAGTGCAAGTCAAACTTTGATGTCCCTACGGTATTTTACAGTCTTACAGGTTCTAAATACCCACCAATTTTATAAAATAAAATGCGCCTCTTCCAATTAATATTTCTGTCTATTTTGTTGTTTCATCTACCCCCAAAAATTGTCATAGCGAAGGTACATTTTTGCATTATGTATACAGGGTAATTCATTTAACGTAAGACATTTTACGTGATGAATTTATATGTAAGTGTCTTTTGTTAATTAGACCACTCTGCTACACATAGTCTGTACTCTAGTCGTATCCATCGTTTACTTTTAGGTAGATAGGTAGGTAGGAAGGTAGGTCCCACTCTGAAGTCCATCGACGACTAAGGAACATGGCCTCCAGCTGGTCCATCACAAGACTGAGGCCATCATGCTGTTCAAAAAGTGAGCCTTCCATGATCCAATGCTCACTATGTGAGGTCACATGATTCCGCTCAAAAGGAGGCTACACTACAACTATACGAATCCATCTGGACTCCCACCTTATCTTCAGTAGCTATCTCCATACAGTATCCTGCATAGCATTTCAAGCTGCTAACGTTATTGGACGAATTATGCCCAATCTCAGAGGGCTCATCCAGTCTAAGAGGGCTTTTCTGATGTCCGTGGTCAGCAGTAAGCTTCTGTGTGCCACTCTAATATGGGCAACCAAGTACGTCATTTGTCACAATGTCATTATCAAGACTAACGAACCGCGGCATAAACTCGGGCATAGTGCATCGTTTTCGCAGTTACGAGACCCTTTTTCTCCCTCCCCTGGAGATTTCCTCGCTCTTGAGAGAAAGAGGATTTTCTCAAGAATGGATGACCTGAACAGGTCCAAGTCAGCCAGGTAAATCCGAAGAAGCAAGCGAGACATCGTGCTTGCTGCTTGATCAAACAGATGTTGTCTGGACTCTTACTTCGTAGGATATTGCCGAATTTTTAGAGATGAGGGTAAAACAAACAATTATGTTATAGGCTTTTTATGTTAAAGGGTACAGTAGGACACTTTTCCGCACATCCTTTAATGTGTGTATTATTTGTAAGAATATTGTATGTCTACTACCTATTCTTAATAAACGATAATGACAGCAGTGAGGAAGTAAGAAGGAAGTATAGTGAAAACAGATTTCTTAAGGCGCGTTCAGACGGAGCGACTTTTACTTTTTTTTGCGCGGCATGAGTGTGATGTCACAAATTCGTTTCGGCAAAATTTTCGATCGGTCTAGAAGGTGGTCTACATCAGAGGAAAGTCGCGCGAGTTGTGCCGCTCGGTTATGCTATGAACTTGTTTTCGGCATCAATATTTATTTATATTATTTACATTTACTCAATTTAATATAATTTACTATATACTGATGTAAAAATCGAAAAATCATGCCGCATCATGGGGATGAACGCGTATTTACCGCGGGGCTGGCGAAGGCCGCTCAACTTGGTCGCGCGGCATAAGTCGCTCCAACTGGACGCGCCTTTACTTGTCGGTTAAATAGATGTATATAATGTTCCAGAATATAAACGGCCAGAATGTAGAAACCAGAAACTGAACATCTTATATCTACAATATCAAAATATTACCAGATAATCAAGTTAAATGAGAGTTGAATAAGAGTATTTATCTAAACTATTATTATTATAAAAATAAAAGATTTGTGTGTATGTTTGTAATGGATAAGCAATAAGCTCATAAACTACTTCACCGATTTTAAAACCTTTTTCACCTATAAAAAGCTACATCATTATCAGCGAGTAAAACATGGTCTGTATTTTCAAACATATTTGAGATCCTTACGAAAATTGCAATGATGTAACCCAAGGTATCAAAAATAACGACCGAATAATGTTCCTACTACAATATGTTTAGTGTTTATAGTACTTATAATTACTCTTAAAAAATATGTATTGTTATAATCAATACGAGCAATACAATATCATTATTGTTATTGTAATCACAGTTTATTATTATTATTCTCTTCTATTTCTCTGTATAATTATAAAAAAAGAGGACAGCCAAAGTCGTGTGGGATAACTATATCTATATAAATAGGTATATAAAATAACATGTTCTGATTGACTGATTTGTCATTCTACAGCTCAAATCGTCCAGTGATTTGAGCTGAAATTTGGCATACAAATAGCTATATTATGACGTTAGCGTCCGCTATGAAACAATTGTTGAAAATTCAACCCTATGGGGGTAAAATAATAGTTTTTAGGTATTTTTGGTACGAATATTTAATTGTTTAATTATTTATTTTTGTTTATTCAAGGGTTACCTTGGTGATACGGATGATATAATTTGGTTGTCTCTGGCAAGAAAACTGTTATTATTATTATTTACACTATTATTTAACAATAGTAAAGCATTACCAAGTCATCTAGAAGTCGTATAAATAAGGTAAGCAATTAGGTTTTTCTTTATGCACTATACTATATAGTGACTATAGTATAATACAGATAGGTACCTATAATAATATTATAGGGCTGTTGCTATTGCCTATTACTTGTATATTTTTAAAAGAAAACAAATTTCAAGTACAGATTAGGTACGCTATTCAATTCTAAAAAGTTACTTGTAGAAATTTATTTTATATTAAGTTATTAAATAGGAAATCAGAACTTAAATTTAGGTGCAAAGCGCTGGAAATTTAGATACTTACCTCTTACTTTAATAATTTAAAACTTACTTGATGTAATCTTTTTTCTCATTCTCGTGACTCATAAGCATAGATTATGGTTTAAAATAGACATATTAAAATATTATAATATAATATTATTATTGTAAGTCCAATATAAGTTAATAGGTACCGCGTTATGTTTCAAGGCACTTATAACCATGGAAGAAACTGTAAATATTTCTAATCACGTGATGATATGACCATAGTGATAATGTAAGGTTATGTTTTTTGGATTAGGAATTTAATCATTTTGATTGCCAGATTGCATCAAAGGAGTAGTTGTATTCTTGTAAAATTTAATATTTTTGAAGATTTAATAATGTTAATATAATATTAATATATACGTATAGAAGTATATAAATATATATATAAGTGAGTAAATGTTTGTGTGTTAAATTCATTTCAATTCGTTAATATTATAATAAATTTGTTATTAGGTTAAAATGCCGTTGTCGTGTCGCTTTTATTCGGAACGTTATCCCGAAATTGACGATGTTGTCATGGTTAATGTACGAAGTATTGAGGAAATGGGTGCATACGTACATCTTTTGGAATACAATAATATCGAGGGAATGATATTATTGTCAGAGTTGTCTAGACGGCGTATTCGTTCCATTAACAAACTGATACGTATCGGTAAGACTGAACCTGTAGTTGTCATTCGTGTGGACAAAGAAAAAGGTAGGATAACTTAATAAATGTATTATTCTTATGCTTTATATTATTGAAATATTTAATGTTTGAATAATATATTACAGGTTATATTGATTTGAGTAAAAGAAGAGTTTCTCCAGAAGATATTGAAAAGTGTACGGAAAGATTTGCTAAAGCCAAAGCTGTCAATTCAATTTTGCGACACGTCGCTGAACTATTACACTTTGAATCTGATGCTCAATTTGAAGATCTATACCATAAAACAGCCTGGTTTTATGAAGAGCGAACTAAAAAGAAGTCATCAGCCTATGATTTTTTCAAACAAGCTGTTCAGTAAGTGAACATTTGTATTAATGTTAAAAATTATGTTTTTTTTTTAATAAAAAAGTATTTTATTTTAAGTACCAGTCATGTGATTAGTTTAAATTAAAAAATATATTTATTTTTATTAAATCTATATAAAAATTGATATTTTGATAAATATTATAGGTACTTGAACTAAAAGTTTAAAATAACAGTTTGCAAGTAATGCAGTTATACAATAATGTTTCAATTTAGTTTTTTAATTGTTTACTCTTAAATTATGTAGGTAATTACATAATTTTATAATAATTATTTTAGAGATCCTTCTATATTGGCCGAATGTGGTTTAGATGAAAGCACTCAAGTTGTTTTGCTTAACAATATTAAACGCAAGTTGACTTCTCAGGCTGTAAAAATAAGAGCTGATATTGAAGTTGCTTGTTATGGATATGAAGGAATTGATGCAGTTAAGACTGCATTAAAAGCTGGTCTTGCTTGTTCAACAGAGGAACTTCCAATTAAAATCAATCTAATTGCTCCACCGTTATACGGCAAGTTATTTTCAATTATAATTAATGTATTAGCTAAAAATATTATAATTTATAATATACAAAAACAAGCAATTAAATATATATCTATATAGGTACAATTCTGAATGTTCTCATGTCTATCTACCTAGGTCTATAACAGGGATGGCGAATTTATGACAGAGTAATATATATACACACAATTTCAGTATTATGGTAATTTAAATTGAGTTCATAATTTATACTTAAACTTTCCAAAAAAAAAAAAAAATGTAAAATAATGTTATTCAACTATTTTGTATTTATGAACTTGGCACTTAGTAAATTTAAACTGTGTTATAATAGTTGTATATTTTTTAAAATTATTTATATCATACTGAGTCGCAAGTTTAGTGAAAAAAAAACAAATGTTATGTTGTAAAAGGTAGTAAAGGACAGTAAAAGGTTCGTCATCCATGGTTTATAGGCTTAGCCATGGTAAAAATTAGTTTTTAATTAGTTTTACCATTAAATTTGTAATTTTTTTGTCATTTTCTGGTATTTAAAATATTTTCCTCAAGATTCAACCTCTAAAGGGGACCTCACTTATGGGACTTCTGCTTGGCATAGTAGAAATTGGCTTTTTTTTTTATTCATTTCTGATTCCCAATAATTACATAATAATAAATGATTGAATGAGCCAATTCAAATTCTGCCGCAAGACAATTTGATTAGCTAGTCTGATTATATAGTTCAATAATTTATTTTTTCAATTATAATTTTGTTAACTTTGAATATATGTTATTAGTTATTAGTAATTAGTAAATTACCATACAAAGTATAGAATAATACTAATAATATTTAAAAACATTTAAAAATTGACTGCCTGGACAACACTTAAACTATGTCTATAGTGTTGATGGTATTTTACCAGTACTTATTTATTAAACATTCATTCATACACAATATGCCTATTGTGTTTATTGTAATATTGTTTTTATTATTCTTAATCAAGTTAATTATACTATTGTAGTTTCTTTAATATTAAAATGTTACATAGATGTAATAATGTATAATTAATTCTAGTTCTATTAATTTTTATTTAATCCAGTAATGACAACTGCAACGCCTGAGAAAACCGATGGCTTAAAAGCATTGCACACAGCTATCGAAGCAATTGATAAAACAATTCAAAGTCTTGGTGGCGTGTTCAAAATTCAAATGGAGGTAAAACAACTAACTTTATTCTTTAATAGTTCACTGTCAAATAAGTTTATATTAATTTGTCTTTATAACTGAATAAATGGACAATTGGCCTCCCATGAAAAAACGTCATGTGTGGACAATCGATCCCTGTCTTTGGACCCTGGCTAATTTTTTTTCCCTGTGAAAACACTTATCAATTTTATATTGATATCATGTTTTCGAATAGGATAAGATAGATACAAATTTTGATCGGTTTTAAATAAATGCTGTCATTTATACTGTTTTAAGCAAGATTATTTAAAAATTGTTCAGTTTCATAAAAAACAATAAGTTTACAATTCTTACTAGAGGACTATTGTCAACTTCCACTTTAGATTCCATCTAAAATGGTTCTATATTATTATATTGCCATATACTGGAGTTGTGACGCAATGCTATTTTTATTTGTTTCCAACTAATTTTTAGAAAAATATTTGAAGATTATTTTCATTCAAAGATAATTGGTTACTGTGTATGAAAACTGTGTTTTTACTTATGTGAGCAGTACTATAGTCTATATTAATAATTTTTAATAAACTGTTATTTATGAAATATTTCCTTTGATAAATATTATTTTATCTCATTTATTAAAAATGTTTTAATCAGTATAAAATTAATAAAAGAAAAAAAAGGTCATTTTTAAGTATTATGACTCTGGGTTGACTGTCTGCGTATGGCGTATTTCACGGGACCAATTTTCTTAAATATTTATTAATAATTTTTGTATTTTATGTTTAATAATAATAAACAATAAATATTTGTTTTCTATTCTAACAATTTATAAAATATTTCTAGCCTAAAGTTGTTACGGCTAGTGATGAAGCAGACTTGGTGCGACAAATGGAAAAAGCTGAGTTGGAGAATGCTGAAGTTGCTGGTGACGATGATGAAGAAGATGAAGAAGGTATGCAAAATGGAGATGTGGATGTAGACGATCCCGAGGACACAGAAGAAAAGTTAGAAGAAGAATAAAACAAGTCTAACCATTTATGATTTATTTAAATTGTATTTTTTATTTACTCAATTGCATTCAATATAATTGTTACCAATTGGTGATTAATTTTATTTTATTATTACTATTTATCAAAAAACTGCCAACAGTATTGTCTAATGTCTATTTCTATTTTTATTAATTAATTTAGGTGAGTACCTATTTAAATTGTAATTAATTACTTTAAACAGTATTTGGAACACAAAAAAAAATGAAATTGTTCACATTTAGTCCTTAAAAAAGAAATTTGTTCACGTTCGTGTTTTTTTCAAAAGAACACATTCACGTTTATGCTCTTTGAAAAAATAAATGCGTTCATTAGGTTATTTATTTAATTTTTGTTAATTTAGGAATAGTTTACCTGCACAGTAGGTATACGTTTCACATCAATCGCAACTATAAATAAATTCCCTGCATGTTCTGTAGGTCTCTGTCGTTTTGTAATTCTCAGTAATTAAATTTAAATGTGATGGTGCAGATGATAAACGAAAAAAGTCTATTATTGCATCATACCACTATACATTAACTCTTTTTTTTATTTTTATTTTAATTAGCCAATTAGATTAGGTATACCAATTTATTACAAATTCGTGGAAATTATAATGTTATTATTCTATGTCAAGCCAGGCCCACTGGAATTTCATCTAGTTAATGTTTATACTATTTGTCATCAAATAAAATATTTAATAGGAATTATAATGGGAAAATCCCAAAATATTAATATTATTAAAATAGATTAATCAACGTATTAAATATTTTATACATATATTTAATAAATGATAAATAAATTGAACGTCTTAAAATTCGTTCAAATTCATTAAAAATATAATTGTTGTTCACGTTTACGTTCTATTTGGAGAAAAATGAGTGACGTTCACGTATTGTTCATTAACTATGAATGGCGTTCTTTCCAAACACTGTTTTATAGTAATAACAAATAATCTGAGTTGTTAAATTACTAATGAAATAATTAGATTCAAACTCTATTTTAGTTTAAATATGTTAATAAATTATAAAGTATGCAAATTAAAAAAAAAAAAATGTATAATTACTCTAAATTTAAAACTAAAGGTTAATATAACAGTATAGTATTATAATTTTAGTTTATAAACAATTACATTTCTTCAATTTTTTGTTTGTTTCTTACCATATGGTAAATAGCATAAATTAAAAATTGAACAAATGCAACTGTATACAGTCTTTATTTTAGGAGGGGATAGAGTAACTCGATAGTGATGATTAGGGTATGTCCACATTGCTGTGATAAATGGAATAGTAATGTCAACGAACAATATATAATAGACACTGATCAGATATTGTTTATTTGTGATCTGAAGTCAGAATCAATGATATATGATTGTTTCCAAACCAAGCCAACAATACATGTTTGGTTTCCCTTAATATCATACATTTATATATTAGAAGAAAATACAGTGTCTATAGTTTTGCTAACAGCGGTGGCGTTTGTAGGGGAGAGGTTAGGGATTATATACCCCCATACAGGCAACAACTATGAGTTATTACTTAGTAGTTTAATTTTGGAACGTGTATAATGTATACATTTCAGCCAAATTACAATAAAATGTTTGATTTATTGCATTAAAATTGGATTTTTTGAAACTGGCTGTTGGATAAAAATAGTTTAATCTATTGCAATCTTCACTAGTTATCTCAGTCAACGTTACTGTTGGTTTGAATGGTGTAACATAAGTAGGCGATAATGATAAGCCCTTTTTACAGTGACTAGTAGTTTGAATTATTTGACTGTAGCAAGTTCGATAATAATCATAGGTGTTCATTTTTTTTTGCACTATAGTAATGGTAATAACTATGGTAATATGAAAAAATGATGCACCGAAATAAATGTTTAAAATATTTGTATCCAAGTTATTATACCTATACAATATTAGGTATACAAAAATAATTTTAAATTAATAGATATAGGAAGGTACTAGAATAATGATTATTTCACTAACATGGTTGTAACCGTGGTTAAAATTGATTTTTTAATCTTTCAAACTGTTTTCGATTTGTGTATTGATCAAAAGATAAAAAAAAAATTGATTGAAAATTTGATTTTAAAGTTATTATACGATCGAGTCAGTGGAGCACACACGAAGTACATACCAACATACTAAAACACCTTACCAAATACAACTGTGAAGATTAAAAAAAATGGACGCACAGTTGGATACTTTTGTTAACTGCACGTGTTCTTAAAATTTCTCTGTGTTGGTCTATGTTCGCGAATTCGATAATAATTTTGAAAAGTTATGTACCTAATTATTATAATTTATATGAGTAAACAGTCGCTCTTTAAAACCTAAAAATACACCAAATAAAATAAGATAGGTATGACCTACGTATAATTTATTTATTAAAAAAAAAAAAATGATAATCCTAGATTACAATAGTGTTTGCACTTTCTTCATGTTCGCGGTCCGGAAATTTGTAAATAATCTCGTTCAATTATACCCAGGTTAGCTATATCTATTACGCCAACCTTCAGCTAATTAATTTGTCGGCCAATCAAATTTTTCTCCATTATAATAATATATATTATTAGGTAGGTCTCAATAAAATCGAAATTTCGATTATTATTCCACTCGATACCCGTATAATATAATAATGATTATTATTTTAAATACACACAATAGCACGTTCCGCAAGAAAGTAGAAAATATTACTATAGGTAGGTCTATAACTATCTATCTATAACAGCTAGCTATCCATAATAAGATATTCTGTATGTCGTAGCCGATTGTTAGAGGTATCGGGTAGGTACAATGTGTAGATACTTGCACATATTGTCAACGACACGACGAAGACGACGTGTAGACGTGCAGCCAGCAGTCGGGTCGACACGGTTAAAATGTTATATATATATTAGTACAAACGAAACCTAAGTCACGATCGAAACATATTGTAAAGGGAAAACGACGTGTATAGATAGGTAGGTATGTACGGCGGGACTCTGTTTTGTTTCGAATCGTTTTCGCCGTTTCGTATAAATGCAGCTATATTGCCCCCACACGTATAAGTCATTGCAATATTATTGTTGGTAATAAATTGTATCGTATGCGATAGACATTTTGGAGTTCTTCTCACTCACGCGGTAGGCACGTGATCAGTGGCGTTAATTGGGTTGAACTGTTGGGGTAGCAAACAATTTATAGGGCACAATATAACTTGTGGAGAGCTCTAACCTCCCCCACAGCCCCTAATCATAAATTAATTATATTCTAAGTTTTCCATTAATGATTGATTTCAACGATACAATTTAGACCTCTATAACGTAAAAAATAGTATTGATATACCTATATCTATTATTATAGAGTAGGATTCAGGACAAGATAACGGAGAGGGCGATTTTTAAAATGGATATAAAACACGCATTTATGACGAGCTCAATGATGAATCAAGGTAGGAGTATAATGCAGCTAAGAGTATATTGGCAAGTGAACCGGGGGGGGGGAGGTAGCACCTATTGTCCCACCCCCCTGGATCCGCTCCTATATTATTAGTTACAACTATCTAATTAGTTATTAAATACAAGAGCTTATTTACCTATAACATTTTGAAACTCATTTTGAAAAGTCTATATTATTAATTTTCCAATCAGTTTTCATAACAATTGGGAAAACCCGAAAAAAACTGATAAATTTACGATAAGTAGTGATAAGTTTCATTATTTTATTAAGAATCTATGGTCTTGTTTTTGCATAAAAAGGTCATTCATTTTTGATCTAACCTAACCTTTAAAACAATTTTGATTTATTATTTTTGATTTGGTTTTTTGTCGTAATTTAGTTTAAAATTATCGTAGAGAGCTGACATTTTCACAGAATATTAATTATGGTTTTTTTTTAGACGTGATATAATTTTCAAAACATTCTAGCGATTTATTTAGTTATTTATTGGTCTTTGATTTTAATATGTTCGAGTTTATTTTAGTTTTTATTTGGTTTTGTGTGGATAAAATTGTTTGGCCGAACAGACACGTTTGAACGTTTTACTTGAAGTTTACCGTAAGTTGTACTCGGAGGAAAAAAAAAAATTGATTGTGAAATAGACGGTTCTTTTATACTCGTTATAAGTTCAAATTTTGACGAAACCCGTAAAATGTATATCAAACGTGTTTTTTTAAAAATATTTTGGCGGAGTACAAGTAATACAAGTACGTATAGTTATATTATAACGGGAAATCAAAAAACTTACATAACTCTATATTATATAGATACAATAAAATGTATCGCATGTAGGTATATACGATTACCTATATTACCTATACGAATATAAAATAATAATTATATGCATATATAGGAAAAAGCGAGGAAAAAAATACATATTTTTGGAGTTTGCTGTGTAAAAAAATTCTTTTTCACCGGCGATATATAAAACGATTGAATCACGTTTTTGTTTTGTTTCGTTTTTTTTTTTTCCATAGTAGCTGTACATACACACGTACTGCAATGACTGACTCATTCAATAAAATATTTGTTATTCCCATTTATGCCATCGTGTGTATATAGTTAGAAATTTGGAATATATTATAATATTTATTTATTTATTGAAAATATTGTACGGGATAGATATATTCTGAATTGTCTCATATATTATATGTTTTACTCAAATGGTAACACAAAATTTATCAGCCGGATGAGCATGGATCGAAATGGGTTTTTTTTTTTTAGAAAAATCAGGCATACCGAAATAAATTGTCGAGCCCATTTGAATAATGTTAACCCTTGCGGTGCACGCATATCCAATAAAACCAATATTTTAGATTTTGAGTGGCGTGAGGAATGTATTGGTTTTAAAATGATGTTTATTTTTTTTTTTTGTGGACAACTTTTCTACCGGTAATTTTGTTCCAATGTACAATGATTGTACTTTTGCTCAAAGAAATCTAATTGGGGAGGTACTTCAGGGAGGTAATTTTTTGATTTTACTAGGAGTTTTCCCGATAAATTGGGAAAAA